AGATTTTACTCTTTTTTTCCCCCTCTTTTCAGGCAGCTGGTCAGTATCTTATTGTAATGTCAATTTCAAAAATAGGTCAAAAAGAAAAGAAAAACCGACAAAACACCTCAAAACAAGAGTGAAAAGCATAACACAGTACTATTGAGGAAAAATGTATTACCCTGAATTTTTTTTTTGAAATATACATGTGTCTATATTAGTTTATATTTGAAAAACATTTTAAACGTTAAGCTTCTCTTTTCCGCATAATTATATTAAATCAACTAAACATTATTTCTAACTTTTGAACATATGTGTTGTATGTGTATTATAGCAAATAATCAATGTAATATTTATCGCAGTGACGAGTTACAATCACTTTAAATGTCTTACATATATAATAATGTCATTTACAGACAAGATTCTATACTGAATAGATAGTTATCATTAACATGATTGAAAATGGCCTAAATATTTCTCAACTGTTTACATCTTGTATTTACATATTTAATTATTAGTACAAATTTCTAAATTTTCATGATCTATCAGTTCAAATAATTGTATCGTATCGTGTCTGTTGTATCGTATTGTACATTGTATTGTATTGTAAGCTAGAAGTAAAATTTATTATAAATCATTGTTGCTGAAGAAATTTGGCATTGTGAATTAAAAAAAACGTTGTTTTTGTTGGGTGTGTTCTTTTGTAGTTTAAATAACAAATAAGATGAATTTCGCAACATTAAAGTAAGCATGTCAATATATTATAACATCAAGATGAATCTCCTTTCCTTTGGTAGATTCATTGCATAAATCATTTTCGGTTTTGCATCTCCTTTTTATATGGTCTTGAAATCAATGCTTTGTACAGTTTGTGCGCAATCAGAAAAAATGTGTTTCATTTTAAGTACGTGTCATTTGACCTTTTTACAAAAAACATGAAATACATTTGTTGAATTTCGCACAAAATAACAGGTTATGCAATTTTTGTAGCATTGAGATTTTTGTTTTTTTTTTGTTTTTTTTTGTTTTTTTTTTTTTTTTTACGGCGCAGTAACACAGTTTAGGTCATATGACAATAAAACAGGAAAGGTGATTTTGTCTAACCTCGGATGTTACAAACTTAAAGCAACACCAGTGCTCAAAACCACCACACATGCTTAAGCTAAAAGATTCACAGACTCCGGTAATTCGAACCCATTTAGTAGAATGATGTTTAAATTTACAGTATATAATCAGCGCTGAATTCGTACCCACATGATTGTTTGTATCGTTAGGGTATTAACTTTTCTCCGCCGTTATTTTTAAAGTTTGTCTGTTGTAAGGTTTCCTTAAATGTTTAGATAGTTGTCTCTAGTACGAAAGCGGGGTAGTTCTACTATGCAATACATTTGTACATCCTTTCTTAGCCAGAAACGCTTTTTTGATCGGTGTTCAAGGGTACATTATCTTAGGTAGTTTCTATTTATTCTTTTGCGCTTGTCCTAAATAGAGATTTATTAATTCTGTACATAGAACAAACAGGAAAAAATCATGACTGTTAAGAATGCATCAACTATTTTATATTATGTTTCCGGTCATTTCAATTATCATACAGCTATTGAGTCACAATGCTATGTGAAAAAGGAGACCCTTGGATAGCAATAATAACGGAGTAGAATAATTTCTAACATCTTAGGTCCAATAGCATAGGCCATGGCAATAATTTTATCTGTTAAGTATATGTAACTCAAATTGAATCACCAAATTCACCAGTTCAGGTTTAAAAGGCATTTGTTTCACATAAAGAAGATCTGTTCATCAACATTAAACACATTTAGATAACATACGATTAGAACAGTCACGTTTTTCCAAGAATTAGTGGGTTTACTTTGATTCAATCAAAATGAATTAAACAGTTTTTGGAGTGCGACCGAAACTATTCACTCTGAACTCTTTTTGATTATAACTTTATTTCCGCCTCCGTCGATATTAGCTTTTTTGAATTATATATAATACTCTTCTACAGTTGTAATGAATTCTTTAGGATTGTTTCATATCATGTCAATCTTTTATTTGAAATTCTTATTTTAGTCATTTATCCGACCATTACTTCATAAATTATGTCCTTTTAGGTATTTATTCATAAACTTTCAAAGGTGTGTAGTGTGCTTACAGCAAAAGTTCATTGCGACAGAAAACTCAAAACACCCTATTCCTCTGATTTTCGGTACAGGTTGGTTCTAGTAAGGAACCATAGGGATAATAAAGCAAAGGGTATTATAGTTTTAGAGGGTCAAAGGTAGGGATGGAGAAATATAATTCATTGCGTTCAGAAACAAATGGTTCAGAAGCAAATGCTTCGAACTTATCAACTATAATCATTCAGTTATTTGCATTACATAAAAGGTTGACTGGAATCAATATTTATTGTCTGGGTTTTAAAAGAACAAAGAACAAATTCCATGTAAGCTATAAGTATATAGATTTAAGAAATCCTTAACAATTCCTCTAAATATTAGTGTATAAATATATAAAAAGAAACCAGGAAACAACTACTTGTAAAAACTGTGTCAGCATCCTATATAAATACATGTAGAAGTTTGCACAGAATGGAACACCGGACTGCAAATGCACATTATAAAATCATTTGTCTTTCTTTATTCCAAATTACTTTTGAAATAATTTATGTAAATTTTCATGAAGATATAATATGTCTGACAAATTATAAGTAAAGTTGAAGATTGATATAAAAAATGTTGATAAAATTTCCTCTGATGTTTAAAACAAGATTTGCAATATAATATGTTAATAGTTGACAATAAAACTACATCAGACGGTGAACTTGATAAAAATTATACATGTATATATACTTATATAACAAAACTATTATAAGAAAAATAGATATTGTAGAAAGATAAGTACACTTAACTTGAATATATGTTTGAATAATTAAATGCTATAATCTGGTGGATTTTACAAAAATATTTGATATATATGAGAAATATAGAAAAATGTATAACATAATATCATTGGTCCGAGTATTTTCTTATCTCCCTTTAATGTCATTGGGAAGTAAAATAGATGCTGAACAATTGTCGATAAACAACACAATTCCTGAGTATATTGATTTAAAAAATAAACAATACAACATTTTAAGAACATTGACAGAAAAGGGAATTAAAATGAAGTGTATTCTCGTTTCTAAATAAACAAAATCAAAACAAGTATTGGAATCACCAAAATAAAATCATTTTTGATTTTAGAACACTGTTAAGTTTCAAGGTATATACAAAATATAAATTAAAAAGATTTACCTGAGCACAAATCAAAAAGGTGAAATTTTACAATAAAAATTGTCATGGTTCTTATATAAGCATGTATATAAAGATATGATATAAAATGCATTATGGTTATGTTATGCTATTGATAGTCAAATATGGCACTTCTTGGATCTCTTTGGCCTGAGCACATTAAAACATCCCTTTTTTAAAAATCCTGTCAAATGTGAGATTCTCTATTATCCATATGTACAGTGATATTGGTTACCAAACATGTGAAACATTTATATCAAACAGTGCATAAAAGATAGACTTTTCCAAAACCTTTTTTTTTCTCAGAAAGAAATTGTGGCAATGACTATCAGAAAAACTTTGATGTGTACAATGCAGTAAATCCTGTAAACTGTTTGTGATCAAGCATTTTGGCACAAAGGTGCATTAGAAATTCAATATGTAAAACATCATGTATACATAAACAAGAAAAAAGGAAAAATACACCACAAGAAAATATCACAGACTAAGCAGTACACAAGTTGAGATAGTTTTAAAGAATCTATAAATAATAAACATATAAAAATATACTGAAATATATCAAACATATAAACACTTAAAACATGGACTGTTAACAATAAATTATAGTCATAAAATAAATAATCTTTAGGAAAAGAATTACCCTATAACAAACAGATATAAACTAGTCTTTTTATTTTACCTAGATAAAATGGAATCAATAATAATAATAATAATATCTACAACTGGTTTTTGTATATCCGAGTTTAATTCAAAAGTTAATGATCAGTTGAGCAATCGTGTTTGTTTTCTTCAGAAGTACCATCCCTGAAATAGATAAAAAAAATACAATTTAAGATAAGTAACCAACTAATCATTGTGTAATTCCAAAAATATTGAAAATAATGACTCTTTCTCCATAAACATATGTCTTTCCTTGCAATTGTGGAAGGGCAATTAAAAAATTCATCATCAGTAAATTCTAAATGCAGTTTGTTAAATAATTCTATAAGTAATTTAGATGAAAAAACCACAAAAAAGAAACATTGGCTCATTATAATAATAATACCTTATATGTTAATGTAATAGAGTTTCACACCAGCAGGAAATGTTGTCAAGATTACAGTAAAATAAATCATATTGTGCAAACTTATTCTGAAAGTTGTGCAAGCTAAATTAACATTTTACAACAACCTTACTTAATCTCCTTCTTTATCTTTTATCCTACCCTTTATTTTAATTAACTAATCCAATAACAGCAGTACTCACTGTTATCTCAACGTGACTTGATATTATACTGTTGCATTAAAAAACATTCTTCCTGGTAAATCATTTTTTAAACAGAAATAATACATTTAGTCTCAATAAATACTGTGTTTAAGCTATTAAGATGTAAAGAAAAATTATCAAATGATAACTGGCTTTTGAATTAATTAGAGTAAATAATTACATTTTACACATGGATTCAAAAAGAAAAAAAAAAGAAAAACAGAATACCTCCTAGACAATATTTAACATGTTTAATATCTAATGAGTAATGTAATGCTTCAAGGTTAATATCTGGCTAGATCCAGATTATCAGCAGTAATACCTTGTTTTTATTTTTATATCAGGCCAATTTCTTTAATTTCAAGGAATACATTATCATTTCAATATAATCCTATGCATAATCAATATAAAAACAATACAACATTTATAACTACAAGCTACAATCATGTTGTGTGTTTTTTTTTAATTCTTTCATTTCTCAGTTACCTTTCCTGTTCCACTTTTTGTCACTAAACAAATGCATACCAATTGTAATCTGAATTTGAGACAGCGGATAAACGTAACCTCATAAAAATTTCAATTGTTAACTCGGTGTATCATTCAGTAAAGAGTGACAAGTTGACTGTAACTTTAAACTACTTTAAAAGAAATTTACACCTAACAGACACCATATAAATTATTCATCACTTTGTATCAGGGGTTTATACTTTCCAACCTGAATGACATTCTTCTGTTGTTACCTTTTTTAACTGAATCATTTCAAGAATATTGACAAACAATAAAACCAAATTAATTGCTTGTAATTAACAAAACATAATCATCTAAGAACAATTATTAATATATACACCAGTGAAACCACTTTTATTCTTGGCAAATTATAGCACATCCTCCTCAATCTTCTCAATGATCAAGTTATAAATAATTTTTGCACAGAGAATTCATTGCATGTTTATATGCAGGTTTTATTTGCTGGCATTTCTTTTAAATGGAAGAAATAATAAAAAAAACAGCTGTTATAGTTAAAGTATTTTCATTAATGTCAACATAGTTAAATAAAAAGACATTAAGATAGATATCTCAGGAAAAACATCTCTACAAATCATACATACTTTTCACATAAGATAAAAAAAATGCTTTTCATTTGTTTGGTTCTGATTTGGTTCTGATTTTTATGCCCTTGTTATGTAAGTGGTACTTGCAAAACCTAATAAAAAGTAACTTTATTTTGACAGGAAGTCATATTTCAGTACAGAAAAAAATGTAAATGTTGTAATAAAATGAGTCATTGGTTGTTGTTGGCATTACATAGAGGTAATTAACAGTTGTAATGTCAGTCTGGTATTAAACATAGGATGGTGTACTGCCTGTACCAGACTTTATTCTCATTACTACAGTGTTAATACCTTCATAATAATTTCTGTATTTTTTAGACATAAAATACAGAACTATGTCTGCTTTTCACATAAGAAATTTTTTGCCAATTATATAAAACAAAAAAATACTTTATACAATCCAGACATATTTATATATATATATATCCTTGAAAATATTTTATGTCTTGGAAAGAAATGTTCTATTAAACTGACACTTCCATTGCTTTTGGATTAAATCTTTTAAAACCATGTAAAATTTTTATCAAGTATTGTAACAACCCTATATTAAAAACAACTTTAATAAAATCTAACTTATCGCACACAAAATAAACTATTGTTTCAGAGAGTTTACATTATAAACATTCATATTTTTTTTATAAAAAGCAACATTGTAGTTTCTTTTAAAACAAAATAAGCATATAGTGTAACTCTAAAAAAAGAATTTTGGTAAGTCATACAGATTTCTCTCCCTTTTCATATTTTCTTGTTGGTAAAACCTTGTTAACTATAAATAATTAATTTAACATGCAATTATGTACTTCCTTTATATTATATTACAAATTAAGAAATACTCAACCTTCACTAATTATCACCTGAATGCATCAGGAATATTGCAATTTAAACCATACATGTATATTTGTAATATTTTGATTCAAAATGGAATAATGATAATTTACTCACCTTTTAATAATAAGAATATCTGGGAGAGTATGGAGATTTTCTGCTAAGGTAGGAGTCATCAATAGAGCGAAGATAACCCTGTAACATAAAGGAATATGTTATGATAAAAAATTTGATCATCCATTGCCAGCAATTTTTTTACTCAGTCCTATAAAACTGAAAAAAATACATTCTCTACAATGGCTTTCTTTCTGACTGGAAAAGGGCCTTGTGAAACATGTTCTTAAGAATCTGTTTGAATGAAAAAACATTTTAGTCACATAACAAATACTGATATTTTACCAGTTGCAAAAGATCATTAATTTGTTAGTAAACACCTATTTCATGTGTTTAACCCCTTCTAGATGATGAACTAAAACATCTTTATAATGCTGTCAATGAATTAAAATATTGTGTTTTCAAACACCAGTTATAAGTTAACTTACCGAGGTGTATGACCTAGTTGGTGTGTATGACCTAGTTGGTGTGATTGACCTTGTAGGAATGTACGACCTTGTGGGAGTCAAAGGTCTGTACGACTTGACCGATGTGTATGGTCTAAATGGAGAAACACATTTTCTGAGGGAGATTTCAGCTTCAGCTCTAGCCCTAGCACGGTCTGCTTCAAGTTCAATCTCCAACCTGTCAGCAGCTGAGAGTAGTGGAGCTGGTGAAACTGACCGGTACCTATATGACAAGCTCGGATCAGCTGACCGCGGTCTGATACGTGGAGTAGAAATGTACGATCTTCTTACATCTGAGGTAAGTTCAGCAACTTCAGCATCTGCAAACAATATCAAAATATATAAACCACTGTCAAGTATCCAAAGGATATGATCATGTCTGAATAATGAAGAAGTTCATTAAAAAAATCTTTATAATATTTGTTAAATAAGATGTTTAAAAAGTAAAAAAAGACATAAAATTACCATCATCATCATATCTTGAGTACACAGGCACTTGTTCTCTGTAGCAAACAGTCTAAAATATATAAAACAAGAGCTGTCAGTAGGGTTCACTATTTGACTATTCTAATCTCAGTGACTGATAGTAAAATATGAGTTTGGACATTATGTAGGAAATATCAAAGAGCATAATTATAAATACATGATATAGTTATTAGTCTTGGACAGTGACACAAAGATGTGTATATGTATGAAGCTTCAAGTGTAGACCCTCAGTAGTTGTGAAGATTAATGTTAAATGCAAAAATTTAACCATACATTTTCACAAAGGGCCATATGCCTATCAAAATCATCCAAGACCTTTGAACCTTGGACAGTAGTTTTAAGACAAAACCAGGTATTTTGCAAGTTCTAAAAGGATCATAAAATGATTTAAATGCATGAAAAAGATATGGGCCTTGGCTAGTGACCTTCAATTATGATAGTTTCAAATGAATACTTTCATAAGTTTTGACCTGTGCTCATGACAGGTCACAGGCCATTATACAGTCATAATTCAGGCCTTAGACAGAGACCATTTTTATCATCTCAAAGACATGTATAAAGCAACAAGCAAATATCTTTAGCAGTTGATGAGATATGAAGCTGTACAAGATGTTACTTACAAAACTTTAAACAAAATTTTACACTGTTGCCAGGCGAAGAAGATAGCTGCACTATTCTCTAAAAATCAAGTTAAAATGATATTTAAATTAAATGTCTTTACATGATTTAAATCTTTCGTTAAACATTTCTTTCTTTTAGTACAAAGATTCTTTGCCAAAAATATAAAATTTAATTTGCTTTACCTTGACAAGATTGAGCCAGTGTTACATTAAGGTTATAATCAAACATATGAAATAAAAATAATCAAAAATAAGAAATTAACTTACCCTGGTAAGAAGTGGTGCATCTCTTGTAATATTTGTCTTTACTGAGAACTCCAACTTCGGTGAATTGCCCTTCAAAGTATAACATAAAACTGAATTTGTCAAGCAAAACTCCAAATTTCTTTTCTAAAAAAATTAGTATTAAACATTTTTTCTGTATGTTATTGAATTTAAAATTAATTAACAACTAAAAATAAGAGATTAACACATTATATTGATAAGGCCGTCCCTCAATTTATTAACATTAACACTGTTTCCCGTAAATCATTGATTTTGGTATCTTTACACTGAAATTTAACTTTTAATTCTTGACCTTCTGGATGCAAGTAATTAGTAGGGATGTCATCTGGAGCCGAAACGGCCATCCGGATATCCGAATCAAACATCCGGATACATCCGGATGTTCGGATCGTTGTTATATTCTTAGATGTCTGATATGACGTAACCATTTCTTCGCTACCTTTTTCAAAGTGTAGTATTTCGTTTTTCTTCCTTTTTAATTGAATGATACATATCAAAAATCTTCTGTTATTGATTTTATTTCTTCTATATAGAATACGACTAGCTTTTATCAATAAATTTAGTGCGTGTGGTACTTACGATTTCAAATGAAATGGAAACGAAATTCCCCGCCGATTGTCTGAATTCCTCAATTAGCGCTATAATACGCAATAAAATTCGCTCACATTTGTGAAAACAAATAATACCCGTAAAAATTAAATATAATGTTTCCATTGTTCAATAAGACGCATACAATTTACACATGATGACCTTTGACACACGTGTAGCCGGCTTTTCAAAAAAATCTGCCAATCTTTGATGTTTACTATCATGTAGCCCTGGCTGTTTGATTCGAATCATCAAAGAAAGTGCCGAAACTTACATGAATTACACACATTTTAAGTGTTCATAAGTGAAAAAAGAAATGTGAAAAAAATGTTTTTAAAAAATGCACATGTTTGATTAATACTAAAGGAGAAAGTTATTTTGTCGGATAATTTTCGTATCAATTTCAATAAAAGCTGTGATAATTAACATATAATTCGTAAGTGCATTTCTTTATTTGCTTATTTTATTTCTGCAGATTTTTCAATGTCTAAAAATAAGGGGTCGATGGGTCGGTAAGCCGAAATATATAGAGGATATTCAAGTTTTTTCTATAAATACATGATTTATTTTCATCGAGTGGTATGAAAATAAATATTTCATGAGTGGTGTAGCCACGAGTGAAATATGGTAATTTTCATGCCACAAGATGAAAATAAATCATGTATTTATAGAAAAAACTTGAATTTTCTGTTTATTATATTCATTTTTCTCTTTTTTGCGATAAAATTTCAAAGACTTTCCCTTAAATTTTGTGTACTGGCAGAATTTAAAAGAAGTAGTCCCGTAAGACACCAGTGAAATTACGGAAAATATGTTTCACTGCAGTGAAAAATAAATTTTTACAGTGAAAATACGGAAAATGAAAATACGCATTTTATTTCTTCAATATTTCTCAATATTTCATTTATAAGTATATAATAAATATAAATATAATAACCTAATTGAATATTTAAATTTGGACATAAAAAATGTAACATCGTTGCCGATGACAGTCGCACGGGACTTAGAATATCCATCTTGAATCTTACAAAACTTAAATTTGATTAACAACATGTGTCATAATTGACTTGTAATTATTACAGTAATTATTGATTTTTTTGTGGTCTGCAGAGATTATGATGTGTATTGTCAAGGTACAATATACAATATGGTGTCAACACCATGTCTACGATTATCTCAACGCATGTAATTATCACATTTTCTCAATATTTTAAAATATTTTATACGAACATCCGGATCAGAAAATCGGCTCCGGACACCGAATCGTTATCCGAACGTTCGGATATCCGGACTCCGAATGACATCCCTAGTAATAAGCCTTTGCTGATGGTCAAGAGCAATGCCAACATACACACATGTTCAGTGTGACCAGAATCTATATTGTTGGTAGCTCAAAAAATTTCTATTTTCATACTGAAATCCCTTAAACTATGAATGGACTGCCCTACATTCAAAGGACACATCCATTGCACAAAGTCAGCAGCTTAAAGAATTATATTATTGCTGACTTTCAATACTTCTGATTTATATATACACTTAGAAAATATCAACTGATGAAATAGTATTGGATGTTCTATGGTAAAAGAAATGCTAAAACTTACTGGGAAAAGAGCAGATCGGAAAAGGACAATTTCTTTAGATGCTGTAGAGAATGCCGGGCTCAAGCTGGGGTATGGGAACAAAAATTCCCGTGCATTTGTAGAGAAGGATGCAAGCTTTATAAGACCATCATAAAATACATCATGCTGAAGTAGTTCAATCTCCACCTCCTCTCCTGATAACCAGAGAAAACATACAATAAATTATCTCAAATATCAAGTTATATCCAAATATGATTGCATAAAAAAGTAAGACATCATCATTTGTCCTGCTTGACATTTTTAATGGACAAAGCATTTAATCATATCATTATCAGTGATTTAAAACTTAAAAGTGAAACAATGAAATATTGCTTTAATATATATTGACCCAGATATAATTTACATTCAATGATAAAAACAATGATAAACTGAACATTTTTGTTAATCATAATTAAAATTGAAAGATCATAGCAACCTTCCAGAGCTCTCGCCACATCTAGGGAGTCTACAGCTGAGAAGAATTTCTGCAAATAAAAACAAGAGAACATTGTATAACAAATCTTAAAATAAGGCTTCTTACAATGATTCATTTCAAAATAATAGTAACAACTAGAACTCCGCGAGTCGGATGTGTCTCCTTGTGAACAATGTAGTTTAGGGGAAATGGCCAGGACAAAAATGAAATATGAAAAATAACAAAGGGCAATAACTAAACAAGAGCCCGGTTTGAGCCGGGTGATGCTCCCCGAATAGGGTTTGGACAGAGGAAAGTACACCTCTTGTAGTTTCAGAGTTATGTCTGTGGAAAAAGTTCAAAGTGCAATAATTCCAAAATAAGGCAAGGCAGAGTTACAGTTCTTTGCACTGCACTTCTAATCAATGTGATCTATCAACCTACAAAGTTTCTTGATGATATCTTTTATGATTTCCGAGTTATGTCCTGGACAATTCAAAAAGTAAAAATAAACTAGAAATGTGTCCATAGGACACGGATGCCCCCACACGCCACTGTTCTGTCAATCTTATGACTCTAGGTCAAATATTTTTTGGACTACATGTGCCACAAGTTGAAAACTAACAAGAGCTGTCGGTAGGACAGCACGCTCGACTATTCTAAGTGCTTGATAGTAAAAGAGCCTTGATAATGTTAAATTTTTTAAGTTCACAAAAGGGCTAATTTTTTTTTATAAATTCATGTTATAGGCCTTAGAGAGAGTCTAATTATACAGAATTGGCTTGACTATTCGGAAGGTAATGTCACGAGGGTGTTTTATTGAGTATAATAATACTAATTACCTATGAATACATAAATTTGACAGAAAAGGTACAAAGGCTTGTTATTAAGATGTTTTATCAAGTCAATAACTGCTTTATTATTATGAATGCATAAAATTGTCCCAAAAAAGGCACAAACCCTTCAGTAGTTATTGAGATAACAGCTTACAAGCAAAACTTTACCGTGAATTTCTAAGTTGAAAAAGGGGAGAAAAATCAGCCTAAATGCAAGATAGAATTATGGATCTTTGTCAGTGACCTACAATTATGACCCTTAATGCATAAGTGAAGTTTTAAATAAATATCTTTAATAGTTATTGAGATATGTAAAACTTGCATGTAAACATAAACCAAGAGACTAAGTAGAAAAGGGGATATGAATCAGCCTTAATGCAAGATAGAGTTATGGAACTTGGTCAGTGACATACAATTATGACCCTCCAATTATGACCCTAAGTGCATGTGTAAAGTTTCAAGTAAATATATTTGAAGACCTTTAACCTTTAACCAAAATTTCTAAGTTTCAAAGGGGCAAATAATTCTGCAAATATTGCAGGCAGAGTTATGCAATTTTGCAAACTGATGTACATTGTTACTATAAAAAAGTATTTTAAATTTCAATTGAATATCTCAAGCAATAATTGAGATATTTGACTTTACAAAAAACTTTAACCAAAATTTCTAAGTTAAAAAGGGGCATAATTCTGTCAATATTGTAGGCAGAGTTATCCAACTTGTCAATCTGATGTAGCTTGTTACTATAAATAAGTATTGTAAGTTTCAAATGAATATCTCAAGTAATAATTGAGATATTTGACTTTACAAAAAACTTTAACCAAAATTTCTAAGTTAAAAAGGGGCATAATTCTGTCAATATTGTAGGCAGAGTTATCCAACTTGTCAATCTGATGTACCTTGTTACTATAAATAAGTATTGTAAGTTTCAATTGAATATCTCAAGTAATAATTGAGATATTTGACTTTACAAAAAACTTTAACCAACGCAGATGCGGACGCTGACGCCGACGCCGACGCCGGGGCGACTACAATAGCTCTCATATTCTTCGAATAGTCGAGCTAAAAATCAACAAAGGGCCATAATTCTGTTAAATTTGGTCGCAGCAAAAATTCCTACCTTTACTACCATCTACACATTAAGGTTGTTAATCCCTGGAAGTTTAAGCAAAATCTGCCATCCGGTTTAAGAGGAGTTGCGTTCACAAAATTTCTACATAGTATATAATGAAAAAAACAACAAAGGGCCATAATTCTGTTAAATTTGGTTGCAGCGAAAATTCCTTCCTTTACTGCCATCTACACATAAAGGTTGTTCATCCTTGGAAGTTTAAGCAAAATCTGCCATCCGGTTTAAGAGGAGTTGCATTCACAAAATTTCTATATAGTATATAGTGAAAAAATCAACAAAGGGCCATAATTCTGTAAAATTTGGTCGCAGCGAAAATTCCTTCCTTTACTACCATCTTCACCTTAAGGTTGTTCATCCCTGTGAGTTTAAGCAAAATCTGCCATGCGGTTTAAGAGGAGTTGCGTTCACAAAATTTCTACATAGTATATAGTGAAAAAATCAACAAAGGGCCATAATTCTGTTAAATTTGGTCGCAGCAAAAACAATAACTCCAGAATAAGGCAAGGTAGAGTTATGATTCTTGTGCACTGCACATCTACCCATTGAGATTTATCTACCTACAAAGTTTCATGTTGATATCTCTTATAGTTTTAGAGTTATGCCCCGGACAAGATTTTTCTATAAGGGGAGATAATTCAAAAACCGGGCAAAATAGAGTTATGGTTCTTTGACACTGCACTCCCCCTCGATGCCCTCTACCACTGTATGAAGTTTCAACAAATTATCTCCAAGGGTTTTCAAGTTATGCTCCGGACAAGACAACGGACGGACAGACGGACAGACGGACAAGGCGCCGACTATATGCTCCCCCGAAATTTTTGGGGGAGCATAAAAAATAATAAGTGAAGAGCAGCAGTTTCTGTACACTGCACTTCTTATCAATAAGATCTATCATTCTATGATGTTTCAAGTCCATAGCTTTAATACTTGAGGAGAAATGACCAGGACAAAAATAAAGTAAGAAAATCAACAAAGGGCATTAACTCAAAAATAAGAAATGCAGGGTATCAGTTCTTATGCACTGCACTTCTTTTTAATGAGATCTATCATCCTTTGAAGTTTCAAGTCCATAACTTTTATACTTTCAGAGAAATGGCGTGGACAAAAATCAAGTATGAAAATTAACAAAGGGCCATAACTCAAAAAATAAAAAATGCAGAGTACCAGTTCTTGTGCACTGCACTTCTTCTTAATGAGACCTATCATCCTATGAAGTTTCAAGTCCATGGCTTTTATACATTAGGAGAAATGGCCCGGACAAAAATAAAGTATGAAAATTAACAAAGGGCAATAACTCAAAAATTAGGAAGTGCAGAGTACTGGTTCTTGTGCACTGCACTTCTTAATAATGAGATCTATCATCCTATGAAGTTTCAAGTCCATAGCTTTTTTAGTTGAAGAGAAATGGCCTGGACAAAATTAAAGTATGAAAATTAACAAAGGGCAATAACTCAAAAAATAAGAACTGCAGAGTACCGGTCCTTGTGCACTGCACTTCGGCTTATTGAAAGAAGAATGCATACCAGGTTTGAAGTCAATCAGACTTATAGTGACTGAGTTATGCTCCGGACAAGCTTTAGGGGACGCCGACGACGACGCCGACAACAACGACGCCGACACAGACGCCGCCGCCGACACCGCCGACAAAAGTAATCCCTATATGTCACCTTTTCAAGGCGACACAAAAATGCTAGAAATGTGTCTGTAAGACATAACAAGAACTGTCGGAGGACAGTAACGCTCGACTATTCGAAAAGTTGTCACAAGTGTGTTTCATTGAGTATAATAATGCTTACCTATATGAATACATAAAATTGTCCGAAAAGGTACAAAGGCTTGTTATTAAGATATTTTATCGAGTAAATAACTGCTTTATTATTACAAAATGCATAAAATTGTTCAAATAAAGGCACAAACCCTTCAGTAGTTATGGAGATATTTGCTTAACCAAGAATTTCTAAGTAGAAAAAGGGGCATAATTATGCAAAAAAGCAAATCAGAGTTATTGGACTTGTGCCAATCATGTTAGATAATCACAGAGAACAAGTGTTTGAAGTTTCAAGCCATTCCCTTCAGTTGTTATGGAGATACCAGCTTGCACGCAAAAAATTAACCAAGAATTTCTAAGTCGAAAAAGGGGCATAATTATGCAAAAAAGCAAATCAGAGTTATGGGACTTGTGCCAATCATGTTAGATAATCCATTCCTTTCAGTAGTTATGGAGATACCAGCTTGCACACAAAAACTTAACCACAGGGACGCCGATTCCGACGCCGACAAATGGGTGACTGCATAATAGCTCGATTATTCTGCAAATAGTCGAGCTAAATAACAATGATATGTGCTATAATCATGGCTCATATTTATTATCTATAACATTATCAACTTTCAACATAGAACAACAAAATACTAAGCTGACTTTTCAACCTTAAAGTTTAGCAATGTAATTTCTAGTTACAATAAGTAGTGATACAGTATTTTCTTTTCAGTTACTAAACACAAGCAGTGGTATTTACAATTTCAACTTTTGATTATAAAGATTACCTTTTCAAACCTGAATGATTGGTATAAACTGAGAGGGAAGACTGGTGGAACTCTACATGTCCTCCTGTAATCTCCAAATGCTCTTATACTGATAAATATATCCTTACTGCTGGCCAACCACACACCTGGGGCTGACACCTACAAGCATAAAATATAACACAAAACATAAATAAACAGTGTTACTCCTGACAAAATACAGACCTGGGACTGGAATCTTAAATAATAAAATATAACAAAATTAATCCCCAACTGCTGGTCAATAACAAACCTGGGACTAATTACTTCAAAGACAAAATATATAAAAAAATTAATGTCACTCAGCAGCTGGCAAACCACACACCAAGGGCTGATACATTCAATTCTTTATATACTAGTAACTAACAAAATCTTTTACTGAGTGAGGTACCAGATTGAGTGGTTTTAATTACCTCGTTATGAAATTTACTAATCAAAGAAAGGTGTGACACCAGTGCATACTTATAGCATTTTATACTTCCAAATTGCACAGAATATTCATGTTTAAATTCATATCAATATTAGAATATTCAATCTACTTAATACATTTGTTTAAAATTTTGTGCATTTAAAAATATGTTTATGTGTAGTTAATAATGTTTCAAACTTTTTTTATACATTATATCATGTACCACCAAAACATTACTTGGTGATGAAAATGTATATGTTTTTGGCAATAAATTATTTGACTTGACTTGACTTGTATATACAGTATTCAAAGATAATTAAATGTCAACCAAACCAATAATCAATAAAAACTATCCTCTATAAAACATTGCTAAATATTATATTCACGGTAGGGAATCACGTGACTTTTACGGTTACGCGTACAGACAATATGGCGGCCTAAAAACCTCGCTTCACATGTGTTTTTAAGGTAATTCTTTATTATATCCCTTTTACTTACATACGAGACCTGTTGCAGCCTACGCAGAATAAAGAATTGTTGCCGCCTATAACTTAGTTTCCACTCCTGTGCTCATAGATTTTACAAACACTCAAAAATTCAACAGAAATTTTCAATGTGAACAATTATATTTCGGGTAACATTCACGCAAAATTTGTATTTTTTATGAATTTGATTAAACTACGTCGAGTTAGCAATGAGAAAATGTTCATAGAATTTCTTTATTTGAAAATGTAAATATTAGGCATGTTAAATGTTGACTGGTCATTTTCTATTCCAAAACATGAGAGAAAAATGATTTGGGTAACTCCCACGCATACTTTTATTGTTGATAACCCCCACGCAATATTTTATGGGCAGGCAATGTTTATGCAGGTTATAGCCTAGATATTGATTGAACAAAATCATGATTGATGCATTTAGCCTTAAACGTTCAAAGAATTTTGAATAATATTAAAAATACCGCCAAAAGGTCCTGGATAGAATAAAGCCCCTATGGATAGCAAATCGCAGAAATTAAAATAAAAGTCTCAAATATAAGAAGGAGGTCGATTTCAGTATAAGCACAATTACAGTTGTCATTTTTCATAGTTTGCAGATATGGGCGGTTCCAGTTCGGGTATTGTTTGTGGATAATGTTGGGCAACATTTGTCTTAATGACCACAAACTGGCTACTCGGCACAGGACTTTGTAAATGTTGTGACAAATCGAAACGTGACAGGTATGGCATTTTATGTTATTCGTTATATTAAGATTTTAAAGACATTCAAGTCATTTTATCACTTAGTCTTTTATGAAACCAACTTTTTTCAAATTAGTGTCTGTATTAAACATTATTATGTTGTGTGTGTGTTTTTTTTTTTAATCTAAAGCATAAAAGAAAACAACCTAAAGTATATTAGAATGGGTCTTTTATTTTACAAACTAGGTAATAAAATCTAGAGGACTTATGTTTGAATGTCATCTTAATATCAGCAGTAAAACCCGTAACGTTTCCGATTTGCTGGGCTATAAAATGTTTTACCACAACATTTATAAGGTCCTGTGCCGTGTAGACTGTTCATGTGGTCAATATTTGAGACCTATCCTCGAATGAAATGTTTCCCACATTTATCACAAACAATATCCGAGATGGAACCTTCCATATCTGCAAAATATGAAAAATGACAACTGTAATTTTACTAATAAAAACAGAAATACAAAACCTCCTTCTAATATTTTAGACTTTTGTATCAAAACGCGACCTAATTGAATGTTTTGGGTTTGGTAGGCCTTACGCGAAGTTATTGATGTCCTTGGCAATTTATGATTTTACAAGCCATGCCTTTTGGAATTTATTTATCATATTATTGTAACCTATAAGCAGATGAAGTGTTGTTCGCCCCATATAATTTACGCCCCAAGACGATTCGTCAATTTAGCTGTATTAATTTTATATCTTAGTGATAGTAAAATTAAATGTGAATTAGTTTGAAAAATACATTAAATCCATTGCATTTTCAAAATAAATATTGATTAAACTGTTTGTGGTTAAATAATAAAGTTGAGTGTTAAATTTTAAGTTTAATTGCTGTGAATATATAGGGAATAATAAGTTTATTTTATATTCTAGATCCTGGTCCTGGCTGAAATTTAAAGTATTACAGCTGTAGCTTCTATACCATAAATTTAACATGGAAAGGACTGTTCTTGGGAAAATGCTGACGTAACTGATGGGAGCAGTTTTTCTTACCAATCATAGGTCAGACTTAACCCTTTCCCCCATGAGCATATTGTGAAAAATGGCCATTTTCACTGAAAAGCCTCCTCTTACAAGTTCAAACTGCTATGAAACTATGAAAAATGCTTCAATACTAATCAAACTTGGCACAAATGTTGACTGGACCATTGCTTTTGTAACGACATGCTCAGTCTTAAATTTCCTGTTACCATGGCAACGAGGGGTAAATGGCTAACAAAAAATGATGAGAAACTTTTGAATCACCCAAAATCTAGTTTTTACATGTTAACATGTCGTCTTTTACCTAAATTTGGTGAATAATTGTTGTTTTGTAACATTTATAATTTTTTAAGTTAACCCTTTCACCCATGAGCATATTGTGAAAAATGGCCATTTTCACTGAAAAGCCTCCTCTTTAAAGTTAAATTTCCTGTTACCATGGCAACGAGGGGACATCTCAAAATTGCCAAAAATCACTATTTTGCCTCGATTTTTTCCATCAAAATTTACTTCAAAGTGCTGCAACTTCTTAAGGGATTGAGATAGAGTCAAAGGCTTTTCAGCGTTGGTTACACCTTACCTTATGATCGACCTGGGGTCATTTAAAGCCTCTCACATGTCAAAAATTTTCTTTGTGATGAGGGGGACTCCGCCCCCTTCAAATCCCCCAAAAAGAAGGGGGCACATCCCCCTTCTGGCAACCCCCTGAAGTATCTTTTGGACAGGGGGCGGCGCCGAAAAAGTGCTCACTTTTTTTTAACAACATTTCTCAAACGAAAACATGTGTTTAGGGAAAAATAGGACATTTTCTCACTATTTCAGGCCTAAAAAAAGGGGGGGTCGAAAGTGCGTTGTTTCGCGTATATATGAGGTTAAGGGTTAAATAGCTTCTTTTTAAAAAGTTTTTGTTGTTTTTGTACATAATTTACTGTCAATATGAAACTTCAGCTGTATCTTAATTTCTATATGCTGTTTTATTATGTAAATCTTAGAAGATAAGCATTTTAAGATAAAACAAATCACTAAGTTGATTTATTATATATAATTTGAGATTGACCAAGTCAATTTTAACATGTAACTTCTTATTTTATTTGCAGAAGCAGTAGAAGTATTCAAACACCATCATGACACACTTTAGACATACCAAGAGAGCTCTAGAAGAAGAACTAGTGGTAGATTGGAACAGATTGTAGCTTAATTGTTAAACTAAAAGGACTTCTTAAATCGTTTGAATTTTAGCTACACTTGAACTGTAGTTTTTAAATAAAATAGCTGAAGTATTTAATAGTGTCTTGATTTTTTTTGTTAAACTCTGTTACGTACAGTACTTTGCTTTATATTTATATTAAAGTATGTTGAAATGACATTGAAACTTCAACGTTGTGCCAACGTTGAACTTCAACGTTTTTTAAAACTTTTCAAATTCGAACATAAATCTAACGTTATGTCAAGTGATCCTACTTCAAACTTTGTACACCGTTGAATGTGCCTGCTGGGTTACTTCTATCAAGGACACCTATTTGCGGTATTTTTAATATTATTCAAAAATTCTATGAAAGTTTGATGCAAAATGCATCAATCATGATTTTTTTTCAAATCAATATCTAGGCTATAACCTGCATAGATATTGCCTGCACATAAAATATTGCGTGGGAGTTATCAACAATAAAAGTATGCGTGGGAGTTACCAAAATCATTTTTCTCTCGTGTAATGGAATAGAAAATGACCTGTCAACATTTAACATGCCTAATTATTACATTTTCAAATAAAGAAATTCTATGAACATTTTCTCTTTGGCTAACTCGACGTAGTTTAATCAAATTTCATAAAAAAATACAAATTTTGCGTGAATGTTACCGAAATATAATTGTTTTTTACATTGAAAATTTCTGTTGAATTTTTGAGTGTTTGTAAAAGCTATGAGCACAGGGGTGGAAAATAAGGTTATAGGCGGCAACAATTCTTTATTCTGCGTAGGGCTGCAGAACAGGTCTCGTATGTAAGTAAAAGGGATATAATAAAGAATTACCTGAAAAACACATGTGAAGCGAGGTTTTTAGGCCGCCATATTGTCTGTACGCGTAACCGTAAAAGTCACGTGATTCCCTACCGTGATATTATGTAACAGATAAATGCATCATGTAAGACACATAACAAGGTCTGTATCAAAAGCTTAAGGGGGGATTTTATTAATGATTAAATTTTCACATAACTAAGACAGCTGATCAGTTGTAAATTCTATTATTTATTTCACAACACAATTTGTGTCCTTGAGAAGTCATAATTAAAAGGCCACCGTTACTTGTACTTTTAATTTAATTTCAAATACTAACATTGAATGAAATACTATTTGGTCATATTATACTTTATTTCACAATATTGATATAACCTAAATAGAGAAATGATATTAACATGGTACATATTATTCTTTTATATTGAGTAAACATGTTTTAATCCCTACACCAATTTATCACAATTCATTTCACATTGAAAGGAGCATTCAATGTTCATTTAAAATTAATTTTCATACTGTATTACTTGATCCATGGCAAATTCAATATTTTACATTTTAAATATGCTTTATATTAGGTTAGTAAAACTAGGGCTTTAAAGTCAATGGAAGATAATTCTGTACTGTATCCATTGGATACAAGATCAATATTTGTTTGTTATTGGGTTAGTTGATAAAGATATATTTATGGTTACAGACTGTGACATAAAGTACTGTTTGGTTTAAACTGATATTGCATTTAATAAGGAATTTCCCTCTCATTTTAGGAAAGGCACCAGTCTATTCTTAATGGGAAGATAGCATTGATCACTATAGTATATAGTGATTTCTTACAGCAATACAGACTCATCTTCATTAATAATAATGTAATAGACAATTATTCAACACTACACTCACTGTCTAGAGAACAATTTCTTTATTTTTTAACTTGTTTTAGCTGTCAAAGTTTCTGATAAAATATCATCTTACACATGGTATTATACTCAAAATTTCATTTACAATATTAGTATTTCTTTACAAATGACATCACAGCCTCCCATGTCAGGAAAATAAAAAAGACCTGCTGTGTGTCAGTTAGAAATATGCCTTGCAATTTTGGCACCAAAAATGTACAGACAGGTGAAAGGTAAAAACTTTGTACATTTTCTCTGCTAATTATCCTAACACTCACCTAGACTTGGGGCAGATGACACAACTGACTAAAATGATGCATAGATGTTTATATGAAGATATAAAAGTGTTTTTTTTTAAATTCCCTATTTTTAAGACTGACCATTTCCTGCACTTCAACATGGTTAGGGAAAATTGTTACAATCAACAGGTGCATTACTGATGCATCAGACAGACAATCTGAAATTTTAAATTTGCACCAAATTCTTAAAACATCAAGTCCCCTGGACAATATAGTGACATTTAAAAGCACTTTAAGAATGCTAGGTGTAATAGGAAAGCAATGTGCAGGCTTTCTAGTAAGAATGTTTAATAAGTTTTCCACTCTCTCAGTTTTTAGACAATGTCTTGTCTTTGTTGTTATCAAATTGTATCCATATATCAGCAAAAAAAATATGAATATATAAAATATGAGACTAATAACCAACAATTTACAGTTGGTTGAAGCATTTTTTTATTGTCATCATCACCAATGTCTCAGTATTTCTTTAAGTGCTTTTGATACATTTACTTTTCTTTTTTTAGTTTTACTCTACTGGTTGATTTTATATTACACTACAAAAATTGTTTATGGCAAAAAATAACTTGTGCTTCTTCAATGTCCTGAATAAGAGACCCGAAACATGATCTTTAACACCAGGACAATAGATAAAGTCAACACTTAGATTTTCAAGTCAAATATAAAATGAGGTCCCATTAAAAAGTTTGAAAAGATCATCATAGTCTGATCTGCTCTAGGTAACCATGTGTATGTCTATCGGAAAAAAAGGTAAAACCATGTGTCATGGTTATCTGTGTTGGAGTTATTTCTCCCAACAATTGAGTTTTGAAAAGTACATAGATTACTTAACCTGTTCTGGAACAGGTATTAGCAAATTTAGTTTTAAAATAGGAAGACTTCATTAGCAAGAGTTTGAGTCACAATGATATATCATATTCAGCATGGCCTAGTAGACAATAATACTTAATATATATATTTTCACATGGGCTTTCTCACCTAAAAATATGAAGAAGAGGTAAGGCTTTTGCAAAGACAAGAATTTTTTTCTTATAATTGTGGACTTTAAGGATTAAAAATTTCCTAGTGGTATAGATTTCTGGAATTTACATCTTGCAAATATCATGACAACATAAACAATACATAATGTCAATAATAATTGTCAGTAGTAATAAGGGTCCGAATATCTGTCACAGAAGAGTATAAAGTTATGTTTAAAATGGACAATTAGCCATTCATTTGGTAAAAATAGCTGAAACATTTGCCCATTTCTGTATACATGATAACCTAATTTTTAGCAGCAATATTCAGGATATTTTAGGACTTAATGGAGTCAATGAATGTCTGAATGCAGATTCAATTTATGCTGGCCATTTGTTAATTACAATTTTTGACACCTTCGCTCAGCAAACCATATAAGTTCATACAAGACACCTTCGCTCAGCAAACCATATAAGTTCATACAATTAATCTTTTATCTAAATTATTGCACATAATATTTCGTTGGGAGGGGGCACATACTAGATTTACCAATCAAAGGATTAGTGTCACCATTTCCTATATATGCTATATTGTCATGGGATGATCGTTATCAGCATTGTAGAATGAATACATGTAGTTAATATTAACTTGACAGTCATCTGATTTCCAGGTCATTATGGCATGTACATATTTAAAATTCCTGTCAAATTTGGCTGAAATTTATTAATTAAAAAAACTCCTTTTCAGTCTTCGCCAATCACAACCATCTTTTGTAAAACTGTCATGGCCGAGCTAAAAATAAATTAAGGACCTAATCTCAATTCAAGTATTTCTGGAAATTTATTGTTAAGTGTAGCCCATGAAGCTGTTATCACATGACTTTTACACATGATATTTAAGATTCAGGTAACAGCTTTAAGAATATTTTTGTTTATAATGCTCTTTGCATATTTGTTCATGGTGTTATTACACAACTTACAAATGTAAACACTGGTAAAAGCAATTTATATGAAACGACATAAATATTTAACATATAATATATTATATATCTTTTCCTATGTATTGTTTCCATATGACTTGACAGCAGCAGATATGTCTGTCAGGACAAAGTCAAGTCAAATCTTTTTAAGACAAAGTAAAGTCAAATCTTTTTAACTTTCTTGCGATTTTTGACAAACAGACATGCCCTGCAAGAGGTTCAACATTAACTGAAGTTAACCTATAGCTCTTCAGCGCTTCTTATGTAAAATTCTTCCAAGTATATTTTCCAATAACCGTAAATTATACCATACCCAGACTATGGTATAATTTTCAGTTTTGAAGATCGAAGGAGTAAGTGTTTCTGGGCGGAGCTATAGGTTAAAACAGATACACCATTGGTGCGTTGACGATTTCTGGGTTTGCGTAAATTATACCATAATCACGTGACCTTTCTTATGCAACCTCACTCCACTTCGTCTCGTGAGGTTAAGGCATAAGAAAGGTCACGTGATTATGGTATAATTTACGCAAACCCAGAAATCCTCAACGCAGCAATGGTATATCTATTACATACAGTCCAACCGCGTTTATTCGAAGTGCCTGGGACTGAATATTTACTTCGAATAATCGATGGGTTCGAATAATCGAAATCAGAATATTGTGATAGACGAAAACTACTCCACTTTGACCAATCATAGCAAAACTACCGTTTACAACACACTTACTTCCTGTAATCAATTGAGAAAAATAAATATTAAAGAAAATATGCGTAACAATTATTGTATTGACATTGAAGACATAATTACTTGCATGCTGATCAACATTCCTGTAAAGTTTCATGACTCTAGGTCAAATACTTTTTGAGTTATATGCGACACAAGTTGAAAATTGCAAAATTTTACTAAGTCAAGGGCAATAACTCTGAAAATACTAAAAATATCCAGACGAAAATACTTAGGTGCACAACTACACACGCTGATCAACATTCCTGTAAAGTTTCATAACTCTAGGTCAAATACTTTTTGAGTTACGTGCGACACAAAAGTGAATGGACGGACGGACGGAAGGACGGATGGACAAGGGTAAATCTAAATGCCCGCCACTAACGTGGGGGCACAAAAAATAGAAGAAATATCACGTAATAGTGTTATGTTCTTAATTAATTAGGTGTAATTCGGACTAATTCCCTAGCATTGAGTACACCGGTCATTTGAGAGACCGGTGTGTATACAATGATTCCCTAGAGGTAAATCCGTAACGTACCGGGAAACGGTATTTAGCTAGGTTTTCGAATAGGTCAATTAACCAATCATGTACTGTTTACAGGTCACATGCTCCTCCATGTACCGAAAACAGGTCACGTGCTCCTCCATGCCTCAAAAATTAAACGCAGTGACATAAAGTACTGTTGGGTTTAAACTGATATTGCATTTAATAAGGAATTTTCTTTTCATTTTAAAAGGCACCAGTCTATTCTTAATGGGAAGATAGCATTGATCACTATAGTATATAGTGATTTCTTACAGCAATACAGACTCATCTTTATTAATAATAATGTAATACTAATAGACAATTATTCAACACTACACTCACTGTCTAGAAAACAATTTCTTGCATTTTATTCGACATAATGTATCGTTTCGTTTCGCACAAAGCCTTGATAATGGCCGTGTGGTCACTAGGGTATTTACTGCTAAACTCTGGTATTTTTTATTAGGATTAAGGCTCTCATGTAGCGTTACAATTAATGAAAAAAAATGTTTTGGATGTTTTGACAAATTCACATTTACGTTATGTATGAAAATTAATTGCTGTCATCTTCAAGCAATAACAGTATCAAAATCGGACACGGTGCATAGCGTTTCATTTTCCGTAATTAAAGTTGATTACAGAACACACATAGAGTTATTATCATGATTGTCTAAATACACGCATGACTGTTGATATTTTTCACAAGTCGACCAGTCAGCGAGTGGATCTGCGCCAATAAGTCGGGCTTCGAATAATAATTAGGCTGGATTCGAATAATAGGTGTGAAATTCTTTCATAATTGTAAAATCGGGACCGAAATTTTACTTCGAAAAATAGGAGGTATTTGGATAATGAATTTCGAATAATATGCTCGTATTTATATTTATTTATATAGAGAAAAAAACTGGACCGCTCATCTACTTCGGATAATGTAGGGTATTCGAATAAAGGGTTGTTGATTAACAGGGGTCGGACTGTAGATAGAAAGAAGTAAATTTTTTGTATCTGACTTATAAATAAAATTTACTTGACTTGACAGGAATCCTGAATGCACTCTATACCGGGAGGTACTTTGTACCAGGAATGTCCAGATATTACAAATAATACTTACATAAGAAATTTCTTTTGTATGGAAGTGTTTTTCACATTTAACTTTTATACAAAATATGGCCTATTTTGAAGAAAACAAAAAGTTTTAATAACTTAATTCTCATAATTGTTTTTTACGCATAAAAACCAGTAGTATTGCTAACGATTTGGACCCAACATGACATTTTGAATGTGTGTGCAAATGCTTATCAAATGTTTACTCTTTTACTGTGTGATACTTGATAAATATTGAATGTAACCTAGTATCATTAGCAGTTTTGGACCATTTACATCTGTTTTTAACTTTTTATTGATTGTTATTAAGTCATTTCCGGTCTATAAGTCTATAGTAAATAACTATCTTATCCTAGATTGTTTCTGTATTATATGATGGTGGGCCAAATAAGGCTTACATTCCCGGTGGATAGTACAACCAGGAAACTTTGTTATAAACACAAGTTGATGATATCATAGACATAGGAACCTCTTGTAAAAAAGTACACAGCTCATGAGTGAAAAGCACAAGTAAGTTAACAAAGCATACTGTTACACTATTCTTATGAACTTTTAAACTCCATGCATTAAAAAAACTTCACAAAATACTTCACCAGCACAAGCCTGAACAGGCTGACCAGGTGCTATAAAAGATAAACAACACATTCACAAATAAATTTGACACCGTATGTGTAACAAATTGATTAGATCGAGACATTATAACATGAGCATAACAGGATACATACCCTTTCAATGGTTAAATCAAAAACACAGAGAGACATTTTAGATTAATATGTGTGCAAAAAATTCAATTACACTTCTTGTTTTCTCGATTCCAAGGACGCTTTTTACTGTAGCCAATCAAATCGCTTAGAAATGGCACAAAGAGAGAAAATGTACCTAACGCAATACAAAGAGCAGCTGCAACTTTTCGGTAAAAGCAATCGCCGAGGTGTTCCGAATGACATATTGCGACAAATTGACTTTAATTTGCAAATTTTAAAATCATTTATCATAAAGGTTATCATGATCATGAAGTAATTATTTAGCAGTAATTGGTAACTATAATAATATGTGAAATGATTTGATCCATGAGGTGTCCTTCTGTTACAATTTAATTTATTATCCTGCCTTTGTGATTGACGCGTCTTTTTCTTGCTCTATTAAAAGTTATGATTATTTAATACCGTGTTTCTGGATTTAATAATTAAAAGTCGTTCATCTGCTCTTAAAAGTGAGCAAAAGCAGAAACCTTTATTACTTAAAGACCCATGGCAAAAGATTATTGATGCTTAAATGTATATGTTACAGACTTTTAATTATTACAGATCTTAACTGAAAGACCATGACCCGAGACAGCTGGTAATTAAGGAAAACAATGGTAGGTCTGAAACAAAAGCTATTTACATCCAACTTTTTGTTAATATCCTATTCTTATTTTTATGAATATTTGTAATTGAACAATGATAATTATTCATTTATAAGCCTTGACATTGACTCTTAATGGCACAAAAGCAATGTTTGAAAGCCTGACCTTTAGAATATAATAAAGGCATATTAAAATTATAAAATTCATATCAAAATGTCTTAAGTTGATAGTTTGAAATCTCTATTAAACGAAATAGTTATTGTCTTGATAAACTGCACACGACAATATTTGAAATTATATTCTAATTATATTCTTAATGGGGCCTTAACCTTAGAACTGCACATGTGTTTCTTGAGCCTGATCCACTGCAGTCTACTAGCTAACTATTTTTGCGCAGCGTCAAAAAGATTTAATTCCCCATCCAAAGACAAAGTTATTTTTAAGACAAAAAATATTTGGAAAAAAAACAAAACAGTTCATTGCGGTTTTACGATTGAGCCCAGTTATTTGAGAATTCACGGCTTATCTATAGCCCAAAGTAGTAGAATTTTATTTATTTATTTCCTTTGTAAGACTTTAACTCTTATTTTATCCAACCAATTTGGTAATGGCGAGCAGCACACCATTTCACTGACGTTTACATTCGTATCAAGTTATCAAGAGAATACCGCGATCCATATAGGATTGAATGTGAACCAGACTTCACAAACTCAGGTGTCAATTTCCACGCGGTAGCCGTAAAAGGTTGGCTCGGGTCTCACTTCAGTGTTGTTATATTTTCAGGTCGCCGATCGGGATCATTGTTGCAACTACACGGTATCTCTCACGAACATGCTATATTTTATTTTTTACAAGAGAGTGATTTACAAAACTCATTGACTTTCCTTCTCAATCATGTTTCTAAATTACATGTATAGTGAGATTTGTCTATGTAATTAATAAACGGAATAAATATTGTTTAGATTAAACCGAGTCTGCAATTTTGATATGGCATTATTATTGCCATTGCTTCCATCACTAGTTTTCCAGATATAATCTTTTTACATTTAAGATAAAATTTAAACAAAGGCTACCAATTAACGCTGTATCAGATTAGGATAGAATAACTGCCAACCTCACCATACGAAGTGTCGCGACGAGCATCTAGGAGAAAATGGGTTTGGAAAAAATCAGTGGACATTTATCAGACTGGCAATCACGTTGTTCGTGTGGCATTTCGTAGATCTAATTAACTTTTTGATAAAACTAAAAGTTCGGATTGTCATTGTTTGTACTTTGTGTGTGATCATTTTACTTCTCAATCTTTACTGCAGTCATAGCCTTCGACATAAATTGGTGAACTTTCATGATAATGTGTGGTCTTACAGCAATGCCTTCATGCTGGTTAATATACTTAAACTATATGTAACACAAGATATTGTGAAAGTCTTGTTATTTAGGTATTCGTAAGCTTGGGTATTTTTGTGTGCCAGTTTATTTTATAGAAACGCGAAAGAAATGAACAAAATGTCATCTATAACTTTTGCTCAGACCATATGCAATAAAAATTCCCATCTATTCATTATTCTTGATTAAATTTGTTAGAGCAAGATAATTTCCGATAAAATATTTCATTGATGATACATTGTACCGGTACATCACCAATTAGCAATTAGAAGGAACGAACATCAGTGTTATATTTTAGTGAAAATACTTACCGTACTTGAGCTAATTTGACTACACTGTATATAGAAAATCTAAAATAATGTCCTAGAACTTATGCACATGTCTTTTTCGAAAGTTACCAAATAGAATACTTTGATAACTAATTAATATCTTCTTACAAAATAACGTTAAAATTCCAAATTTTCAAGAAATTGCGACAACCGTACTAATGCAAAGTTCTCAATTATTTTCCGGCATGCTCTTTGATTTCCGTCAGGCAGGACAAACTGCGTTATAATGTCTTTAATAATCAGACTGAGAGCATTCATAATAATGTTACGTAATGTGACGAGTAACTTTGTTTTTAAAAGAACAAAAAACAACCACAAACACCGCAAGTTTCTGAAGGTGTATAAATATCTCGAGCATTTCTTCATAGGTTGTCTTTAGGTAATTATTGGATATCTAAAACATTGGATAAAATATTCATTTGTGGCAGGATAACCAGGAAGTTTGGAATGATTTATCATTTTTTCCTCTATCAGGATTTATTCAAATGTTTAACTAATTGTGGAATATTCTACTGAAAATTATTTTAGACATTTGTGGAAAATACTTAAGCAGTGATTCATTCATTTAATGATCAGGACAGGATTATAAGTTTATTTATAAGTTTATTTAGGACTTTACTTATATATAATTATTTTGGCATCCAGGCAAAGCATTTGTAACCTTTGTATAAGTGTACTTATTACAATATAAACTTAAGTTATTTGTTTGAAGAAAGATAATTTTTATTGTTCGTTCAGTTACACTTTTGGACTGAAACACAGGAAATTATAACAAAACACGTTTTCATTATTGTTGTCAAGCTTTTGAACCTTTCCACAAGTAATTTACCACTTTAATGAAACAAATCTGTAAACATTTGTGGATTAGATAGTGACCACGGTTGTTCAAGATAAATCATGATATATATCAGTAAAATTAAATTAAAACGCCAAAAAAGAAAGGAAAAAAAACTTACTTCCTACCCATGCCCTTATTTGAAAAAGTCATCTTATTGTAACAGGAAAAGAATACGAAGTATGGAAGTAATGTACATTGTATTCTAAAAATTGATATTTCTACTTACATTTTAAAGAGAAATTAACGAATATTCTCCCTTGAAATCGTATAAATATATGCTTAAATTCAGTGGGAGTCCTTATGATTAATATTTCTGCCACCAAACAGTTTCACACATTCCTCCCTTGGTTAAAAAGATGCAGTGCAGACACGAAAATGCTAACAGATGTACGGCGAGACAAGCAGGGTGATAACATCTAGTTTTCTTTCGGGTTTACAGAACGGGAGATCCCTCATAAATTCTGACATCAACATTAGTGAAAATTAAAATTCATCGAGCCTCCTCAGGAATGGCGATAAATTACAAAGCACCTCAAAATGTTTAGGTGCGGCATGCCCGAATGAAACCTTCTTGGAGTAATCAGATAATCTTACAATTAGGGAAGGGACCAAATCATGAAACTTGTTTGATTAAATGTTTTGTATTAATTATCTTTACGATACTAAATACAGTAAAATGCCAATTAACGACCACGCCACAAATAGGACCACACTGGTATTTAGGTCCGTTTTTTTCAAAAGTACAAAATATTTGTCTTCTTTATTCATTGAGAAAAAATATAAGTATACCGACTACGTCTCGAGCTCTTAAGGTTTTGACGTCCATGATCCCAAAACCAGAACATTTATCAAGTATGAAATAACAGCTAACACAAATTGCTGCACAAATCAATACGGTTCGATTGACAATCTTAAGATGGGGAAAATCATTTAACAACACCAGAAAGTTTAGGTAAATAGTTTTATTGGCGTATAGATATGCATTTGTTTTTGTATCAATAACTATAATGGCAAAATATATAAATAACAAAAGTATTGGATAAACATTGTAAAATAAAATAATAAAAAGTTTTATGTTTATTAATTGTGTTATTTTTCACATTGTTAAAATTAGAGAAAAACTGTAGAATATATTTATCAAAGTAACATTCAGTTGTACCTTAGTTAAGAATTGCTTTCAGTTTTACCTGTCAAATTTGCCATAATAATTTATATACTAACTACTTAGAAAATAAGAGCTAAAAAGTCTAATGTGTAAGATTTTAAATAAGGTGCAATACCTATTTACTATAAACTATTTCCTCTAAAATCATGCATTAAAAATTTTGATAATTGAAGACTTTGTGTAACAGAAATAAAATAACAATAATCAATCATCCACCCTTTTACATGTTCTGTTAACTAAAATTTTGGTCACATGACTCCTTCCAGCTTACATATGCAAACAACTATCTTTACTGTGATAGATACATTTTCTTAACTCAATTATATAAATGTATATTCCAAATATATGAAAAAGAGTACTTTCTACACAAAATTACAGTAACAGAACTGCTTAGGGAATGTGTCAACATAATCAATTTCATCAAAATGTAACAAAACAACATTGCTCAGTCCTGAAAGATTTTAAGTTTACAGAGGTTGTCACTTTTCTCTATCATCAGGTCATGATTATGACTTTTATAACAATGATTAGTTTCATTCAGAGAAAACTATAGATATCTGTACATGACAAGCCAACAAATATCTATTGATAGATACATGTACTTGACAAGTAAAACATCTATTTCAGAGACGTCTGTACTTGACATTAAGCTAAACATTTGTATATTGACACATGTACATGGCAATCCAGATATCTATCTAGAGATCTGTACATGATCAGTACAACATCTATTAATAGATTTGTGTTCAGGAAAAGATCATCCAAGTAAACCAAATACTTTAGGACCAGCTGTAACACCCACAAACATATAGCTGGCAAACTCTCAAACTTGTTTAATAACCATTATAATAAAAGATTATATAATATGACTGGTCCACTTCAAACTTATTAAAACACAAAATATGCACTGAAAAAAAAATACTCAAAGAAAAAATACATGTACCAAGATTCAAAATAAAACTCATTCTCATGTAAAAAAAAGTTTAACAATCAATCTTCTAACCTATTTTCCATATCTAAAAAAAAGATAAATAATGTTCAAGAGGAAAATATGTGCCATTGATTAACTTAAATCTAAATATAAAAAAAGTTCATATATGGGGACAATTTAACTAAAAAAAAATAAATAAAAAAAAGAAAGAAGAAGCAAACAAGATACCTAAATATATAAGATTTGTTTAATATAAAACATGATTCTAAGATTTTTAAATAGAATGTTGAAAAAAAAATCACAAAAACATAAAAGTATCACAGATAAGTTAAAGAATATGAATACATAAATGTTGTACTCATTAATAAATTATAGATCTAACCACAAAACTTTCATGAATCCTAGGCTAACCACAAAGCTTTCATGAATCCTAACCACAAAACTTTCATCAGCTATGAATGTAAACCAAAATCAGATGTTGCTGATTTTAAAATAAGGAAATAAATATGAGAATGTTTGACATGCAACAACATTTCTTGCATAAAAGCTATTATTCCTAAATGATATATTGTTTCTCTATATATTTATCCTCCTACAAAAAGTGAGAAAAGATATGTCATTAACAAAACCGTCTAAATTATAACATACAAAATATATACCATTTCTAGCCAACTGTTTAAATACAGTATAATCCTCTACACACTAGAAATACAAGTCAAAATTTTCTAACAATTTACACAAATTCATTACTCATTTTTTTACCATTTATTTTTTTCTACTTTTCTTTGATGATTAACAGCATTTCTTAAAAGTCCATTATATAATTTATTCATATTATCTTTAAAAACTTGTTTATGAGATGTTCCAGTTAATTCTGCAGCTCTTTGAGTCCAATACTGGCCCGCGTCTAAATGTACCCAACTGAAATCAAACAAAGTCAATTATTCTTTTAAATTATAAAAATTTAAGATTATATTTGAAAAACAATGAAAAAAACTTATGTACACAACACAAAATAATTACACAATGCCTGAAAAAGTCTTTAAAGTACCACCAAGTTAAAAAAATTGACAATAACATAACCCTGAAATTAAGATTACACATTAAGTCTAAAATATTAAAAGCATTCCGGTTTGCATTCATTGATTCAAACCATCTTTAAAAAAAAATTATCAATATAAAAAACAGATGATGGTACATTTTTCAGGCATTCTTTCTAGTTTCTGCCAAAGTAAAAAGAAACCACACTTTGAATTTGCTAGGACAGCTACTTAAAAATGTTGTGTTTTCTAAAAATCTCCAATCAATCAATGATTAGATCAAAGTGAAATATATCATGATATAACCTTTATCTATTGGTGACACACAAACAAACTCATTGTAAATTATAAGTTTACATTCCTTAAATACAGAAGGCTAACTACTTGCCTATTCAATTGCTCAGATATAAAGGATATTTCAATGGGATCAATATACCAGTAAAATCATCATAAATATCTTATATTATTAAAAGTTAGCTCTTCATGCCTTTCAGATAACTTGAAAACATCCTTTTGATAGAAACTTGTCAACAGGAAAAATGTAATATTCAAATTTTTATAGATCCTTCAAGTGGAATTTAAGCTTGTCTATCAATTTAAAGTTTAAGTTCTATCCACCACCCAAGTTTTATCTAACTTAACATACAGTAAATGTTCTACACGTACAATATACCTTTACTTATAACATTTTCATATATTCATACATTTAAAAGCAACATAATGGTTAAATAAGCAAAACAAAATATTGATTGACCAACATGTAAAGCTTAGATAAACAATGAGCAAAAAGGTCAACAACATGCAACATTAAAACATTTCCACTAAACTCAAACAAATATCTTTGTGAACTTTCTTCAGCTAGAAGTTACCGGTAAGTGTAATTGTTGAAATTGTAAAATAATACTTTTGGTGAACATTTTTAAGTGTTCTTTATTCATAGTACAAAAAAATCACCATAATTAATTGAAAAACATGTTTTTGAAACTATTTTCTCCCTTCTTAGGATTTAACAATTACACTTGAATCTGTAAATGTGCATATACACTGCAGCTTATTAAATCTATGTAGAGATATAATGATCAATTTTCTTAAAACATTTAAGTTTTTTATGGAGTCTACATCTTCTGCCAGAAAATTATCATGCTTTGATCTGACATTGAATTGCTGAGCATTTTAATACACAGAAACATTTATTTGATTGAAATTTCCTCAGTCAGTTATAACTTTTAATTCAAGAGTGTTGAAAACATATTCATTGAGTTATTAAATATTAAAGATCCAATGATGTTTGTTCTGAAAACAGACTGTGTTGTTTTCTCATATTTTGGTTATAGCATTTGACCCCACCTTCCCCACCCACATAATGGCCACACCCAATGTCATATTTTACCCCTAAATGACAAGTAAGTATACAATGCACATTTACAGTTTAAAAGCCATTCAGCATGCAGGCTTGTGTTAATAAGGAAAGGTAAAACTGTATGAACCTTTTATTATAAATATCTTGGATAGTACCTCCTACTCCTGGCAATACTTGTGTCTAGAGCTAAATCATCTATAGAACCTCGTAGAATCTATATAAAACACCAAAATAAACAACATACATATATATAAAATGTTAGAATGGAGACAAGAGTAAAATAGGAGAGATATGGTAGGTGGCTAAAGCATGAAGTCATGCAAGGTATATGTAAACCTTCCAGGTGATTTGTAGGAAACAGATTTAAACAGTTCTATTTGACCACTTTGTAAAATTGTAAATCTTACTCTTTAAAGCTAATGATGTTGCTGATTTTGAACATTTATTCACATCATACAGTTATGTAATCCCACATTAAATCCCAATTAGCATGTATTTGACAAAATACCCTCTGAATTTTAGGTGCATTGTGATAATAATGAAATTACCACCTGGAAGGTTATAATACATAAAAGGAGATAATACTTCTGTTTACAACAGGCATAGACACCATTATAAGGTTTAAACATTGATAGTGTTCCAACCTATTGAATAATTTCAGGATTTTCAATCCAAACTGAGCGGATAAACTTGTCTCCTGGACGCGAGCAATGTGTCTATCTCAAGATCATCCAGTGAACCACTCAATGAATGTGATAACTGTAAATGAAGTTACACTGATTTATAGACTCTAATCTTATCTTCCGAAACTACTTCATTACTTTATCTTCATTTACAAACTTTGAAAGATTAAACTTTTTAGCTATATTTGTTTAACATAACAGATTTGTAGCACTATTAAAAGAAATTTTAACTCTTAAGAATTTTCATACAATTTGATATTGAATTTTCAGATAATGCATGATGTTTTTCATAAGATCCCTGTTAAGGGATTTTCTTTTTAATCGTTTCAGTTTCAATATAAAAAATTACTGTTCAATTAAAATTAAAATTGAAAGTAATCAATACATTCACCATACTGTTCAGATTATTATATATCACCTAAAACAAGTCTAAAGATGTGGGGTACTCACAGGAGTGTATGATCTAATTGGTGATGGACTTCTAGCTCTAATGAGAGCGCGGGCTCTTGCCCTGGCTCTGGCACGTTCTACTGCAAGTTCAACCTCAAGCCTTTCAGCAGCGGAGAGTGCTGGGGAAACTGGGCGTGAGAAGCGGCTACTGAAGCTTGGTCTGTATAGGAATGGGCTGGCAGAGCGTGGACGTGGTGTTGTAAGGTAACTTGGTTTTGAGGTCAATTCAGCAACTTCTAAATCTTAAAAAAAAAACACAGACACATATAATGACAAAAATCTTATATTAAGTAAATCAAGGTAATCTCATCTTATGACTTTGTCCTCTTTTAAATTTTATTCTAAAATCAAATGGCTTTCTTTTAATTGCTTTGCTTTAATTTCTCTTGTAGTTTATTATTAAGTATTTCTATGATATAAAGATAATAGAGGCAATTCAAAATTTGTCATCATCTTATTATCCTTTTTGTCATATAATATTAATATACATATACTTCTATATATTGTATGCACATGGAATTTAAATAGTCTAAGTAACAAATAAATATGCATTTTCAATTAAATAACAGTAAGCTTTTTCTTATTTTCATTTTAAAATATGTGATACACTGTCACATACATAACAGTACAGGTATGAGATATAGACTTACCTTCATCATCGGAGACATATTTGGTTGTATAAACTGGCAGGGAACCTGATGCATCTCTGATCACCTGTTAAAATATACAATATAAAATTAATAATTATATATATAAAAGTAGAACATAACAATTTGAGTATAATTTACATTTCATTGTAAATTTTAAAGATATTCCTAATCTTTTATGCTTTTTGTTTAGAATGATATTTTTTATTTAGAATTAATTTTATTTAGAATTATATTTAATTGATAGAAATTGAACAATGGACATAATTTTATATGCTGAATCATTTTAAAACATTACTGTGAAAATATTTTCAACTTTGATTTATTACCAGAAAGATTATACGAAAGTCAATATAAATTTATTTTTAACAAAATAAACTAATAAACTGACAAAGAACTAAAGATACATAAAAAGGTAGAAAATGATAGGAAAAGGTGCATGGAGGATTTACCTCTTTTATTTGTAATCGAGGTGTGAGTCTTGGTAAATCATCATAGCTATCTACAAGAGGCAGAATATAGAAAGATGTGAGCACTATATCTATGTTATATACAATACTAAAATACTATATCCAGTATATGATGTTAGCATGTGTCCCCTGTACCAAACCTAGAAACTATAGTCAGTGTACATTTGTCATACTGTGAGTTTGGTCTTGAGTAACACAATTCAATACTATTATTATCTTATGTTAATAATGATCACCATGTCCCTTTATCCCATCATATTAAATATTTTTGTAGATGACATAAAACCTGTCATTTACTTATTATTATTTTTCTACTCTGAGCCAACTTTGTAATATACAGTTTCTTTATAGGTGTAGTTTCAGGAGCTTAAAGTTTATTATATAAAACATTCTGTCCAAAACTTCATTTCCTTATATTTTTAAGATATTTTGTCAGTTCAAGAATAGTCTTTTAGTTCTAAACCCTTTTTTTATTTAAAAATCTACAAATATGCCAAAATTTCAGTATTATTGTCTGAAAGCTCATCTTGACTTATAATGTTCTTAACTTCAAGTGACCTTTTTTTTTTAACCAACATCTAACATTAAAGTTGAGATTGTGTAGAAAAGTGTATAATAACAGTCATGCAAAACTTTTACACTGTATAAAGAGTAACATACAACATCCATTGTAAATGTATTGTAAATGGATGATGCAAGGTGAATATTGTAAAGATGATATACTTTCTAGTTAGAAGTCTTATTACATGCCAAGTGTTCACATGCACCACAAGGTACTGTACATGTAAGCTACTGTACAATATTAAATCTTCAGGTTACTGTTTGGTACCAGTGAGGATGGCGAGTGCCGACATATAGTAGCTTTGGGAATATTTTTATTAACAAATTATTGAAAATGGTTTCTGTACCTTATTGACTTGGATTATGAAAATCATTACACCAAAACAATTGTTTAAAATGGCCAAAACTGTCCAAAAATTTTGCTCAGATAATGTAGATTTCTAATTCATAAAAGTAAAAGAGAAACAACTGAAGATCCAAGCAAGAAACCAAACTGTGAGAGATAATGACTAACAGAAGGACTATAATGTCTCAACTAACAATGGGAGATCCCTTTAAACTTGATTCTTTTCACTGGATCAGTGCAGATATTAATACAATGTAGTACCAGTTTACTTAAAACAAATAGTTAAATAAAACATTTTTTTTTTCAATTGCTACAATGTATATTAAAGTGTTTTGTGAAAACTAGAATAATTTATAAACATGCTGCTGTGATCCAGAAAAACAATCAAGTAAAGAGATTTTTTGTATTTTTCTTGTTTACCGAGTAGTCATCCCATGAATCTAAATAAAATATTACAGTGTAAAAGCCTATTTATGTATACCTAGTAAAATGGTTCAAAATAAAGGCCTACATGCACATTATGCTGCACTAACAATTTAATACAATTCTATAATACAGCAACAGTATTCCCTGTCTATGATTAAACAGAAAGTTAAAGCAAATTATACACAAATTTTCCTATAAGCTTAAAATATTGTAATATAAATACTGAAAAAAATGCTAATTTAATAAGAATAACTTAACACTATGTTCAGTTTAACAAAACTGAAATGTTGCAAACACAAGAACTGTTTGTAAGAATGACAACTGTACATCTTAAGTTAAAATTTTGCCTCTTAGTCTATGCTTCATAAAACTTGGCAAACTTACAAAGCAAACTAACAATTTGTATTGGGATCACAATCATGGATAGGAAAACTTGTTGTAGAATGCAGATTTACTTTCATAGAATACAAGTAATAAACGGTGCAATTATTTGTATATATGTAAGGCAGTTTGTGGTTAAGTGATTCTTGTGAATACAACATAATAGTAAGGTGTGTTTATTTAAACTAAATAACTTATCTTATATACATTCAATATACATGTATACTTCTTTAACTATAATAAAATCAATTTGAAATGTTAATGTTAAGAAAGATAGCAGTGTTTGGTATTGCTGATTAAATACAAACCAACTTAGTTATTATAATGAATATTGGAATATATAATGAACATTTTACAAAGATTTAACATCTATATTAAAGGTACAGGTTATAATCTTAATGTAATTCAGTTTTATTATAGTGTATACATGTATATTTTCTACTTAACATGCTATAACAGACTGATAAAGAACCATGAAGACACTGTCTAGGTACCTTATTCTGGTTACAGCATGGCCGTCCAGTTGGGTGAAAATTAGGGCCATGACCCCAGTATGCCCTGCCCATATGTCTTGTATAGGCCTGACATACAAGACAATTGAGGGCAGACAAATAGACCTTATGTATCTTAGAACAGACAGGGCATCTGGCTGACCCTATACCACCTACTAACAAGACAAGTATATACATTCAAAACATCTAAAATGTTATAATGTAATTGTTATATAATTATACATTCTTCATCAAGTACCTGAAATCTAAATCAAATTAACATAGTATTACTATAGTATTTCAACATATCTAATCAAACATTATATATCATCTATAAATGAACAAACAAAAGTTATCTGAAATTCCTAAAGGCAATTCATTTATTTGACTAACTCTGTGATTATTTTTTCTTTAACTGATTAGTATTAAGGATTTATTCATTTAATGATGTATGACTTTTATCTTATGTGCTAAAATTTTAAGTTCCTTTACAAAAATACTTTGGGAAAATAAACAAAACTTCAATTCCTTTGGTAGGCAAAAAAAATTAAGTGCTTTACTCCTGCTTAATATATTTTCTATTTTTACCTATTCAAACTTGTTTAGCAATATCTTAGATTTATTGCACTATATATAATTATACACACCTTGTAAATAAAATAGTGTTATGGTACATTTCCATAGAGAATAACAAGTTCTTGACTTGTATTTTATTACATGCTTTTCGGTGGTTTATAGAAATATATCAGTGATATAAAACTGGTAATTTCACTGTTTGAAACAGTGAAATTACCACTTTGATAATTTCACTATTTTGAATTTAAGCCCCTTACGTTGTTTCAGTGAAATACCAGCGTGCACAGTACTGGGTACCAACTTAATGACGTGACGTCGTAAATGACTTCACGTTGTATTATTATTTGGCGCACTTTTCATTCAGTATTAGGCTTAATGTCTTTTTAAAACGTTTCTTTGCATGTAATAAAAAGAAAATTTGTTTAGTTTAGTGTAAGATCGAAATATATTTCACCTTGTGAACACCAAAAGTTCATATTTCACTCGTGGCTGCGCCACTCGTGAAATATACCTTTTGGTGCTCACTCGGTGAAATATATTCCGATCTTACACTGAACTAAACAAATATCCTCTATATATTATTAAATATTGGTGAATCCCTGCTTGTTATTTTAAACTTCAACACTTACTAATCTTTGTATACTTAAATTTTAATACCTTTTCCAATGTGTACCCAATAAAGAGAAATGCTTAAGACATACATTTAATGTTAAACTTTTGTAAGAAATTGAATATAATGTATCTGTATCATGACATCTTTAAAACCTAATATTTAAAATATAAATTGTAAGGTTTTTTGTTTGTTTTGAATCAGAAGTCTGTCTGAAGTGCAGAATTTCATACAAAATATCTAACACTTAAAACAATACATTACTGTTTATTTCTTGATACAATCATAGTCAAACAAGCAAATTTGTTGGTTTGATATCACTCAGCCTCTGGTGACAGATTATTACTGTCAACTTATCTTAATACAATACAAAATGTATACATTTTCAAGATATAAACCCATAACAACTGTTAAATCATTGAAACTGTCTTATTTCTAAAACTGTACTTCTAGAGTAAACCAATATTTATTATCAAAGATATAACTACATCAGATACATGAGAAATATTATATACATACCATATCCACTAAGAGCACTTGATGGTCGGGAGGAAGATCTCTTGGATTTTTTCTTCTTTTTCTGTCCCTTCAATGCAGGGGCACCAGGTTTTCTGCCTATTAAGCTATCCTCCAACTGTAATCAAAATGGTTTAACTAAATAAAATACATAACCAACTTTATAAATCATTTAAGTCATATACTGAAACTCTACTGACTTGAAATGGAAAAAAGGTTTATTTGAAATTGAAGCCATATTAGATTAAAGCGGCCTACAGCTTTTATTTTCTGCTGGAAAAACAGTTCTGTGTTGTTTCAATCTAAATATTTCAGTAATTTTATCTTGGAAAAGTGAATCATATCATTGTTAAGCTTTCTTCAAAACAGCATTTAGAGAGCTATTAATAAGGCATCAGTGACGTTAGTTTCTAAAAATAGAAGATTGGAAAACAAAAACATCTACTTCACTAATTAAAATATAGAGAGAAGACTGGTAGGTTAGAGGTATCAAGGGGTTTCCTTATTGTTTATGTACTTTATTGTTGGCAAGTTTCAATTTCCACCTTAATTCTTTTGATTTGACAATTATAGGAAACAATAATAACATATTTAACTTTTAGAAAAACTGAAGGCCACTTTAAACTATCATATATATCATTTTATACAAAATAAGCATGGGATGATTTCTGAGTATAATTATTTTAATATTCATGTATAATTTGAAATAATTAACACAGATAAAGATTAAAAGTTCTACAATCAATGACTATATAAAGAATAACATTTTGTTATCATGCATGTAAGATATAAAAAAAAATAAAGAAAATTTAATCTACAAAAAAAAACAACATTTTTTTCTCATATTTGAACTATTGATAGTAGGGTTTCATAAACACTACAGGATATAATAAAATTACATGTATTTAGATTGTAAATGTATAATCAATATTTCAACTGCAAATGTAATATTATACTATAAAAATATTTAACAGATAGATCTACAATCAACTGTCAGTGCATTGCAAACTTTACAACCATACATTAAGAATACAGATCATTTTAGAAACAGGCATAAAGATTACCACTGAAATAAATATTTTTATAAGAGCCTAGGAAATCTTGTTTTAAAGAATTTTCAACAAAACACTGGTGGAAAAACTACTAAAAATGTACAACTGCATTATTTATTCTGGTTTGAAAAAAAAAAAAAACTAAATGAAAGTTGAGAATTTAAACACAGTCAGTTTCTACTATTAGTACTATTATTAAAAGACAACACCACAGCACCAATGTCAATTTTTTTTCCTAAATTTTCTATGTTTTAGAGTTTCGTACAGAGAAAAAAGGTTATAAAAATGGGAGATAATTTTTGCAAGACCTACATGCCGCACAACAAATGGTGCCTTATTTCCACCTTCAGTGTCGGATAAACTTTCATCAGCGTAAGACTTACGTACCCCAGACTTGGACCTGGAACGAAAAATAGATGATATCGTTGGCCTCATGTAAGATGGGTCGGAGTCGTAACTCTCCAAAGCTGAGTCAGAGTCGGAGGAATACGACCTGTGATAGATAGTAAAATATCTGATAACATTACATTCAAAAATTCTCCATAACATCAGTTCTATATGATACTTTATTCTGTATAGTTAGTAAAATTTGCATATTGGAATATTTTGATAATTTTAGAAATCTTTATTTCTATTAATTTACAACAAGAGCCATGTCAACATGGCCATCCCCCACCGAATGGGTTTGCTCATTGGAAGAATGTATATGTAGGAGAGCAGAATAGTTCAATCTTAAGAGGTCTTTTGGTAATGAAGTGATTACAGATTTGAAACCTATGTGAATACTGATGGCTGAAAATAGCAAAGGGCAATAACTGAAAAATAACAGGGTAGGTTATCATTCATGTGTGCTGCACCCCTCGTCAGTAAAATCTATCTACCTTAATAATGAAGTTTCAAGTTGATACCTCAAATACTTTTTGAGATAAGCTCCGGACAAAATAGTATGAAAAAGAACAAAGGGCAATAACTTAAAAATTATGAAAGGTAGAGTTATCATTCTTGTGCACTGCACACCTCCTGAGTGAGATCTATGCACCTATGAAGTTTCATGTTGATATCTCAAAGGCCTTTTGAGTTATGCTCTGGACAAAAATTAATTTTGAAAAAAAAACAAAGGGCAATAACTCAAAAATTATGCAGAGTAGAGTTATCATTCTTGTTCATTGCACTCCTCCTCAATGAGATCCATCCACCTATGAAGTTTCAAGTTGATACCTCAAATACTTTTTGAGATAAGCTCCGGACAAAATAGTATGAAAAAGAACAAAGGGCAATAACTCAAAAATTATATAGCGAAGAGTTATCATTCTTGCGCACAGCATTCCTCCTCAATAAGATCTATCCACCTATGACATTTCATGTTGATATCTCAAATACTTTTTGAGTTATGCTCCACTCAGGTGAAAAATTAAGTATGAAAAAAAACAAAGGGCAATAACTTAAAAATTATGAAAGGTAGAGTTATCATTCTTGTGCACTGCTCACCTCCTGAGTGAGATCTATGCACCTATGAAGTTTAATGTTGATATCTCGAAGGCTTTTTGAGTTATGCTCTGGACAAAAATTAATTTTGAAAAATAACAAAGGGCAATAACTTAAAAATGATGCAGGGTAGAGTTATCATTCTTCTGCACTGCACTCCTCCTCAATGAGGTCTATCCACCTATGAAGTTTCAAGTTGATACCTTAAATACTTTTTGAGATATGCTCCGGACAAAAATGTCGGACGGAAGGACGGATGGACGTTCCAACATTTTGTGTTTAGGGGCTATTTTCTTTGTTATTTTCTTTGTTTTCTTAAGGGCAACTAGCCCATAAACTCTTTGATCACGGAATGAACCTATTGTTCTCTTTTGTTCTCTTTACTGTTATATAGCCCCTAAACCCAAAATGTTTGCTTGGACGGACGGAAGTTCTCACAGGACAGTAATTATGTGGCTACTCTATTGTTCTCTCTATTGTTCTTTTTAGCCACACAAAAGAAAATAGCCACATGAAAGCATTACGGAATGAATGACATCAAAGTGATAAAACAGTTACCTATTGTCCCTCTAGCCACATAATTACTATCCTGTGAGTGCGGACGAACGGACGGACAGAGACTATTTCTATATCCCCCGCCGCCTTTTCGGCGGGGGATAAAAAAATATCAGACAAAAATTAATTAAAACAAAAGAATCAATAATGAGGATGAATATTTGTTTTAGTTACTTAGTTATCCTATGTTCTTTTTACTTACTTATTTTTACTGATTATATTATAATTATCTTAATCAACCTATGTATAAAAATAGTCTATTATAAAGGCAGTCTAGCTCAAATGCTTGCAAAATTTAAGCCTAGTATGTAATTGCACATTTTCCAAAGTAGTGAATTTGTCAAACTTTACACGGATTTTGTTTCTTTATTTGCAATACTTAACTTGAAAATTTTTATTGGCAATGCTTAACTTGAAAAATTAGCACACCAGTTCATATTAAGGATTTAAAATATCAGCCAAATCAGGCATCGAAAAATATTTTCAAAGTCACTCGTCCTGCAGGATGAGTAGCTTCTAAATACAATGTGTAGGCAATATTTTTCTACTTGTCCTGCATCAAGTTCTCTTAAATTCTACTTGTAATTACGAGCGGACGAGTGGAATTTTATATCTCTGCAAATGGATAATCTTTTTGAAAAAAAATTACAGAATCATAACTAATGTTTAAATGCTGAACTTAGTTCACACGGACAGAAAACATTGTGATAAAGCACCAGAACATTTGCCATTCATGAGAGCAGACAAACTGTGAATTGTCATCTCACTTTAAATGCATGATGCAGCATCTGATACAGTGAAAATATTCCCAATGACTATATTATAGAGATTGGAGATGCTATAAAAAAACATCTGTCCCAGCTAATAACCAAACATAAATATATGACCTTCATAGTAGAAGTATGAATGTCAAAACAATCCATTATTTTTTTACTTAAACATTACAAGGTTGCTACAAACATTAATTTTTGTGACTAAAGAATTATTTAAAGTTCAGTTAAATGTAAAAACATTTCTGAATGAGATAGCATAACTCATAAGCATGAACAACATAAATTACAATTAATGTAACATTTATTTTCTTTTTAAAAGAATGCTGCAACATAATACATGGCATCAAATATGATGTCATCTAAAAATGGTATAACACAGATAATATTTAGTGTGATATAAAATAACAACGACTGTGAGAATTAGTACAAACTAATGTTTCATGCAATAAGTAATGAATCTTGTTGATATAGCTGTACAGTAACTGAAGTAATGCTGGAATTATATTACAGATGTAACGCATCTCAGAGACAAATGTAATATACCTCAGCAACAGATGTAATCTACCTCTGTGACAAATGTAATATACCTTAAGGACAGATGTAATATACCTCAGCAACAGATGTAATATACCTCTGTGACAAATGTAATATACCTCTGTGACAGATGTAATGTACCTCAGCAACAGATGTAATCTACCTCTGTGACAAATGTAATATACCTTAAGGACAGATGTAATATACCTCAGCAACAGATGTAATATACCTCTGTGACAAATGTAATATACCTCTGTGACAGATGTAATGTACCTCTGTGACAGATGTAATATCCTCTGTGACAAATGTAATATACCTTAAGGACAGATGTAATATACCTCAGCAACAGATGTAATGTACCTCTGTGACAGATGTAATATACCTCAGTGACAGATGTAATATACCTCTGTGACAAATGTAATATACCTCTGCAACAGATGTAATGTACCTCAGTGACAAATGTAATATACCTCTGTGACAAATGTAATATACCTCTGTGACAAATGTAATGTACCTCTGTGACAAATGTAATATACCTCAGCAACAGATGTAATATACCTCAGTGACAAATGTAATATACCTCTGTGACAAATGTAATATACCTCTGTGACAGATGTAATGTACCTCAGCAACAGATGTAATCTACCTCTGTGACAAATGTAATATACCTTAAGGACAGATGTAATATACCTCAGCAACAGATGTAATATACCTCTGTGACAAATGTAATATACCTCTGTGACAGATGTAATGTACCTCTGTGACAGATGTAATATCCTCTGTGACAAATGTAATATACCTCAGTGACAGATGTAATATACATCTGCAACAGATTTATTGTACCTCAGTGACAGATGTGATGTACCTCTGTGACAGATGTATTATACCTCGGTGACAGATGCAATATACATCTGCAACAGAATGATGTAATGTATTCCTGTGACAGATAATGTACCCCTGTGACAGATGTGATATACCTCAGTGACAGATATGGTGTACCTCTGTGATAGATGTAATAAACCTCAGTGACAGATGACATCATGTAATATACCTCTGCAACAGATGTAATATACCTCTGTGACAGATGTGATGTACCTCAGTGACAGATGTGATTTACATCTGTGACAGATGCAATATACCTCAGTGACAGATGTAATATACCTCTGCAACAGATGTGATGTACCTCTGTGACAGATGTGATGTACCTCTGTGACAGATGTAATGTACCTCTGTGACAGATGTGATATATCTCTGTGACAGATGTGATGTACCTCTGTGACAGATGTAATATACCTATGTGACAGATGTAATGTACCTCTGTGACAGATGTGATGTACCTCTGTGACAGATGTGATGTACCTCTGTGACAGATGAAATATTTCTACAGGATAGCTTCAGACACAAATGTTTGTATTGGAATGATAAGTCAGAGAGAGAGAGCGATATCCTCTGACTGTATTAATTATCTATGCTAAATTGATTTATTTGTGAATCTTTCATATCTACAGTATGCCATTTTGTAATATAAGACATTAAGAAAACACAGTCAACAAAAATAAAAGCAACAAATTTATAACTAACATTTTCTGCAACAAATTTGGTTACAAGCTAGGAATGTTATAAAGCTAAGTGGCTGTAAAAATTGATTTATCATGCAATAACCTATCTATGTACACATGCAATGACAAAGCTTCCGAAAAACATCTTATTGTAAAATTCTGAGACATTTTAAATAAAAATTTAGTCACAAGCAAGTCCATATCAAACAATGATATAAGATTTGTTTCACAATTAAAAAATGAAGTTTTACCAATGATATGGCCTTATGGATATATTGACGCATATTCATTTTGCCTCAGGTGCCTTAAAAAAAAACCTTCAAATATGATAAGAATTCAGAAAAATAAACTTTGTCAGAGCATGAAGTTCTAACTACTGAGGACAAGACATACCTAGATCTAGATATTGTGATGCACAAACTGTCTGGACTGAATGAAAACATGCAAGATCACTATCATATGATGGCATTGTAAATAACTCATTACCTGTACATGTTACATTAAGATGATACCTATGATATCTTGATTAAAAACATGATCTTATAATGTTGATGCAATGGTATGAATATAAATTAAAACAGAAACAGATTAGAAGATGTTTAGGGAAAGATTGAGATAAGGACCATAAGAAAATGTTGTAAGAGTACTGAAATACAGTGCTAACACCAACTTAACTTAGCAGAATCTTCAATTTTGCAGCCACATCACTAAATACAAGATTTTATGTAAACCCTTCACCCAACCTGCTCTGACTATCTGAATTATTGATAATTTGATAATACAACACTTGATGTCAGCATTTTTATTAATGTTTGCTCAGTTTCTGGTAAATATTTCCCCTTTTTGAAGGTATTAAAAAAGAATGAAACCCCTTGACATGTGGCTGCTTAAGATACTTGTATGTGGGATTTGAAAATTTGAACAAATAAAAAGAAGAACAAATTCAAATTGAAGGATTATTATAAGAAAACACATAATTACATGTCCTCAGTCAAAGATCTGTGATAAAGAGAACATGAATACTAGTACATAAAATGCAATTACCTTTATACCGAGACAAAATTTATCAATTTTCTTAACAAAATTTTAATAAATATCCAATTTTCAACTAGTTAAAAGTATAACTGAAAGTTATGTTTCTTTATTACACGTTCATTTTCCTAATTGTATTGATATAACAATAAGTTGTATATTCAAATTTTAAATAAACTTCTATTCTGTTTTGTATCTAGATAACCAGCTAGAAAGTAGTAAATTGTTTCAGTGTAGATTTATAAAACCTTTATATACCAAAGACCTCGCAAAACACATGGGAAAAACAAACAATGAATACGCTTTCACAAAACCAGTTTGCTAGCTCATCACTGACAACTATAAGACATACCTGCATGTTCTTGTCCTAGATCTTGACCTGGACATTGAACGACCTCTGGTTCGTGACATGGACCTAGACCTGGAGCGGGCACGCCTTGCCAACTGAAAAAAATACATGAGTATATTAGTCCTTTAAAAAAGAAAATATAAACATTGGCTGTTGTCTTAATAAAAAACGGGTACAAAAATGTATTTAACCATACCTGTCACAGAGAGTATCATTTATGTTACACTGGTTATTGCAATAAGCCCATCTATTAATGCTGACAAGAAAAATCCTTAGAATTCCCAAGAGATAAAGTATTCATATAGAGAGCTGCATGCCTCTAGATGAGCAAAAATATTTCGCTATAATCAAACCTGAGAAAAATGTACTAAGATTTTAGGAAAGGTATAAAGATTCAAAATTCTATTAAAAATTTACATGTTATGTGCGTTAATGACCAAAATTTTCAGTAAATATAACTGTATTTCTACTGCGTTACTAACACAGTAAGGGCTATTTTTGCATGTTTTGACCTCTTTATAGTATTTTACATAGGTTGTTAGTGCAAATGATAACATGTAAATTGCATTCTTTTGGTAACTTTACAATATTATACTGTTACATACATTTTCATGAAAATTAGCATGAATCTGGAGGCGTGCTGTTTTAAGAAGTCATTTTCCTTAACCAGAAGTCGTTGGTCAAAAAACATCTAAGTCATAAAGAAATGAGTTTAAAATTTTCATTGATTCTTGTAGAGGAAACTAGAAGTTCAACAATACCTTTTCTTCCTCTAGAGCATCTTCAAGGGCATCAAGTTCTGGCGACTGTGACTCTTTAATAACAGTCTTTGTTGTAAATTCAAGTTTAGGAGATATACCCTGAAATATAATGGTTATAATCTATAAAAATGTGTACAAAATTTACATTCTTCATACATGCTTAAGTTTTTAAGAAATATAAGTATAAAAGGAGAATGGAAACTGATTTCAAAACATTGTTATGCGAGGTAACACCTAATGAAACAGCAAGAAAAACTATTAAATTATGCATGACATACTAATTTACAATCTATCTACAAGTCTTCATGAAAAAAAATCTTGAAATGAATATTAACAAAACTCTGGAGTAGATAAGCAATGCATGTCTTACAGGCCAAGCTATGGTTCTGGAAAGGAGTATTTCCCTGCAGGCAGATGTGTATGATGGACAGAGAGATGGATATGGGAAAAGAAATTCTCTAGCACTTGTGGAGTATGAGGCAAGTCTGACGGCACCATCAGAGTAATCCGAGTACTGTAATAGTTCAATCACAACCAACTCATCTGAAACAAAATCATATTTTTAAGTATTTTATAAGTGTCATTAGCCAGACACTTATTCTTAGTAACTAACAAACCTTCATTATGGGAAATTCAAAAATGCATGATGTAGTTTCTAGTTATGATACACAACAAATTACAAAAATAAGTAGAGTAAGTAGATTTGTTTGATAACTTAAGATATACTAGTATTTCTTGATTTTACCATGGTAACATATAACCACAGATATTGATACCATGGTCACCAGTTATACTGCTCCCCTCTATTGTACATTCTCCTATAATTCTTAAAGAACTTCAATTTAGGAGAAGTAAAAACATATTAAAAATTTGCAAAGAAAGGGCATTCATACAAAAAAATGTAGCATAAATGTTTTAAACTGAATCCAACTATTATAAGGTATTTACATTTTTATTTTAACAAACTTTCTCAAATTTTGACTGATATGTGTAAGATTTTAACTAAACAAACCTTCAAGAAATTCTGCTACATCTTGTGGATCAACTGCTGTGTAATATGTCTGTAAAACAATAACATCATTTTAAGGAATAACTTATGTTGAAATATAAGGTTGTCCATTTTTTAATGTTTTCTGATCTATAAGTAACTAATATAGTGAAAGTAAAGACATCTTTAAAAATAAGTTTTATGACATGGGCACATTCATTAATTTCACAGCTTAAAGTATTAAAAGTCCTATCCACTGTTCAATTAAAACTGTTAAACTGCGAAAAAATCTGATTAATTCAGACAATTACAGACTAAATCTGATCCTTCCTTACTCAGTGATTGCATTACAATGCCTTGTTTATCATGTCTATATAAACATAAAGAATATGTTTCAACATGCCTGATTCAATCTCAAACATCTATACTTAATATTCATTTAAAATTATTAATTATAAACCATTAATGTACAGAGTTTAAATTTAAAGAATAGAACCTAAGTTTTAACTCAACATTAGTTTGAAATAATTGTTTATGATAATTGTTGTTTACACATCCATAAAAAGCAAGTAAACAGTGTTGCATCTAGAATTTTAAAATTATGGGGGATTGTCCCCCACTCAACTGAAAAATGTGGGGGGTATGAAAACAAATGTGGGGACATGCATTTACCTAACAATATGACATACAGAAAAGAATTCATTTATTTTACATTTAAGCATTTTTGACAGCTATCGTCCGCTCAACAATAGAAAAATAAAATATTAACTTATACGTGCGCAGATAAAACCATTAATACACACACAAGATGACCCGGTCGGCTGCTACAGTTTTTTGTACCTATTTTAATCATTACTGTGAGTGAAAACAAACATAGCAGAAGCGTTCAAGATACGATGAAGATTAACTGAATTAAGTTGAAAAGATAATCAGATGCGAGACTTGGCTCGCATCGACTTCATTAAGATGCGTGATCTGCAAAAAATATGTGCAAAACATGCAAATTATGCGGCCCAGATGCAACACTGAGTAAATACCTAATATTGATGACTAATGAGTTGACATAAAGTTATTAAACTTTAAATACAACTTAGTTGCTGCCTATTTAAAACATTTTTAAAATGGAATTAGTTCTTTCTTATGCCTATTTTTCAAGAATTTGTGCAACACAATTATATCAGTTTCCTAGTCTATGTTTCTTTAACAAAACAAGAATCAATCTGGTGGTAATAGAAGTTAAATAGTGCTTAATAGCAGTCCTAAATAATATACTGCAATAACATACCTTTTCAAATCTAAATGGTTCATGTAAGATCATTGGAAAAATGGATGTAACATTTCGAGTATTTCTGTACTGCCCAAATACACTGATACTAATGTATAAGTCTTCTCTGCTAGGCAGCCATACACCAGGAGCCGATACCTAGTTAATTAGAAAGTAAAGACTGTATTTTAAAATGCCATATAATAAATATTTTGTTTAAATGTGTGTTTTGTGTTCTATTTAGGATTGATAATAAAAATGTTAATAATTTAAATTTATAATAAAAAATAACTTTTAAAAATTATCTTTAAAACTTAGTTAAAAAGATCTATCACTTATATATATTTTATCAGATAAAAGCTATATGAAAATAACTTGATGATTAGGAGCACAATCAAATCTCCATATATCATTTAGAGCAAGCAAATAAGCACAAACTTGTCAAGTATTTTATTACTCTGCTTGCCAAATATAGCGAAATTTATACATATTTTATGACTAGTAGCGTAAATACTCTATCAGCCAAAGATTACATCAGTAGTTCTCAATCAATAAAGTGTAGTATTCAATACCCTTCTGTATTGCTGACATATACATTCTCATAACCTACATATTCAATCAAGTTTAAAACATTTTTTGTGGATCTATAACTCCCAATTTCTCAACAGTTATGAACGTTATTAAATATAATTCATTATATAAAGAAATGGCATGCAACTTTTAAAAAAATTTAATCGTTCCATTTAACAAATAAATCGATATATTTAATGAATAACTCTAGCGGGAGCTCGTAAACAAGAAAAAACATGCTAACAAAATAAGACGAAAGTGTGAAGAGAGAAAAACACTTACCCTAGCTAAATCTAAATCAACAACACAGCGCAAAGCACGACGAGGCATAGTTTTTCCCCTTATTGTTCTTATAAGCAGACAAACTGGTGTAAATTGTTAAAAAAATGACAAGTATTATAAAAACAATCGAGACTTCTGTCCCGTTGCGCTGATTCCAAGGACGCCCTTTTACTGACCAATCATATTGCACCAACAATCAAGGGAGATTTTGTTAAAATGAAAAAATAAATCATCAATGTGTTTTTGCAAAAAGAAACTTTTATAAACAAATAACAAAAACATTAGGAATTATATTTTTAACAATTGTCAACTAATGATATATGTAAAAAATATTTACCTGACAAAAGATAAATGTTAATTTTATGAAAATGATTTCTCCCTTATTACATTCGTTTCGCACTAAAGTAATTTCGTACTTTCGTACAATGTATGAAAATATTTAATTACTTAACTTAATACATCTAAGATATTTAGAGATACTTTTAAAATAATCTTGATAATGATTATGAAGATACATGAGTACCACTTTACTAATGGATGGAAAAAATAATAATAGGAAAAAGTGTTTGATGCCTGACGAGCTGGCATTCTACAATTAAACAAATGCATTAAGATTAATGATTAAGATTAATTTAAATACATTTTAAAAGAAAGGATCCGAAACCTTATTGAAAATGTTTTTTGACAGTCTTAAACAAGTTTTCATGTAGTGGGAACACGTTATATCAACACAACCTAATGCATCTTATGTACAACTACATATGTATATGAGAAACAGAATAGCAACCTTGAGGAACTTCTCAATCTATTGTAGCTTCATTACCTTTGATCCCCTTTCAAAATTCCATGTTATTTTGTTCACCCCATTGTTATTTTTCTTTCGTCAACATCAGCCTGTCCTCGTCTGACTACCTTGATAAAATCATGTACAAAACTGACTACATGTTAGTTCTGGCTTCCAAAACTTTATAAGCCACTTTTTAACATTTTTTGTTTTTCATCTGATGGGGCATGTGTCTTAGTGTATAAACGGGAACGCTGAACACCCTAAGCTAACTACATGTAGTTATGTTTTCGAATTTGCTTGACTCTTCTACAAGAACAAATTTCAAGTTGATTGTCAAAAACAACAATGAAGACGTGTTCCTGGCCACTAACTAAAGTATTTTGCATACAATGCAAGTTTTGGATACTGAGAGATACATATGTGGCTGTGATAACCCCCTAGCTCTCCTTTTTTAAAGATAAGGGTAAGTAAAGACTGTTTCCTGGGGGAACAGTTTGATATGGTACACTTTCAAATTGAAGTGATTGATTGAAAATGAAGAACAAATGAGTGTTATTTCTGCAGCACTCTCTTTAAGTAATCTGTATTTATAAGCACCAGAGCAGACAAAATATATGCCTTCGAATTAAAAAAAAAAGTTAGATCACAGGTTTAATTACAAATACAAAGATTGATGGTCAGATACAGAATTTTTAGAATTTGTCAAAAACATATTTTGTTTACTTTGTAAATAAACCATGGCAAATTGACTTGGGTATTCATTCCGTTGTCATCGTTGTGGAAAAAGAAAATTAATTGTACTTTCAAGATTTTTGGGTATAAACTTACTAGTCATTTTAGTTTGTATAAATTTATTAGTCATTTTAGTATTGAATGTGATTAAAGCGGTGATCAAATTAATGCATGCGTGTGCTATTTGATGATCAGTAAAATAGAGAAAATATATAGGAATCCCTAAAGAAAGCCCAACACGTCAAAATTGAAAATGTTGCAGGCTCGGTTTGATTGAGCCTGTTCATGGGCGGTACTGTCAAATGCAAACTACCGTCCACGCCCCCTAGCACCGGCTTAAGCAGAATTCAACATTTAAACAAGAAATGGTAAAATTTTGAATTTAGAAACATCCGCAGATGTGTTTATACGGCGGTTATCACGGAACCTTCAATGTGACACAGTAGTGCTATTCCATGAAAAGCGCGGCGTATGGTCCCCAAGTAATAAAAAGCCTGTGCCCTAAACGAGAAAACAATGGGCGAACAACGAGTAAAATCATGGAGATTTAATAATAGAATTTGTAATATGTCTGCGGTAAAATGCACCTAGAATGTGTAGCAAACAATCTCATCACTGAGATCAAATAATTAAACATACTTAATTTGTTATTTGTTAATATTTCTAAAACAAAATCAATAGAGTAACACCACAGATATTCGGATTACACATATTTTTTATATATATATATATATATGCTTGGGGACTTCAATATGCCAAGCATCGACTGGTCAACAGAATCCCTGACAGAAGGTTGTAAGTTCCCAAACATATACACTTCTTTCCTTGAAAATCTCATTAACTTAAACCTGCAGCAAATGGTCAACATCCCTACCAGAGGTAACAACATCCTTGACCTGTTCCTCACAAACATGCCTTCCCACGTACATAGTACAAAAACCCTACCTCCCTTAGGCTCCTCAGATCATGACATAGTCTTTCATGAAATCAAAATTAACAGAGGGCGTCCACTTCAATCAAAGAGGGAAATCCAATGTTATAATAAGGCAAACTGGAATTGCTTAAAAAATGACGTAAGTAAATATGCCAAGGTCTACAGTGAAACACACCACACTGATCCCAACAAAGCCTGGATTTCCTTCAAGGACGAACTAATCCACCTTTGTTCTATTCACATACCAACTAAAGTCACTAAAACACGTCAAGACCTACCATGGTTAAACAAGTCCATTATTCGAAAAATTAGGAAACGTGATAGAACTTTTTCAAACATTAAAAGGTCAAAGTCCCCATCAAATGATTTGGTCAAAAAGCTCAAAGTACTTAAAAGTGAAATCCAAAGAGAAACTAGGAAAGCATACTGGCAATACCTAGACTCTGTCATTTTTAGCCAAGACTCCCAAAATGTGAAAAATAAAAAATTCTACCAATATGTTAAAAGTAATAAAACTGAAAGCTGTGGTGTGGCACCCCTCAAATCAGAAGGTCAAACATTTACTGATCCAGTCGCAAAAGCAGATATCCTTAACTCCCAGTTTGAATCTGTCTTCTCTCGGCCTCAGCCCCTTAGCTTATCCCAGGCTTGCAAACAGAAGCTTATTCCAAAACTCCACCCATCTATTGCCAGAAGTATCTATATCGGAAGATGGTGTGAAGAAACTTTTAAAAGACCTAAACCCAAATAAAGCTTCTGGTCCTGACCAAATATCCCCTAGGTTATTAAAAGAGCTCCATCAAGAGGTTACTCCCATACTGACCCACATCTTCCAGATCTCACTTAAAACAGGTATTGTCCCAGAAGACTGGAAGCATGCAATAATTGCCCCAGTTTACAAAAAAGGCCCAAAATGCAAACCCAGTAATTATAGACCAATCTCCCTCACATGCATAGCGTCCAAATTGATGGAGCACATCTTAGTGTCCAATATTATGTCTTTTTATGATAAACACAACATCCTTAGCCCCTATCAACATGGCTTCAGGTCAAAACGGAGTTGTGAGTCCCAGCTAGTAAGCTTCTCCCAGGAAATTCATGACAATCTTGAAAGTGGCAAACAAACTGATGTCATAGTCATGGATTTCAGTAAGGCATTTGATAAGGTGGACCATCACAAACTTGTGAGTAAACTAGAAAGATTGGGTATAAGTTATGAGGTTACAAATTGGGTCCATTCCTTCCTTAAGTCACGCTCCCAGCAAGTTGTAGTTGAAGGTCAAAAATCAGGAATTCTACCAGTTCTCTCAGGTGTCCCCCAAGGCTCGGTATTAGGTCCCTGTCTTTTCCTTTCTTACATAAATGACCTCCCAGATAGCGTCAAAGGTAAGGTTAGACTCTTTGCAGATGATACTGTTGTCTACCTAACCATCAGATCTAAACAAGATGCCCAAACCCTCCAAGATGACCTCCATGCATTAGAAAAATGGGAAAAAGACTGGTCCATGGAATTCAACCCTGACAAATGTGAAGTTCTCAGGATAACAAGAAAAAGAAACCCTGTAATATTTCCTTATACCCTCCATAACATCCAACTAAACTCAACTCAAGAAGCGAAATACTTAGGAGTCACTATTAGTCAAGACCTTTCATGGACCAAACATATAAACAACATCACATCTAAAGCAAATAACTCCCTCAGATTCATTAGAAGAAATGTTAAAACTCCAAATAAAAATATAAAAGAAACTGCATATAAGACCTATGTTAGACCTCAGGTTGAATATTGCTCCATAGTTTGGCATCCTTGGCAGAAATACTTAATTTATAAGATAGAGCAAGTACAAAGATCAGCTGCTAGATACATTTTTAATGATTATGACTATACAAGTAGTGTCTCAAAAATGATAAATGATCTTAATTGGCAAACCCTTGAACAGCGTCGAAACATCAGTGCTGTAACCTACTTGTATAAAATCCAAAACAATATTGTTTTTGTTGACCACCAACACCTTACTCAAACAAGAAATCTGAACTACCTGATACCCTACTCGAGGACACAATATCATCAAAATTCTTTCTTTCCTAGGAGCATACGTCTTTGGAATAGCCTTCCCCTTACTGTTCAGTCTAGCCCCAGTTTAAACATCTTTACTGAGAGGCTTGACCCATTCTATAAATTCTAAACTGCACACTATGTTTTTAAAGTAATAGTCTTGTAGAACTTTTATTCTTTTAACTTTTTAATTTGCATATAAACAAATTCTTTTATTAACAGTTCCCTGAAAACGCGCCTGCTAGTCATAATCAGAATTGATTGTTAAGCAGTATGATGTAGATGTAGTAGATATATATATATATTTTTTTTTTTTTTTTTACATCATTTTCTTACATGAAAAGCTTTTTAAATAATGGTGTCGAGTTTACTACCCGACGAGTTTACCTAACATCGTATGAACCATCTTTAAAATCAATCGGTTGCAAGCCCACCGACACCCCGGTGGTAAACATTACATTAGGGGAAGCATTATTTTGAGAATTTTAAAGGGGATTAATATAGTTAGCTTCAACCTTTAAGTCAATGATTCGTATCTTCTCGGCATTTTCCGTCAAACTCCGGAATGAAAAATACACGGAGAAAGCCGAGTTCATACGATTGTTATAATAGATTGGTCCCCTGCATAATTAAAGTTTTGGACAGAGCTCACAAGAGCGGACAACCAGCATAAATGGTTGTCATATTTTAGTAAATATTTTACACTTTTAATTTACATACATACCAAGTGAAAATTGAGAGCTGTATCACAACCCTGTAAGAATAAATTTACTTTTTGTCGTATTCCGATTCAATCTTTTATCATACAGGATAAAATAAAACCGGCTATCAAGAGAACATGATTCGTCCCCAATACGATTCGATACATTTGAATACACCGATAAACACTTTCAGAACTAGCAGACGACAGGCTAACCGCTATTCTTATCAGTAGTATTTCCAGTAAAGACAAGTAAAATGGTTTCCTGCGGGGAATATTTTTGATGATATAAAGATATTTCATTTAACTATCTTCAACATTTTTTGGGTTGGTGGATAAATAAACGTTTTTATTATATACTTATAAATGAAATATTGAGAAATATTGATGAAATAAAATGCGTATTTTCATTTTCCGTATTTTCACTGTAAAAATTTATTTTTCACTGCAGTGAAATCTTGCGGCATGAAAATTACCATATTTCACTCATGGCTACCGCCACTCATGAAATATTTATTTTCATACCACTCGATGAAAATAAATCATGTATTTATAGAAAAAACTTGAATATCCTCTATGTATCAGGAATATAGTTGACAATAATCGATCAATATAGAAGAAGGTCTTTGGAAACTGGTTAATAGCCGGAGAAGGTCGAACATAAAACAATTATTTCTTTTTAAGAAAATGATTAAATAGGCCTACCATTTTATGAATAATTCCGAGCAAAAAAAAGAAAAAAAGCAAACACACAAGTTTTCGTAGAAAACATCTCTATTTATTATGGCAGATGCCACTACGAATATTTTAATTTTGTAGATTTTCAGTATAAACAATTTATTGTTTGTAACATTTTGAGATACATATTAATGAAGGAAGTGGCTAGCCGTACGGGCCCGTACGGCTAGCCAAAAGTTCTAGCCGTACGTGAGTCACGTACGACTAGCCTGGACACACTGTATTGGCTAGCCGTACGGCACTTTTCAAAATTATATGGAAGTCGAAAATGCATTTGTTATTTTGTGTCTTTAAACAACGATTTTAATCAAATCTCCGCATTTGTCCTAGTGTGTTCACTTTAATAAAGATGCTCCGCAATTTTGCACAAAAAAATAAATACGAGTAAGCGTTGTATAATCTATCTTAATAAAATTGAATGTCAAAGTTGCATGTTATAACGTCCTTAATTTTCATGCTTATGAATTGTATGAAAGATGAATTGTTAAATCTGTTAATTAAGCACATGGATCGAATAAATAATGATCGGAGGTAAGTAAATAAATAAATAAAAAGAATATTAAAAAAAAAAAACGGTGAAAAGGAAAAATAATTTAATAATGCAAACTTTTCTTAACAAACTTCTATACCGGCGGTAATTGACGCAATTATCAGAGCCCAGCAACAATTTTTTTCGGTGTTTTTTTTTTCAGTTTAAAAATTAAACTTAATGAAACAAAAATAGATTATTATCAAACTTTGTAAACTATTTCAATTCATGTTGTTTAACTGCAACCAAACGCTATTTTTTCTCGACGTCTTGAGATGACAAAGTAAATTATTTACTGTAGCCAACACGTCGATCTAAAATGTAAACATTCTTGACTAAAACCCTCGCTTAAAGTCATAATTAACATATGCACTTTCGCCTTCAATATATATTTTTGAAAAGTGCCGTACGGCTAGCCAATACAGTGTGTCCTGGCTAGTCGTACGTGACTCACGTATGGCTAGAACTTTTGGCTAGCCGTACGGGCCCGTACGGCTAGCCACTTCCATTAATGAAACATTGTTAATTTTCAAACACATCATTCTCCACCTTAAACGGTATTATAATTATAGAAAATTAAAAATATCACGTAATAGTTTTTTGTTCTTAATTAGGTGTAATTCTGACTTATTCCCTAGAGGATTATCCGTAACGTACCAGCAAATGGTATTTAGCCAGGTTTTCGAAAAGGTCAATTAACCAATCATGTACGGTTTACAGATCACATGCTCCTCCATGTAACGAAAACAGGTCACGTGCTCCTCCATGCCTCAAAAGTTAAACGCGTACCAATACCCTGCGGTCTCCAGACCGCAGGGAATAACGGTTTGCGTATCTCACTGTATATATCGTATGTTAAATGGTCTGACATATGGTACGTTTAACAGTTAAATTAAAACTATGCAGTCCAGAGATGTGTTGAATTTTATACTGTGTCTGTGATGAAGCTAAGATCCAAAGCTTTCTATTGGTGTAAAATATTTTAAAATCGGACATTTAATCACAGCAAATGAGCGGTTTAAAAACAGCTTATTTTGTATTGTTTTAGCATAAGTGATATCGATTTTACTCGAAGGTAAGGGAAGCAACTCATATTTTTTCACTCGATACTCCACGGTTATTTACGTAGATCATATTGAAAGTGTTTATGGGTGTATTGGTCAAATTTGGAAAAAAAATCTTTTGTTAATTATTGCCGGAAAGACTCAAAATTTTAAAACGATTTTTGCTTGTCCCATTATATCATTTCCCTGTCCTAGGAATATGATGTCGCATGATGACGGTTGCTGAGATATATATTATTATGAGATAAAAAATTTCAAATTTTCACTGACCAAAGACGTGTCTATCAAAACTGTAAAGAAAAACCCGCGAGAAGACTATATAAATTTGATGGTTCATTAAACTTCCTACAGGATCATGTCACTCTGTAACTGCACTCATTTTACTAAAGCTTTTCTCCAAACATGCATGAATATATTTCAGATGGAGACTGATAGTGAGTATTAGGGGCAACAGAAACAAGAATGGGAGGACGTTGTGGTTTTAAGGTCATTGTGCGCCTGATCCATACCATATTGTGTATAGCCATTCTCTCAACTTTGCTATGGAAAGAAACTGGTAAATTTATTGGTTTGTTGATAATGATAGCAGTCAGTTTTACATTCATACCACAATTATTAAAGTTTTATACTGAAGCAAATGTAAGTTTGATAGAAAATATATATGTTGGGATTGTCTATTTGATAGAATTATACCTGACAACTTTTGTGTGATAACTTGTGATTGAGTATTTAAATATTATCATCTTTTTTAAGTTATTTTGTTAAGAAACTTTGTAAATTCTGAATCTGCATATTGTTGTTATTCTGATATATTACAATTGTCATACAATAGGATTGAGGCTCAAAGCAATTTGTAAAGGAAGTCAAAGCACCCAGTGAAGTTGTTTCTTTGTCTGAACTGTCTTTTGTTTGTTTTCAGGTTTAAGATGGGCTTTAGTAAAGGGGAATGACCTTGTGTATGGATCAGTGTTCCTGTGTTTATTTGTGATTTCACTGATAATGTACTATGTTGTATGCCTTACCGATCCTGGATATATATACACCTATCGTTTTAAAAAGGTATGTACAAAATTGGCATCTGATGGATTGCCTATCATTACAAAATATTTATATTAGAATGTTAAATATTGTTTGCACTAAGCTTTCCAGTGTTTTGCATTATGATTTTGAGTAAGGAGTTGCAGTATGACTGAATGAATAAGTCTTTCAGATATATTTGGAGTAAATAAGCTTTGCATTAGGATTATGAATACTAACAGTATGAATACAATATTTTGAAATAAAAGGAACCACTCTGCCGTCTAGAAACAATAAATAACTATTTCACATAGTTGGAGGTTGATAAACTTTGTGAAATAGATAGGGAAAAAAGGACTTTTCAAATTTATTTAGTAAACACTGTTTAATAGGGTCATGCAAATAAAAGGGGAGTGGTGGCCTTGGCTAGTGGTTACTAAAGGTGTCTGCCCCTCAACCCAGGGATCATGGGTTCAAGCCCTAATCGGGTCACAACCATGCATGTTTCTTCATATTACACCAGTACTGGTTAGTTCCAGGAAGCGGACTCAAAAGTGATTAATATAAGTTGCAAGAACTGGTTTCGCAATCATGGTTAAATAAAAATGTTTTAAACCAAACCATGTAAATAAAAATTGAGATATGTATTTGTAACAGAGATGTGGACAAGTGAATGTTGAAGCTGAGATATCTGAGGAGGAGATGGAGTGTGGAGGCAGTGATTGTAACATTCCTCTAACAGAACTTTCTAAACCCTTAGATAAAAGAAATAGATATAAATACAGGTTCTGTGATTACTGTGAAATACAGGTAAAGTATATTAGTGTAAATTTACATTATGTTTGATGAAATATTACCTATTTTATTATTGGTACAAGTTGATGAAAATGGTGATTATTTATTTTAATACAGTTAATTTGGGCCAAAAGTTTTATTGTGTGACGTTTATTACTGGGTATATAAAAATTATATTAAAATTTGAATTGTTCTTCTGACATTTTTAATAATTTTTGAGTTGCATTGGTGTTTAACTATATGATGATTGCTTGAAAGTGCACTCTTCGTTTCCTTTAGGAAAGGAACATAACTGAATTTACTATTTGATTGATGTGAATAATTTCTTTACATTTATATAGCCACCTTTACGTAGCAAACATTGTGAGGATTGTCAGATGTGTGTACGCAAGTATGACCACCATTGTCCCTGGTTAGAGACATGTGTTGGAGAGAGAAATCACAGATATTTCTGGTGGTTCCTGTTTACTACAGCATTACTTATTACCTGGACTTTAGTTATTATCTGGTATGTAATTAAAATTTCTATAGATATGAAGAATAAAAGTTGACCTCTGTTTAGAATAGTACCTTTAACATAATCAAGAAGAAATGGAGAGAATGTGACCTACCACATTTACAAAATATTACAAAAGAGACTGGAGTTATGAGCTTTGTGACTGTGTAATACTATTGTACATGTAGGCTGGTATGAAAACTATAGTCATGCTTTTTTTAAACTTCCAAGTCTTGGTCAAAGTTGTATTTCTTATAAGTAGGTACTTCGTAAACAAGTGAGCCACATCTAGTTAAACACCATTAAATTTACATTATCATCTTTCATGGGGCTTGTTGGAGTTTGAAATGATTACAGAAATAGTCCTGCACTATAATTACCATTGATACAAAAAAGAACCTATAAAGATGTGATATTTTGTTGTTATTGTGTCCCTTTGTTTTCTTTTACCACAGGGATAGTTTAGTAACAGAGAACACTTGGACAGACTGGTTCCATACAAACATTGTACTTTTCTTAGACATGCTAGTTTTAGTATTAGGTGGCTTGGTGGTGACAGGCCTTTTTGTCTTCCATACATATCTAATGACTAATGGACTCACAACATGGGAGACAGCATCAAGGGAGAGCATTACTTATTTAAAATATCTTGATGATGAGTATAACCCCTTTGATCAAGGTTGTTGTAGGAATATTTACTCTTTTATGTGTGTAAGTGATATTCAGAAGTGGGAAACATTATATGCAAAACGTGCCAGACTAAAAGATGGCGATGATTAATTGCAGAATGACAGTTGTATATTTTATACAGCCTCAAGATGGATCTGTGCAATGATTGTTATACCTTGTTAAGATTGTTAATTTATCATTCATATATTCATCATCATATTAATTATGTTGTTGTTGCTCATTCTATGCAAATAGTATAAACAAAAGTTAGTGTAAAATGAATAGGTTTATTAAAAGTTATATTGTAAAATATACAAGTTGCTTATTTATCATTAATGGTAAATTTTACTTATGATTTCTGTATGATTATTTTGTCTATACAAAAACAGGAAATATTTCAAAAGTTTATTTTATCCAGTAAGAGAAAGGACAAAAACCTTTCGATTATTGTATGCAGATTTTCTAGTGTGACTGTGATATCACAAGGCTGTTATTTTTTCATGGCATGTGTCACAACTTTGTTAAAAAACAACAACAAAAAACACACAAAAAAGAAGAAAAAAAAAATTTACTATTGTATAACAAGATACATTTAATAGTTAAATTCATTTGCATTCTTTTTCTGATAGTCCAGCTTGTTGAACATTGTGATAAGTAAATTTAGGGATTGTAAATCAATGGAATTGTCAGAATAATGTTCAGGCCATAATAAATTGTTATCTGGTAGTTGGTCATATCATACCAAAACAATAAGTGGAGAAATAACAAAGATGAGAATTTGTTATCATGGAATAAATGTAAATGTGTAGCATTTGTGAACATTAGTATACATATACAAATCTTTAGTCTAGAAAGTTATGTGAAATAGCAATAAAAATGTTGAGACAAGCTATTGTCTTTATCTTAATAGCAGTGATGAGATTAGCTATTAATTTTAGCCAATAATCTTTGCATAATTTTTAATTTATAAGTTCATAAATAATTGTTAAAATGCATTGATTACTGAATTACTGATTATTGAATGCAAATATCTGTAATGGCTTTATTAAATCTGTGTGCCAGGTAACTAAATATTGTTAATCAGTTACTAGAATTACTGCTATTTATCTTATGACTATTCTACATGTATGCCAATAGAAAGAAATTTACTGGTAATGAGAATTTGTTAACAATCTTTATAGCTATTCAATAGGCCTGGAGTCCTAGAATATAGCATACATTTGGCCACATTGAAAAGAAAGGCAATTGAAAGGCATCAAATTGAATATAGTAACTTATATGCACACCTTCACACAGTGATGGTCTTTAAATGGAAGTTAAAAAAAATACAATATGTTTATCACATTTCATAATTATGATGTGTTCATTGAAAACAAACACTGCTCTAAAAATTTGATAAAACTTCTTAAGAAAATTATCAATGTTTATGTAAATGTCCATTTGACTATACACCAAACAGAATGCAACATTTAAGCCAAAATAATAGCTTTGTCAAAAAAAAAATGAATCTATGCATACTGCTGGGTAAGTTGTTTGATACTGGGACTTATATATCTTAAGTCCCAGGTTGATTGTAGAGAAAGTGTGTATGCTGCCAGATTTCTCAGATAGAGTGATAGGTTTTACCACGGATTTATATTAAGATCCATGGTTTTATAAAGATTTTAAGTTAGGATTCCTGTCAGACTGCAACCTGGTGACAAAAAGAACAAAATTTAAACAGAACGCTGGTTTATCTGATTATTTCTGGCTGTTTCATAAAGCAAGAAAGTATTTAGTGGCGTTCAACCTTAAGACGGAAAAGACGACAGCGTATACGCTTTCATTAGTAATATTATTAGTGTTACCCTTCCGAGATCAACAACAATGGCGGATTATGAGAACGTTTGTCGGGGTTCTTTGAAGTTAAAAGGTGTTTCTGATCATAAGATTAAAAAGTAAGAAATCTATCTCATCTATTCTAATTGATATACATTTTTTTTAAATACAGCAGGTTAGGTAAATATTATTTGAAATTTCATTTGGTCTCTGTAAAACTTTTTTCTTCAACTAAGCAACACGATCACGGTCCACGGATATTTTACATGATTGATTAAAGACTTTAATTTAATGACATGACAGACAGTTTACCCTTCATACAAATGTTTGATTTCTATATAAGAAAAAAGAGAGAAGGAAATTCAGATGTTTATACAGGTCTATAGTCAGTGTTCCCTCTTCTATTTTTCATTAGGGATATATACCTTACCTTTGAAAACTTGGGACAAAATAAAAAATCAGGGGGTACATAAATTTGTGCAATATATGCTGATGAAATAGTGTATTTCATGTTACAATTGAAAGTTAAACACCCGAGCTTTTATCTGGATAAAGTCATTGTCATGTACAAGAGCTGTCATTGATTCAGCATATTGAGGCTATATCGATGGTAAAGAGTCAACTCGCTACGTGTCAACTCAGCCCACTTATTAAAAAAAACAAAAACATATTAACTTTTTACTGATAACTTGCATGTTATCAAGGCAAGCTTTTTTTCTAAATGAATAAAAAGAGATATATCTGATATACATGTATATTAATATATAATTCAAATTGTACATTGTATCGATACTTCTGCAGAATTAAAGTATATTTAGAAGAAATTTGTTACGTTCATTTATGCAGATTCGTTAAAAATTGATATAATACAAATGTGTTTCCTTTGATGCTTTTTGTTTGTAAAGTAATCTACAGTAAAAATATGAAATAAAACGTGTTTACTTATTATCATAAGCTTCTAATTACCGGTAGTTGCAGGTGGACATTAATCAAATTTGAATGATCATGTCAATAATAATCATCACCTGATTCATCTGTAGAATTAACATACACATGGTAATTGATTGGTTACAATAGCGGGTGATAATAATTTACGAAAACATTAATTATTTTGTTCCAACAATATAGAGTGATAACACAAACCAATACATTTATAAATTGAAAAGTGGACAGAGTTGACCCGTGCCGAGTTGGAACAGGGCCGAGCTGACTCGGGGGCTGAGTATGTTTAAGGGCCGAGCTGACCCTGATTCATATTGATAATAACTCCCAATTTCTTGTATATAATTCACTTACATTCCTGTTTAAATCATTTTAGTAAAATACATGTTCTGTTCATACAAATATGTTGTGTACTGTAAATAAATGTCTTTTGCATATTAAAAGGGAGCTATCCAGCTAGCTTACTGAACTTCAGTAGTTCTACTCGGGAGTCAAGTGCCCGTTTGTGCCTGAAATAATGCATTGAACCCTTGGGCACCTGAGGTCTTCATCCACTAAAAGCTGGAACATCGCCATATGACCTATACTGTGTCAGCGTGATGTAAAACCCAAACAAACAAATCTTTAGCATGCTTTTTCTGATTATGAATTGATTAATGGTACCCCCCCCTCCGGCAGCCACCTCAACACCAAAATTTACCACAGTGCCTTAAAAATTTTATAGGGAAAGGTCTGCATTTTTTGTCATCACTGCTATGAAATGTGTCCATTATGTAACAACACATGGCCATCTTCTTTTGTATATGCTTTGGGTGAATTTTCATAATTTATAGACATTAAATAATTTATCAAAATTATCAATTTTTTCAAATGTGTATTGATTGTATCGATTATAGATAAACAGAAAAATATCAAAGATACATCAATATTGTCTATATCGATGATAGCTCTATCATGTACATATGTCCGGACATGTAACTGTAGTGTGGACAATTTAGGTCATTTTGATAACCTCCTTGACGGGCCTCAGATATAAGTGTCAACATTATCAGAAATAAAACCAGTAATAAACTAGTCTGTTAGTTAGGAGAAGAACCTAGCTATACTGTGTCAAATTTTCAGATCTCTAGCTTTTTAATTATGAAATCTGTAAAATTTTGAAAAAATGTCCGGTTGATGATCCCTGACCAGTGGTATAATTAAACAAGAGGGCCATGATTGCCCTGGATTGCTCCCCTGACCCATCAACCGCATCCAAGCAATGTCTTAGACAAGCATCCTGGCCAAGTTTGATGACAATTGAGTCAAAAATGTGACCTCAAGTGTGTTAAAAAGGTTTTCCATATTTGGGCAATGCGACCTAATTTTTGACTGGAGACGACCCATATTCGAACTTGACATAGAAATCATCAAAACAACCTTTCTGACAAATTTCCTGAACATTTGGATCAAAACTGCAGCCACTAGAGTGTTAACAAGCTTTTTCTATTTTTAGCTCCTGTGACCCAGTTTTTGAACGCAGATGACCCATCTTCGAACTTGACCTAGAAATCATTAAAACAACCTTCCTGACAAATTTCCAGAATATTTGGATCAAAACTGCAGCCACTAGATTGTTAACAAGCTTTTTCTATTTCTAGCTCCTGTGACCTAGTTTTTGACCGCAGATAACCCATCTTAGAACTTGACCAAGAAATCATTAAAACAACCTTCCTGACAAATTTCCTGAATATTTGGATCAAAACTGCAGCCACTAGAGTGTTAACAAGCTTTTTCTATTTTTAGCTCCTGTGACCTAGTTTTTGACCGGAGATGACCCATCTTCGAACCTGACCTAGAAATCATCAAAACAACCTTTCTGACAAATTTCCAGAATATTTGGATCAAAACTGCAGCCACTAGAGTGTTAACAAGCTTTTTCTATTTTTAGCTCATCAAAACAACCTTCCTGACAAATTTCCAGGATATTTGGATCAAAACTGCAGCCACTAGAGTGTTAACAAGCTTTTTTCTGTTTTTAGCTCCTGTGACCTTATTTTTGACCGGAGATGACCCATCTTCAAATTTGACCAAGAAATCATTAAAACAACCTTCCTGACAAATTTCCAGAATATTTGGATCAAAACTGCAGCCAGTAGAGTGTAACAAGCTTTTTCTATTTTTAGCTCCTGTGACCTAGTTTTTGACGGGAGATGACCCATCTTCGAACTCGATCTGTATTTCATTGAGACAAACATTCTGACAAAGTTTGACAATGATCCAATCAAAACTTTGACTGCTAGACTGTTAACAACACAATTGTTGCCGACGCACAACGCACGAAGCACGACACGGACGCCGGACATAGCCCCATCACTATACCTCACCTTGACCACTTCATGGTCAGGTGAGCTAAAAAGAATTCTTACAGACTTCACATTACTCTTAGTATTGATAAAACAGAAGGGACTGTCCAGTGACTTGGTCAAGATTAGGGCAGGGTTGACTGTAGTTGTTTAAATATCAGATGACATCAAATTGGTTGTATTTATTTTATCTGGTTTTTACTGGCACTTCTGTACGTTATTTCTATACACTAGCAAGTGAACTTCTTGTGACACTTTAGCACTTTTTGAAATATTTTTAGAAAGAAGAAAAAGAAGGAGAAGGAGAAAGAGTTGTCAAAAATGTATGAGAACATAGCATCTAATGCAAGTACTTCAAGTGATGATGGATCAAGCTCTGTGAGAATTGATAAACGGACAGCAGCTGAACTAGCTTTTGAAAAGGCCAAGGAGAAAAAGGTAAAACTTATTTTTTATAGTACTATTGGACATCACTTTTAGATTACTTTTTAGAAGTACAGTTGTAATTGATATAGACACATAATTTGTAAATGAATCAAGTGTAAATGCAAGTAACATTGCTTGTAGGAAACTATAAAAAAACGGATTTAAATAAATTTAGAACTAGAAAACCCCTTATTATTTTCCTGAGAAAGAGACTTAGTGTTTGAAATTATTTTTTGTCCAATAGGATTGCAGTATTTCAAATGGATCAAACACGTTTACTCTGGTAAATCGGCAAAATGAAATCAGTCTAGTAAATCAAATGTTTATAAAAATAACTTAAAACACTAAGCTGGTTAAAATTATTAGTACGCGATTACAAAATTAAATAGGTCATGTGGCGCAGCCTGACCAATTTAATTTTGTAAATACATACTTATAAACTTTAACCTATACTTAAAGCTGTGTTTTGGAAATTGGAGATCCCTTTATTGATCATAATTTTACCAATTTTAGTAACAGTAAACTAGTGAATTACCTACATAATTAATATTGCACCATCAAACAATGATTTTTCCTAATGCAGAAAAGAGAGTATCACTTGTAATTGATATATTAGTAAATTTTGAAATATTTATACTAACAAACAAGCATCTAGATCCATTAATATACTGTTTTTGTCTCACATATTTTAGATGGCACAGCAGATCTTTGACAAGGCAACAAAAACTCATAAAGAAAGAATCATGGTAAGATATTCTATGTTTTCTATCTTAACCCATTACTTCATATACACGCCTTTTAACGCCTTTTTCACCCCCCCCCCTTTTTGTTGTCTCAAATGATGAAAAAATGCCTTATTTAGGCCCCCAACACTTGTTTTTGTTTGAGAAATGTTGTTAAAAAAAGTGACCTCTTTTTCGGCGCGGCCCCCCAACCAAAAGATAAGAAAATTTTGGACTTGTGAGAGGCTGTAAATGACCCCAGATTGATCATAAGGTAACGTGTAACCAACGCTGAAAAGCATTTGACTCTATCTCAATCCATTGAGAAGTTGCAGCACTTTGAAATCAATTTTGATGGAAAAAATCAACGCAAAATAGCGATTTTTGGCAATTTTGAGATGTCCCCTCGTTGCCATGGTAACAGAAAATTTAAGCCTGAGCATGTTGTTGCAAGGGCAATGGTCCAGTCAACATTTGTGCCAAGTTTGATTAGTGTTGAAGCAGTTTTTATAGTATTATAGCAATTTGAACTTGTAACGGGAGACTTTTCAATGAAAACAGCCATTTTTCACAAAATTCTCATGAAGTAATGGGTTAATATTTTGAAATCTTAGAGGAAAAATATTTTGCCAATTGCCAAGGCTGTTTATACATAAAATAATTCCTTAAATGGTCCTAGTATATCACAAGAGATTTAATTTTCCATAATTTTGGTATGGTTAAATTAGATAGACCTTTAAAATAGCATTAAATAGCATGGCTAATTTTTTTCTGTACAGATGGTATAGATCACCTTTGTTATTAGCAGTAACAGTAAAACTTGTATTAAAAGTCAGATTTATTATATTTTCAGGAATTTAATCAACATTTAGACAATCTCACAGAACATTTTGATATTCCTAAAGTTAGCTGGACTAAATGATGGAAGGACATTGTACACAACACTGTCTTGTCTACATATTTGTTAATAGTAATGTGAAATTCTTAATGTGATGATAGAAATGGAGGAGGATTCTTCAGTATACGTTGAAATTTCACGTGCTTAAAAAATTTTGAGTACTCTAACCCTAGGTTAGAAAAGAAGTCACATGTTTTGAGAAGTACAACCAGAGAGTCTTGACAATGTTAAAGTGTCTCTACAGTGTATGAATTGACTTTTTCTATTTTAACATAAGATTACTGTATATAATTATGTAGTATTATTTAATAAAATCTTGTCATTGAATTTTTTATCATACTGTATTGATTGTATATATTATCACATTCACAGTATTTTTGAAAAATATTAAGAAAGTTCTTTTAAACACTTCTCATGAAAAAGGAAACAAATGTAAAATTATAGTAAAAATGTTGTCTTAATTACTACAATGTTGAATATTTTAAATCTCTATCTGAATTATCATTATTAGCATTATGTATCCAGATTTATTTTATGTTCATTTAATTGAAAAATGTTTCATTTTTTTAAAAATAAAATCACTGTAGGGTCATATTTCTGATTGCTGTGAGCTAAAAGACAGCAGTTGATTTGTTAGTATACATTTTGTTACTGTCCAAGTTCACGCTGTCTCAAAAAATACTTATTTTCAGTTTACACTCATTATTAGCTGTTAAATGCATGTTGATTCAACCTTGATACTCAGTTTTATCATTGATTATGGCACAAGTTAAAATCATCTTGCCCCTTTTGTTTTGATTTTAGAGGCATCACACAAATTAAAAATTCAGAGAAGTTACATGTATTACATAATCTTGTGTTCCTAACAATGCACTTAATGATGAAGTATTAAATTTTATTTTGTCATCTTTTGTGATGTTTTGATATTTATACAGAGGAAAATAATTAATTTAAGTAACTTATATAAAATTTATAATTTAGATATTATGTTTTGGTTTTACATTAGGTACATTAGGCCAACAAGTGAACAAATGTTCTAACATGTAAATATGGCAGTTGTTTGTAATGTATTTACATCAATTTATTCAGCCAGATTCTGCACAGCAAATTGTAGGGGTGTCATGGTCAGCAAAAGATATAATGTGTTTTAAGTGGCAATCTCTATACCATGTTAAAAATTTTAAAGACCATAATTAAAAAAATTCTTAGATTTTCAATACATAAACTTTGTTTATGAAATTTTGGTTGTATTTTATAGAACTTATTACAATACATATCCAATTTTGGATTAACTTTTTTGGTAGGGCCGTACAGTTTGCAATAAGATAACATGTAATCAGAAAAAATATATTGTGGAGTACAATTAAAATATAAACAAAAACATATCTTGTTATTAAAAATTAAAGTGAAGTCATGAATCAGTTAAAAAATTTCTCACCTCCTTGTCTAATACTAACCTTGGTTACTAGTTATTGAATTTTCTAACCGGTTTTTAGCCCGTATCTGTTTTAAATGGATAAACGTGACACCCCTGACACATTGTATAGCTGGCCACTTTAAGAAAACACATTTCATGAACAGTTTACATTTGTACCAACTAAAAATATGGATCCTAAAAGATTATACAGCGGCTTTAATGCTTTACCAGTATATGCATTAGTTTGTTTTGTTTGTCTAGTGCAGGCTGACCTCAGTTCCCCTCTGCAATATTGTGGTATTAAATAGGCTCTTGAGTTATTATGCCCCCATTTCGAAGAAAAGGGGGTATATTGCTTTGCACTTGTCGGTCCGTCGGTCCGTAGACCAAATGGTTTCCGAGTGATAACTAAAGAACCCTTAGGCCTAGGAACTTCAAACTTGGTATGGTGATTGGTCATGACCAGTAGATGACCCCTATTGATTTTGGGGTCAAGGGGTCAAAGGTCAAGGTCACATTGACCTTGAAAGCAAAAACGGTTTCCGATCAATAACTAAAGAACCTTAAGGCCTAGGAACTTCAAACTTGGTATGGTGATTGGTCATGACCAGTAGATGACCCCTATTGATTTTGGGGTCAAGGGGTCAAAGGTCAAGGTCACATTGACCTTGAAAGCAAAAACAGTTTCCGATCAATAACTAAAGAACCTTAAGGCCTAGGAACTTCAAACTTGGTATGGTGATTGGTCATGATCAGTAGATGACCCCTATTGATTTTGGGGTCAAGGGGTCAAAGGTCAAGGTCACATTGACCTTGTAAGCAAAAACGGTTTCCGATCAATAACTAAAGAACCTTAAGGCCTAGGAACTTCAAACTTGGTATGGTGATTGGTCATGATCAGTAGATGACCCCTATTGATTTTGGGGTCAAGGGGTCAAAGGTCAAGGTCACATTGACCTTGAAAGCAAAAACGGTTTCCGATCAATAACTAAAGAACCTTAAGGCCTAGGAACTTCAAACTTGGTATGGTGATTGGTCATGATCAGTAGATGACCCCTATTGATTTTGGGGTCAAGGGGTCAAAGGTCAAGGTCACATTGACCTTGTAGGTAAAAACGGTTTCCAATCAATAACTAAAGAACCTTAAGGCCTAGGAACTTCAAACTTGGTATGGTGATTGGTTATGACCAATCAGATGACCCCTATTGATTTTGGGTTAAGGGGTCAAAGGTCAAGGTCACATTGACCTTGTAGGTAAAAACGGTTTCCGATCAATAATGAAAGAACCCTTAGGCCTAGGGACTTCAAACTTGAGATGGTGATTGGTCATGATCAGTAGATGACCCCTATTGATTTTGGGGTCAAGGGGTCAAAGGTCAAGGTCACATTGACCTGTTAGGTAAAAACGGTTTCCGATCAATAACTAAAGAACCCTTAGGCCTAGGAACTTCAAACTTGGTATTGTGATTTGTCATGACCAGCAGATGACCCCTATTGATTTTGGGGTTAAGGGGTTAAAGGGCAAGGTCACATTGACCTTGTAGGTAAAAATGCTTTCCGATCAATAACTTAAGAACCCTTATGCCTAGGAACTTCAAACTTGGTATGGTGATTGGTCATGACCAGCAGATGACCTATTGATTTTGGGGTCAAGGGGTCAAAGGTCAAGGTCACATTGACCTTGTAGGTAAAAACGGTTTGCGATCAATTAACTAAAAACGTATAGGCCTAGGAACTTCAACCTTTGTGTGATGATTGGTCATGACCAGCAGATGACCCCTATTGAGTTTTAGGTGAAGGGGTCAAAGGTCAAGGTCACATTGACCTTTTAAGTAAAAACGGTTTCTGATCAATAACTCAAGAACACTTAGGCCTAGGAACTTCAAACTTGGTATGGTGATTTGTCATGACCAGCAGATTACTCCTATTGATTTTGGGATTAAGGGGTCAAAGGTCAAGGTCACAATTACCTTGTAAGTAAAAACGGTTTCTGATCAATAACTAAAGAACGCTTCGGCCTAGGAACTTCAAACTTGGCATGGTGATTGGTCATGACCAGCAGATGACCCCTATTGATTTTGGGGTCAAAGGTCAAGGTCACATTGACCTTGTATGTTAAAACGGTTTCCGATCAATAATAAGAGAACCCTTAGGCCTAGGAACTTCAACCTAGGCATGGTGATTGGTCATGACCAGCAGATGACCCCTATTGATTTTGGGGTCAAGGGGTCAAAGGTCAAGGTCACATTGACCTTGTAGGTAAAAACGGTTTCTGATCAATTTACTAAAAACGCCTAGGCCTAGGAACTTCAAACTTTGTATGATGATTGGTCGTGACCAGCAGATGACCCCTATTGAGTTTTGGGTCAAGAGGTCAAAGGTCAAGGTCATTACCAGTAGATACTTTATAACCCTTATTAATTGTTTGATCACTGGGTCAGAAGTCATGCATAATAACCTTATCACATGACTAATTGGCTGCTGATAGGGGGCATACATGTTTTACAAACATATCTTGTTATTAATGTGAAGCTACTTCATCACCTGCACATCATGGCAGATGGTAACATCAGCAAGTGGAGGCAAGTTATTCACTCGGTCATTAGTATAGGAAGACTCAGGATTTAATGTTGACAGAAGTGTGCAACTGATTCGGACTTCAATTTTTCAGTATGCAAGCTTGATGGCTTTCTCATATAGCTTTGATATGTGTTGTATTAGCAATTAATTAACCATCAAGAAATGGCATGCCCCTGCCATTTGACAACAAAGTACAACCTTGACCTGGGCGTTACATGACACCCTCAGAACCAGGTGAAGACATCTGAGGAAAGCAGACATACATTATTCGACATTTCACCTCTGAAGTGGGACAAAGACCTTGAAGATTTAGACATGGGCCTTTCGCACGGCAAATACTCCGACTGTGGTAGACACTTTTTTTGCCCACAATTTAGCTCATATAGTGCTGAATCAGGAAAGATGATTTTGACTAACCTTAGGTGTTACAAACTTAAAGATCAACTAGAAATGTGTCCATAGGACACGGATGCCCCCAAACACCACTGTTCTGTCAATCTTATGACTCTAGGTCAAATATTTTTTTGGACTACATGTGCCACAAGTTGAAAACTAAAAATCAACAAAGTGCCATAATTCTGTTAAATTTAATAGCAGCAAAAATTCCTTCCTTTACTACCATCTAGACATTAAGGTTGTTAATCCCTGGAAGTTTAAGCAAAATCTGCCATCCGGTTTAAGAGGAGTTGCGTTCACAAAATTTCTACATAGTATATAGTGAAAAAATCAACAAAGGGCCATAATTCTGTTAAATTTAGTAGCAGCAAAAATTCCTTCCTTTACTATCATCTACACATTAAGGTTGTTCATCCCTGAAAGTTTAAGCAAAATCTGCCATCCGGTTTAAGAGGAGTTGTGTTCACAAAATTTCTACATAGTATATAGTGAAAAAATCAACAAAGGGCCATAATTCTGTTAAATTTGGTCGCAACAAAAATTCTTTCCTTAACTACCATCTACACATTAAGGCTGTTCATCCCTGTAAGTTTAAGCAAAATCTGCAATCTGGTTTAAGAGGAGTTGCGTTCACAAGATTTCGGGACGTACGGACTGACGGACAAGTGCAACACTAGCTATATGCTCCCACATTGTGGGGGCATAAAAACACCTAAACTGCTGGAGCTAATTGCATAATAATTGGCTCCAGTAATTTGAATTACCCATTAAGTCCCCTCATGATCACAATATTTCAACAATCCATCAACTAATGACAAAGTTATAAAGCCAGGCAAGATATTGCAACAATCTATCAAGTAAAGCCTGGCAGAAATTGATTATAGACATCCAAGTATGACCTTGACTCTGAAGATGCTGATGTGGGTCTTTTACACAACATATTGATCACATGTTCCACTCTAGTTTTTAAACTTCATCTTGCTTGTAGAAGTATAAATGGGCCAGACACAAATATCAGCTAGGGACCTTGGTTTTGAAAATAACAAATGATCAAGTGCAGCACTTTATTTTTAAATCTCATCAGACTCTAAACAGCACTTCAGCCTATATCGTCACCTTGGAGCAAAAAGTAATGTAACTGACATTTTTTGAGAAAATCACTTTTTGTCATTATTTGGTTAGAAATACAAACTTTCACCAGTCTCTGAAGTTTAGAAGCTGAATTTTGATAAAAAATGACTTTTTTGGCATAAAAATAAAAAATGTAAGTGCAGCTTCAGAATTTGTTGGTGCAAAAACTACAGTAAGTACACTTACATGAGTTTTTGCGCCAATGTTTATACAGATAAGTTGAAAATAATTTGATGCAAAAAGTATTGTAACTGCATTAAAATATTTCACTACTGCATTATTAAATAGCAAAATTATTTCTAAAATACAAATTTTATATATAAATCTACTTTAGGAAACTAACATTTAAAGAAAATGTTTTATTTTAATTTAACAACAAACAATATAGCTAGGAATATTTCAGTATTCAAATTTTGTTGATATTTTTAAATGATTCAAGTAATATAAGAGCTGTCATTGATTCGGTGGAAAACAAATTTATGATGAAAAAATTTTGATGATACACAGATATATTGATAATTACGTACTACTTGTCTCTTAATTCTTTTTCATAATTGTTTAAATGCTTTCAGTAAAAACATGGTCTTTTCATAAATGTGAATGCCCATTGCATGATTTTTGCTACCAATTTTTTGTCATCACTGGCTCACTGCCATGAAATATGCTTCTGCATAATTATGTTTTGGTTGAATTTTCATAATTTCTAGACATTCAATTATTAAATCAAAATTATCGATTGTCTAAAACAAAAAATTATCAACGATACACATCAATATCATTTCTATTGATGACAGCTCTAAGTAATTTTTTTTTCAATTGTTTACTCAATTATTTATTATAAAAATAAAGATAAAACTTGCTTAGAAGATTTACATTCTTATTGCATTATATAAGGACAACTGCATTATAAAAATGTAACTGCAATTTCACTGTTTATAGCCCTGGAAAGAAACAGTTGCTAACATTGGTTTATCTTTTCTATTTTAATTTCTATAAAAACATGGCAGACAAAAGCATGTAATCTGTTTCAATAATATGTTGGTCAAAACCATAATTGCTAGTATGTTAAGTCTTATGTGGTGCATCTACAACTCCCATACATCTACAACTCTGCATTCATACATATAGAATGGGGTCTATTATCAAAAATTAGAATGACTCAGTTCATTCTCTATGTCGTGCAAGTAAACACTTTAATTAACAGAAAATCTCAATTTTCAAAGACCCAAACCACATTATGTCACAGAAATTAATCTAAATTTTTATATAAAATCAAAGGTATTAAACCATGGTAGTGATATGGTGTATAATGTTTAAAGTTTGGTGGCAGGAAATAAGACAATTTGAATTCAATAAATCAAAATTTTGAAAAGAAGAAGCAATGAAAACAAAATTATATATAAAAATTGAAGTCTGTTCATGAGATATAATATAAAAGGATCTCACTGGGATATGTTGGACAAGAAAAGTTTAGGATTCTTAGCAGGTTCATCCAAAATCTCGACTACATCCAACCAAAATGTTCAGAAAAGTTCAAGATTCCTAGTGGTTTTATCCAAAATCTCAAAGTCTATGTCCCTGTGATGGTTGGATATTATTGAGACATAGATATTATGATATATAGATCTCCAAATGCCCCTTTTTATAACAAATACATAAATAAACTGTACCATTAGAAAATGACAACAGTAAAAAACATGGTTAATAAGTTGTCACGTACTTCACTTCAGTGTTGTTATGTTTTTTCTGGTCCTCTGTAATCATTGATTCCAGCACTTTTAAGTGTTGAAAATTGAGTACAGCTTAAGTCGGTGCTAGGGGGCGTGAGGGATGTTGCACTTTTCATTATTGCTCATGTACAGACTTAATCAAGTGAGTCTGCAGTTTTCATGTAATTTTGTTGTGATTAATGCTTACATTTACTTTGAAATTAAAAAAAATACACTGCTTTGGATTTACTGTTACTGTTTAAAATTAATTTTAAAATATTCAGTTTTTAAACTTCCTTTCATATGTTTAATGTATTAAATGTGGTTCATAATCCACAATGACCTATTTTAAACAAACCTTACAATTAATTTGTTTGTAATAAACATCTTTCAATGTCTATGCAATGCAGTAACTTCGATACTTAAAATTAAAGTTAGTGCAAAAACTATGGTAAGTGCACTTACATCACTTTTTGCGTTTAAAATCACAGTGCAAAAAGTCATGTAAGTGTAGAAGAATGTCTAATTACTTTTTATACATAAATGAATAATTGTAATGTTTAAAACCAATTTAATAATACTTATTAATGATATTTTAACATTATTGTCTGGAATTAAAAGGGTTTACTCAAAATGAACAAATCAGTTTTTTGTGTCTCCTGTAAAATTTCAAAAATGTCAGTTACAGTACTTTTTGCGCCAAGGTGACGATATGACGTACAGTTCAATCCCTGAATTTATTTGTTTGTTTGTTTGATTGGGTTTTACGTCACACCGACACAGTATAGGTCATTTGGCGACGTTCCAGCTTTACTGGTGGAGGAAGACCTCAGGTGCCCTTCCATGCATTATTTCAGGCACAAACGGGCACCTGAGTAGAACCACCGACGTTCCGTAAGCTAGCTGGATAGCTTCCTCACATGAAAGAATCCAAAGTCCCTGTCGGGATTCAAACCCACAGCGGTGAGGGGCAAGTGGTTTGAAGTCAACGACTTTAACCACTCGGCCACGGACGCCCCAATCCCAATCCCTAGAGATATGGCACACCATCTATTTATGGTGCTCTTATGTAACAATTTTTTTCTGAAGCAGAAGTAATGGACTGGACACAATTCAACAATACCAAGGGTTATATTACAAATACACATTCAATCCTCAGCTGTGACCATGCACCTTGGACTTAAACATGTGAAGTTAAAATTTTTTTTCCGATCCCTTCATGCATGCAGAAGCTATGGACCGGACCCTTCATGAAGAACATACTTTCTCGAAAATGCACACAGACAAATGAAACATTAAATGGCTCCATAATGTACCAGTTGATTAATTAGGTAAGATAATTAAAGGCTGAGAATATGTAACAGTTTTTATTTTCTAAACGTTAATACATTACAATTATCATTTCAGTTTTACACTTCTCTTGATACCAGCTCGGATACCAGAAATCTCTCCACCATACTTGTGCATCTCTGTTCTTGGTTCTCTGTACTGTTAAACAAAAACAATTTATGACAGCAACTTATAATCATATAATTTAATTGAGACAATTCAATTACAAGAGTATGATTTAAGTGAACATAATTTGTCTTCTTTCATCATAGGCAAACATGTTAAATGATTCTTTGAAAAATTCATGCCATAATGATTTCAAATATGGAGTCAATTTTATTTTAACATTGTAAATATACCAAGTTAAAATTCTATCATGGCAAATGTTATAGGCATATAACATTCAAATACTGAACACATCATTTGTGTTCTATACATATATATCCTGATCAGAAACAATACAAAGGCTGGTGATTATTTATAAACTCCCAATACTGGCCAAGTAAATTAACTTATTTGCTATTATTTTCCTCAGATTTTAAATCATTTAACATCAAAGTTATAAAATTATCTCAATTTATGTAATTGACTTATACCTGTCCTTTCCTCCTTATTTTTGCCTTTCTGTATTTCATTCTGTGTTTTACACGTGGATTACGTAACTCTTTCTTCTTGTGAGCTGTCAGCCCCTTGTTCTTCTCAATCTGATCACAGAAATAGAGAATGTCTCAACAAAATGAAATAAAAAATATTTACAGTTTCCCTTTAATTTTCTAACATTTGTAGGATATCATTTGTAGGATACTTAACATTTCTGAAATGGAGCTAAATTTCTAGTCTTTTGTCCTAGCATAATTATAAAATATAAGATCAAAAATACATCAAAATCCACTATTAATATTTGATTCAAACTAGAGCTTATAGAGAAAAGATTTTGATAAAATGCTTATAATTTCAGTTATTGTTGTCTGAAAAACAATTTCAAAGAAATTACTTAAAACTTGGATCTGTAAACATATAGACTCTATTGAACTTCAGTTAACGCATATAAAACAAACCTGGTAAGATATTCCTCTTTTACCATCCATATCTTCATCACCGTCATCCTGCTCTTCATTGTTATCCTCACCTTCCTTATCACTGTAAATGGATAATATTGACATTGTTACTGCATTGTTTCATACAACATTTTTACCTATGAAAAACATAAATGTCCCAAAAACAACTTCAAGTTGTGACTTTTGACATAAATTTAATTTTTAACACTTGAATGTAAGAGTTACAGGCAAGGTCTGACTCATCTAGAATGTCACAAAATTCTAAAATATTTAATGGAAAATGCCCATGAATAATATCAAATAAATTTTATTTTTGGTTTAATAAAAATTGAAAACTTTGATAGGGTAAAAAATCCCTGACACATCAATGGTTCATATTATAACAGGATTTCAAGCAAACTGTACATGCAGTTTCATTCAAGTTTATTTTAATTTACAGAATTTATGCTTGTATTTGCCTGATAAAAGTCAATAATGCTTGGTATCTTTAAAACAAATCCTCTTTTATTTACCTTTCCCTGTCTTGTTCCTCGTCTTCATCAGATAGTTCGGGTCTACCAGCTTTCATCATTTCATAATATTCTAAAGCTTCTCTCTCTCCTTTAGTCTCATACCTCTTCTCATTCTACAATTATTAGTAGAAATAGTATTACATTGACTTACAAATACAACCCTAAATACACATAAAAATATTTTTAATTGGATACCTTTGGAAGTTTAGGAAACAGAACTTAAATTCTTAATTAAAAATAAAAAAGACATAGCATAAAGTAAATATCTATGCTCAACATAGTTGCCCTTGATGATAACCAATAATATTGATCCTGAAAATATGTACGAGGTTTCAAGAGAATAGCTTCAGTGGTTCATGAGTTATGAAGTTACAGGCAGAAAATAAACCAATGTGTTTACCTATTATCTCTAATTGTAATAATTTGAAACTTCAAAATGTTAGTGTGACCTTGACCTTTGAAGTAGGGACGCGACACATTGTCTTGATGTGGTAGACATTTGTGCCAAGCTATTTCAAAATCCCTTAATGTATGACAAAGTTACAGTCCGTACAGGAAAGAAGTGGGGATGCACAGACAGACGTACTTACAAAATGGTACTTATGTGACTTTTCCTTTGATCTTTTTAGCCATTTTTTAGTCAAACAAGGCTTAATAAAAGTCACACAAGTAAAAACGGAATGAATATGATCAAAGAGAATTTACTGTTACCTATTGTTCTCCAAGTCACACAAGTACCTCTGGGTTTGTACAGACAGACAATGTGATTCTAATATGCAGCCCTTTGGGGGGCATAAAAATATATATTAATGATAAACTCAAAAGACTTACCTTACTATCTTCCTTAACAGCACCTGGAGTTACGACCTTTTCTTTATGTTTCTTTGCATGTGCTTTTCTGTCCTTTTCTTTAATTCTACCAAAATAATAAACATCACTTAACTAAAAACATTATCCAATCTTTTATGAAGACTGTCAGTAAAGTGGCATTACCATGGGATCCTGGCAACAGTCTTCTGGTTTTGGTGAGACACATTTTGATCTTGTTTAGTGATTTTTTTTTATACTTTACAAGTACTTTACTAGTATCATATATAGTACATGAAAATTAAACATAAACCCAAGACTTGATGTTATTTATCCCAGGAAATTAAATCTTATTGTAGACACATCAATATTGGCAAAAACAGTTTATGTCAAAATGAAGTAATAGTTACTGACAAATGAAAAACCATGTAATAGTTACTGACAAATAAAAAACAATGTAATAGTTACTGACAAAAGAAAACCAATCATTTTGCAAACAAGAAACATGGCAATGCCATGAAACCAGGTTTTCAATTATCACCATTGTAGATAAATATGTTGTATTTGAAATACAAATACAAGCAACAAACAATGTAACTATGTGCAATGTTAAACATGAATAATGTAGGAGGAATTGCCACAGAGGAAGTGTTCACTATAATTATATTCTGTATAAGGAAAAAAAACAAAGGGCCATAATTAAAAAAAAAATTATTCAATCACAAAACCCCGACAATATGCGCCAGGGCACTGGATGACAAAGCTTCAGTAACTGTGAAAGTTTGAACAAAATCCGTTGAGAAATGTAGGAGTTCAGCACAGAAGAATTTTTCACTATATATTCTGTATAAGGAAAAAAACAAAAAAACACAAAACCCCGATAATGAGAGCCAGGGCACTTGATAACAAAGCTTCTGTGAAAGTTTGGTCAAAATCTGTTAAGAAATGTAGAAGTTGCCGGGGTAAAAATTGTTCACTATATAATCTGTATAAGGAAAAAAACAAAGGGCCATAATAAGGTCAAATATTATACAATCACAAAACCCTGACAATATGCCCCAAGGCACTTGATGACAAAGCCTCTGTGAAAGTTTGGTCAAATTCCGTTGAGAAATGTAGGAGAAGTTGCCAGGGTAAAAATTGTTCACTATAATTATATCCTATATTGGGAAAATAAACAAAGGGCAATAATTTGGTCAAATATTATCCAATCACAAAACCCCGACAATATGCGCCAGGGCACTTGAGTACAAAACCTCTGTGAAGGTTTGGTCAAAATCCATTGAGAAATGTAGGAACAGTTGGACACAGAAGAAATTATTCACTATATATTCTATATAAGGAAAAAAAACAAAGGGCCATAATTAGGTCAAATATTATCCAATCACAAAACCCTGACAATATGCACCAGGTCACTTGATGACAAAGCTTCTGTGAAAGTTTGGTCAAAATCCGTTGAAAAATGTAGAAGTTGCCGGGGTAAAAATTGTTCACTATATAATCTGTATAAGGAAAAAAACAAAGGGCCATAATAAGGTCAAATATTATACAATCATAAAACCCTGACAATATGCCCCAAGGCACTTGATGACAAAGCCTCAGTGAAAGTTTGGTCAAATTCCGTTGAGAAATGTAGGAGAAGTTGCCAGGGTAAAAATTGTTCACTATAATTATATCCTATATTGGGAAAATAAACAAAGGGCAATAATTTGGTCAAATATTATCCAATCACAAAACCCTGACAATATGCGCCAGGGCACTTGAGTACAAAACCTCTGTGAAGGTTTGGTCAAAATCCATTGAGAAATGTAGGAACAGTTGGGCACAGAAGAAATTATTCACTATATATTCTATATAAGGAAAAAAAACAAAGGGCCATAATTAGGTCAAATATTATCCAATCACAAAACCCTGACAATATGCGCCAGGTCACTTGATGACAAAGCTTCTGTGAAAGTTTGGTCAAAATCCGTTGAAAAATGTAGGAGAAGATGCGCACAGAAGAAATTGTTTACGCCCGCCCGTCCGCCCGCCCGCCGACATACCTCAATCTTATAACCACTTTTTTCCTTCGGAAAACCTGGTTAATAAAACAATGAAACAAAACACTTTCATATTTTAAAATTTATGTTTGTACACATCACAACATATTAAGCTTAAATATACTAATAGTGAGATACAATCAGGTAATGTCAGATACACATATGTGACTGGGGAAGAAGATAAAACTTACCATGTTAATTTGTCCCAAAACTGAAGGCATTTGTTAGAACATTAGATGTTCATTATCAAGATAGGTTTATAAAATATATTATATAAGACATACCTGACAAAAGTTCTTGTTTTCTCTATGTTCTTGTCAAATTCTACATCTTCACCATTGTTAAGTTTCTCTACTATTTCATCTATCTCCTCTTTCATCTGTTCATCTAGTGGTTCCAATTGCTTCATTATCTAATAACAATACATAATATATATACATGCAATTTGTAATACATGGTAATTTTGCTCTCTACAACTTTAATTAGTTATACAATTTGTGCTTTACCTGTGTCAAAAACAATTTGAACAGATTAGTAAACATGTTGACCCTACATATAACAAAATGTTGTTTATCCTAAACAAGGTATTAGAGATTTTCATTTCGTATATAAATCAAGTAGAATGGAAGTGTGCATGTTTTTTTTCTATTACAATAATGCACCCCTCCTCCACTGTTCTTATTCCCTCATGTACAATTTACAGTTATGTTATGATGTCCACCATAATTTGTTCATTCCAGATAAATGCGTTTACCCTCTTATCATCAGTACATTCAACAACTAGGTTACTGAATGAAAATTAACATTCTACAGTCTACAAAAATTTGTTATACACAAAATATTTGTGCGACTGATAAATGTATCAACAATTTTACTGTAGATTGGAATAGCCCTTTAGTCCAACAATGTTTTCTGACCCTTTTATCATACATAGGTATTAGAAAAAAAATATATCTTAATTTTGAGAGCTTTATGGAATAATATTGCATAGTACATGTATGCAAGTCATTCAGATGTTTGTGAACATGGCCTATGACTTTCATGATTATATTTCTGCAGAGCTGAACTCTATACCGTGCAATATCATACCATAATGCATTCAATATCAAGGTATATTTTCTAAATATAAACTAGCATCCAGTAAATCATACACTACAAGTCAATAACCAAGCAAGGTTTTGAATATTGTTAACAGTACAAGCCTGTTTATACCAGCTTCTTATGAAAGAAGCAAGAGAATATTAACAATTTGAACAAAAATAATCCTTCTTAAAATGGTCTTATTTTTATTTCAGGTTTTTTCTCCCCGTTTGTTTTTTCATTGCACCAACACAGTACAGGTAATATGGCGACTTTCAAGCTTTTCTGGTGGAGGAAGACCTTCCTGGTGCCCTTCCGGGCATATTTCAAGTATGAACAGGCACCTGAGTAAAAACAATAAAAAGACAAACATTAAAATGTGGTGCCACTTACATTTCTGTACTGTAACAATCTTTTGATGACAGGATGGTTATGTACTGGAGCTTGTTTAGCTTTCAACATCAAGTAGAACACAATATTGGTGCAGTAACTGAAATATAATAAAATATTGATACATTCACTAGAACATGAAACAAAATGCAATACAGGTACAGTAACTGAATTGAAACAGAAAACAGTATTGGTGCAATAACTATAAATTAAAACACAACACACTATTGGTAGCTAACTATTGGTGGAGTAACTGAACTGAAACTGAATATATTTACAATATTGGTGTAGTTAGGCTTTGTCAGCAGGTGATAATTTATTATGCACCATCAGAGATCGAAAATTCCAATTGTCGGCTCGTAATTACAAGTAGAATTTAAGAGAAATCTATGCAGGACGAGTAGAGAAATGTTGCCTGCACATTGGATTTAGAAGCTACTAGTCCTGCAGTATGAGTGACTCTAAAAATATTTTTCGATGCCTGACCATAATGACTTTGAGTTATGCTCTGGACAAAAAGTATGAAAATTTACAATAAAAAATAACTCCAAAATTATGCAAATGAAAATTTAAGTACTTAAGCAATACACTTCTTCTTGAGAGATCTATCCATCTATGAAGGTTGAATTCTAATACTATTTTAGTTATGATAATGGAGATTTGTATATTTAAGACAACATAAAAGTAACATATCAGAAAGTATTTAGGAAACTCGAACATTATCATATTGAACTACAGTAAGTGTCAAAACATAGAAGATTCATAAGACTTACTTCAAATCAAGTTTGAGTTTTGTAAGAACATAATCAACAGCTTTCCCTTTCAGGTCCTTCCTGTCTATCCAATCTTTCAAGGGGCATAACTTATCTTGTACTTCTGTCATCTACAATCATTAATTGATCAATTCATTAATCTTATTTACATCAGCAAATATATCATCATTAAATATTTTCAGTCATTTTTGTTAAAGCATATTCATTTTTAGGTCAATTAAGAAAAAGCTTGAAGCTTATTTGAAAAAATTCCTGAGTCCACTTTTAGTAATTTTTTACAGTATTAGTGTCATATGATAATCAGGAAATACAACCGTGATCCTAGCAGGCTTTGAACCTATGGCCCCTGGGTTGAGAGGCAGACATTTTAACTGTGATAATATTCATATAACAAACCATCATTATTACATTAAAAACAAACCTTAGATTTAAAGTCTTCAATTAAGGTGATCAGTTCTGGAGACTCTTTCTTCAGCAGCTGTAATAAACAAAACATTTAATGTTACAGCAGCTGTTAAAAAAGACCAACTATTCAATATTAAGAAGAATTTAAGTACACTTTTACATGCCAGTGAAAATACAATAAAACATGCTTTATTTGCGTTGCTTACAATTTTCATCTGAAGTTTGAAGTTAATCAGTTAACCGGAGTGTTAATGTCTCAAATTGTAAACTTCTCTTTTTGTAGTCTTAAGATATATTTTACATTTTTATGTTCATGTTTGTATTTGGAAAATATTTTTTTCTTGAAAAAGCAATATTAAATTTACCTTTATTTTTTCTCTCTTTGACAATTTGGAGAGATCTTTTACAATCTTCTGTTCTTTCTCTGAGGTATCCTTCACTTTCTCTGATGGCTGTTTAGAGAAAAACAAACTTAGATAAACTTAATATTGAGTCACTTCAACATTAACATTGTTATTGTAAATTCCAGACTACAGTAAATATGAAGTTTTTAATTATTTTTTACTTCAAAAATCTCATTCAGTAATAGAACAGCACCATTATAGAGATAATGATCAAATGCTGGTACTAAATGCACTTATATCACAAGTTTCATCTTCTCTAAATCAAGCTCACTCCCAAAAATTCATCACAGAAACACTGACAACAGCTGTCTGAGAAGCAATACACTCCTCTTACAGAAAAGGGGACATTCTTTTCTCTTACGTCTAAAATGTACATCTCATTCAACAAAGTTTATTAAAAATAAGTATGAAATATCAAATAAGTTGTTTTGTGGCTTAATAAATTTGTTTTTAACTTAAAAATTATTTTTAGCTTTAACTAAAAAAGGAAAAAAAATCAAAATCACTTTCCACATTATCTATGATACAATTTTTGTATAGAATTATGACATTGAATGCATATAACATCTCCACATAAAAAGTATGACATCCTGGATAAGAGCATTGCTGCAACCATTCTGAAGCACTTACAAACAATATCAATCAGAAAATTTCAATACATAATGTAGACTCAACAAGATTGCATTTGAGAAAAATGCTATGCCACCGCATTAATACCTAAGCTCTAGGTCTTTAGGGCATTTACAAGAAGGTATTTTAAGTTTTTGAAGCCTTGTACCTTGTACCTACAGACAATAAGATTTTTTTATTTTTTACTATATGTATATATTGAAATTCAGTGACCCCCGGGGCGGGGGCAATTTTGACCCCAGGGCTATAATTTGAACAATCTTGCTAGAGGTTCACTACACAATGTTTCATGCAAAATATCTAACCTCTAGCATTTGTCAATTGCTAGAAGAATTTTTTTTAAAGTTTTTACTATATACATATAACGAAAACCAATGACCCCCGGGACAGGGCCGATTTTGACCCCAGGGCTATAATTTGAACAATCTGGGTAGAGGTCTACAACACAATGCCTTATGCTCTAGGCCTTTTGGGTCTTTACAAGTAGGTATTTAAAGTTTTTACTATATGTACATATAGTGAAAATCAATGACCCCCGGGGCAGGGCCGATTTTGACCCTAGGGCTATAATTTGAACAATCTTGGTAGAGGTCTACCAGGCAATGCCTTATGCAAAATATCTAAGCTCTAGGCTATTTGGGTCTTTACAATAAGGTATTTTAAGTTTTTACTATATGTACATATAGTGAAAATCAATGACCCCCGGGGCAGGGCCGATTTTGACCCCAGGGCTATAATTTGAACAATCTTGGTAGAGGTCTACCAGACAATGCCTTATGCAAAATATCTAAGCTCTAGGCCTTTTGGGTCTTTACAAGAAGATTTTTTAAGTTTATTCTTATAATTCCTTTTGGTTGCCATGGCAACCACATTTCTGCATGGAATGAAATTCTTTGAACAACTTTGGAAGCCCTTCACCAAAGGATCAATCCTGTCAAGTTTGGTTGAAATTGGACTATTGGTTTTTCACAAGAAGATTTTTTACGTTCACTATATAATCTATATAACAATGACCCGGGGCGGGGCCTATTTTTGACCCTAGGGCTATAATTTGAACAATGTTGGTAGAGGTCTACCAGACAATGCCTTATGCAAAAATATCTAAGCTCTAGGCTATTTGGGTCTTTACAATAAGGTATTTTAAGTTTTTTACTATATGTACATATAGTGAAAATCAATGACCCCGGGGCGGGGCCGATTTTGACCCAGGGCTATAATTTGAACAATCTTGGTAGAGTCTACCAGACAATGCCTTATGCAAAAATATCTAAGCTCTAGGCCTTTTGGGTCTTTACAAGAAGATTTTTTTAAATTTGTTCTTATAATTCCTTTTGGTTGCCATGGCAACCAGATTTCTGCATGGAATGAAATTCTTTGAACAACTTTGGAAGCCCTTCAACCGAAGGATCAATCCTGCCAAGTTTTGGTTGAAATTGGAACTACTGGTTTTTCACAAGAAGATTTTTTAAGTTCACTATATAATCTATATAACACACACACACACACACACACACACACAAACACAAACAAACACACACACACACAGGTGAATCGCTATATGCCACCGCATCGCAGATGCTGCGGTGGCATAATATAAACATAAAATAAAGATTGTTTTGACAATATATTTATACTAAACCTGAAAGATGTCCAGTCCGAAGTCCTGGTCATCAAGTTGTTCTGCCATCTGTTTTTGTAACCTAAGGGCTTCTTTTTCCTCGAGGACAGCCTCAGCATCATCTTCCTCCATGTCCTTCATATCTGTAAATATAACACCAACATTTATTTCTCTTATAATATCACTCTATACTAGATCATACTAAACTGTTAATCAATGCATTAATGGTGAAAGGATCAGACAGTTTATGTATTTACTATGCCTGTTTGAAGGTCAGATCATCTTGACTATTTAACTAGGAGGAAATTCACTATTTCCATTAGAGGTGGAGTTCAATGCTACAACAAATCAATTTATATTAGGCAAACGGATGACATTTTAACATGGTAATAACTTTCATCATATCAAAATAAGTTGAAGAAGTTGTTCTTGATCCACTCTTTAAGCATAGCTATTAAGTAGACGTATTTATAGTTTAGCACAATATTTCTACCTTAAATTACAGGGTAGTTATACTCACCAAAGTATCTGTATTTTAAAATATTTCTAATATTTTTCATGCATAATGAATGGCTTACATTCTCGATAAAAACTAAGACACTTGCTTTTTTCCTTTAATATAGTATGGTAATTTCTATCATAAAAACATGTACATACATACAAGATAAACACATATGCCAGAAGGCTATCCCTCATGCTGGCCATATTGCCTTACAGAGAATGAATTACTTCTCATATATACCTTATAATTAACATTTAAAACTCACCAATATCATCATCTCCATAATATTTACTTCTCCTACTTCCCCACGCTTTCTGGTCTGGCAATCCTGAAATAAACAATAATCAATATATAGTCACACTAAAAACAAATTTAAGTTAAAGGGTATAAAGCTATATCTTATAAAATATTATATTTTTTTTTTAATTTATCAACATAATAAGTATAGTAGTTCCATAATCTTATGTTCAATTCTAGACAGAGTTGTAACATAGAATGTCTCTGGTATTTAATACACATTATGACATGAATATAGTATGTAAACAGAATAACAATGTTTGGGATAAAAATATCATTCTGCTATTTCAACTAGGGTTTCATAACTAGTGCAATAATTTCATGTATGCGCCATTCGCTTTTAAGGCAATTTATACCATATATTTTTCATACAAGCATTTTGTAAGTATTATTTTTTAAATTTTTGCTGCAGATATATGGCTTTATTCTCTTTAAATAAAAAAGAACATGATACTTCAATACAAATCAAGATTATAATATATAAATAATAAATCATTTATAAAATTACCATCATCATCATCATCATCATCCCCAGATTGATCTTCAAGGTCGCTACCAAGGGCTTCTTTTTTCTCTAATTGTTTAACTCGTCTGAGCTGAGCCTTTAAATTACGAATTTCTTCATCGTCACTCTCCTCCGAGTCCAAGGCTAGAACTTCCTCCTGTAATGTAATAAGTGACCTACATACAAGTTAGAATTTTGTATAATCCTAAAATGTATAACATATCTAAATACAAGAACTTCTCATTTTTACCATTCTAATATGTAAATTCAGACACACAACCAGTTAAGAAGACATGTATATTTAACGTGTATACACAACCAGTTAAGAAGACATGTATATTTTACGTGTATACACAACCAGTTAAGAAGACATGTATATTTTACGTGTATACACAACCAGTTAAGAAGACATGTATATTTTACGTGTATACAGAACCAGTTAAGAAGACATGTATATTTTATGTGTATACAGAACCAGTTAAGAAGACATTTATATTTTACGTGTATACACAACCAGTTAAGAAGACATGTATATTTAACGTGTATACACAACCAGTTAAGAAGACATGTATATTTAACGTGTATACACAACCAGTTAAGAAGACATTTATATTTTACGTGTATACACAACCAGTTAAGAAGACATTTATATTTCACGTGTATACACAACCAGTTAAGAAGAACCATGTATATTTTACGTGTTACACAACCAGTTAAGAAGACATGTATTATTTTACGTGTATACACAACCAGTTAAGAAAGACATGTAATGATATTTAACGTGTATACACAACAAGTTAAGAAGACATGTATATTTAACGTGTAATAACATAACCATTAAGAAGACATTTATATTTAACGTGTTTACACAACCAGTTAAGGAAGACATCGTATAATTTCACGTTTATACCAACCAGTTATAAGACATTATAATTTAACATGAATATATAACCAGTTAACAAGACATATAAATGTCAGTACAATCAGTTAACAAGCTATGTAAATGTAGACACAATCAGTTAATACACATGAAGTGGTATACAACCAATTAACAAACCTCATCAGATTGTTGTATTTCCTCATCATGCCTGTATCCTTTATCTAGAAGAATCTGAAACAAACAAGAGACAATGTATGTTTCATTAATATATTGAGATGCAATATACTGTCGGAAATATTGGACACAAAAATATTCATTGATTACTTATTCATTCATCAAGTTTTTGAATTATTGTTGGAAAAGGACTTTTTACAGTACAGTATATAAAAGCTATATATTTCCTCCCTGTTAGTGTAGTTTACAAATTTATTGTCTGAATCCGTCCAAAATATCTGTATGAAAGAACTAAGATCACAAATATTTTCATCAATTAAGGCTGCATTGAAGTTTTAGTGAATTTCATAATATATGTATTTCTGATGCAATTATTTGATAATAAACCATACACAGACAGAGAAATGAAAAGTACAACAATTTTATCTACCTTTTCTTTATTAGCATGGAATTCGTCCACATCATCATATATATACTCCCTGGAATCTGGATCTGGCTCCTCACTATTTCCATACAACTTCTCATCATCCGAGGCATACTCCGGTACAAAGTCACTACTCCACTTATGAACCTTTGACTTCTTTTTCCGTGGGCCAGTTTTCTCTTCAACATCAATGTTCCTTTTTCCTCTATAGAGATAAAGAAATAAAAGTGATCAATGAGCCGTGTCATGACAAAACCAACAAAGTGGGTTTGCGACCAGCATGGATCCAGACCAGCCTGCCCATCTGTGCAGTCTGATCAGGATCCGTGCTGTTCGCTTACACACCCTATAGCAAGTAGAGAAACTGATAGCGAACAGCATGGATCCTGATCAGACTGCGCAGATGCGCAGGCTGGTCTGGATCCATGCTGGTCGCAAACCCACTATGTTGGTTTTGTCATGAAACGGCTCAAATATAGATATGTACCTACAATATACATGTACTTAGTTTTAATTTGTTTATCATTCTGGCTGTTACACATATTTGGTAATATCTCGACAGTCAATCTACCAAACCAGCTTTCTAGCATAACTAACCGGTAATTATTAATTTGTCCACAAGTGACAAATACTTATCCCACATGATTTCTGAATCATAAGACAAAAGATAGGCTTAACCTAAAAACACATTCTGCAATTAGTATTGAAATTACTTCTAGAAAATTTTATAGTTCAGAAAAATGCATTTATAATCTTATTCTTTCAATAAATAAAATTAAGATCCTTTACTGCATATTCACAAGAGGGGTGGCACAAAATGCCAAAATATTGCCCAAATATCACACATATATAAACTTTAAGTTTGTTTGTTTGTTTGTTTGTTTCATTTTACGCCTTTTTCCAACAGTATTTCAGTCATATAGGCGGGTAGTTTCCTAACCATCGTTCCTGGAGAGTTACACCAGTACTAGACAACCTTCCTCCGCGCTAAATAAACTTTAGGTAAAATATGGCTAAAATATTTACGTGCAATGATTTAAAATATCCAGAATTTTCTCATATAAACAATAAAATGCAGAAACCCTGCACCACTGCATGAAGAGTTTCAAATTGTGATAAACATAATATCACTTGTATTATTTCTTTTTCACTTAGAATTCATATTATACATAGGAACTTGAAATTTTATAATGATTATGTAAACAATTATTATGAATGTTTTTTTTTTACTCTGATTTTCTTTAAAATAAAAACCGCATTCTTAATTTAGATAAACAAACAAAATAAATGTATTGATATGTATTGAAAAAAAATTACAGTAAGTTACCTACAGAGGTCCACATAATTACACTGTTGCTGTGCTTCTGAATTTTACTTATTATGACTATGTGTACAAGATTAGTAAAATATCGTATTTCAAGTCATTGTACATAAAATATTTTAGCTTTATTTTACTGAAAGTTACTATGTTTATGATATTTGGGCAATATTTCCAGTCGTTTTTCTCCTTTAATTGGGAAGAGGCCTTAACCTCTTGATCTTGGGAAAAAGTATTGCTAAAATTGCTAATTTTGGAATTTAAAAAAACTTGTGTAAGTTCAGACATTTTGGAAAACTGCATTCAAAATGAGCAGTTTTAAAAGCCAAAAACTGCCCCTTTTTAAAAACATTTCACAATTTTAAAAAGTTTCACCCCCAGGACCCCCAAAACGGTTCACACCTTCTCCTATTTTTTTAAATTTTTATAGGGGATTTAAATCCCCAATTTTTTTAATTCGAAGTTTGCAGAAAAATAAAACTTTACAGAGAACATAGGGCATGAAAAATGGGAGACCATCAGACAATTTTTGCCCTCTAATTTGCTAATGCAAACATAGCAATTTATTGAGCATTGTTTATACGACACCTGCCCCCTTTTTTCTGTTTCAGAAACCCCTGTAAAATTACTTGCATTTTAATTAATAACAAACCCGAAGCCCCAAAAATAAACGGCTATAAAAGTTTTTGTTTGCACCCAAATTAATAAATCGGCGCCTCTTTTTATGTTTTTTTAATAGATGGAAACAGATTGACAGATGGTAATTCATTAAAACTGAATTAATTAAACACCTGTTAAAATGTGGCAAAAATGTAGAATTAATCTGTTTTAGCAATTGGTAATTTTTAATTGTTTTGTGTACTTAACTCTCAATATTATTATCAATTCTATAAAAAAAAAATATGTATATAACATCCAGGAGGTGGAAAGACCAAGGCCTACATGTCCAGGGGGTGAAAAGTCCTAAAATCGAATATAATGCATACAAGGAAGACATATAATCAGAATGAATTATCAGCACAGCAAAAGATAAGCTTTGAAAGTGAATTGGGTATTACTCCATCATTTCATGTGGAATTCGGTATTGGTTCCATTTAATTGGGTATTCTAAAATCTGTTACCCTATGATTATAAGATCAATTGGGTATTCAATTATGAGGATATAAATTTCATGGTTTATTTGTTTTTTAATTATTATAATTTACATGATCACCCCGGATGTGCCGATGTGCCAGTTTTATTGACATTCCGGAATATCACAAATAAAACATTATCAAGAATATTCAAATAACTTCGTTTTCTGGAGGATTTTTAATTATTTAGAAATGTTATGTTTCAAAGCTTCTTTTGTTCCCTATAATGAATGTACGACCCATATTGTTTTCAGAGCGTCTATTGATACAAGTTATGGACCTACTTATCGATGGTCTCCGCAAAATGTTATGTTTCAAAGCTTCTTTTGTTCCCTATAATAAATTGTACAACCCATATTGCTTTCAGAGCGTCTATTGATACAAGTTATTCGCATTGGACATACTAATTGATGGTCTCCGCAAAAACAACGGTCTCTGCTGGTCTGTCGATAAGTAAGCCCTAAATTAACTGTTGGTTGAAATGACAAAGACATGGTAAAATAATTTATAATTCTAAAAAAAATTTAAACAAAGTGTATAATTATCTAAAGAAATAGGTTGATTTCACAAAAGATTAAAAGACGATATACGGAGTTTTAAAGTCACTGAAGTACCTTCATATGTAAATTTAATGTCATTTATTACTCAAATACCATTTAACTGTTAAATTTTATTTATTATACACTGTTGTTTTGGGATTAAAAGTTCAAACGTCGGTCTACCGCACATTTTTATTGCAAGGATGAAATCTCACTTTTTAGGCATTTTTCCTGTTCCCGTGTAAGTTAGCAATAAATAAAATGCCAAACTTTTTCCGATAGACCACTCTTTTTATTTGTTTACACGTGTTTTAGGGTCCCTTTTTTATTTATTATTGTTTCACATGCTGAAAATTGTTGTTGTTGTTTTATTAATACACTAAGTTATCGTATACGTACAGTACCGTATAAGGTTGAACACCACTAAACACTTTCATTTTATAATCAATCATTCTTCAGTGATCCTCAATAATAAAGTCCTACAAATTAATAATTATTTAAAAGTCTTGAAACATATTTTCTACGTTAACCATTGAAATGAGGAAACTAAAAGATATCTTAAAATTCGATCCCAAATCAGTAGTTTTTATTATAAAAAAACATTTTGTAAGTTCTGTACTGTACTGCAGTACTGTAAACCATGTAGCTAAATATAGATAAAATCCATATATCACCCGCAACATACAGTCACTCACCGTGTGTGTGTGTGCGTGCGTGCGTGCGTGTGTGTGTGCGTGCGTGTAATATTGCTCAGCCCATTTTTGACATACGTTTTAATTTTTATGATTCCGAAATTGTTAAATTTAGTTTTGTTCAAAATGGCATGTTTTTCTTAGTTTCAAATTATATCATTCAAACAATCCATTTTTCTCATTTCTCGGTACAATATTTATCACATTCACTCAAAACCATCAAATATTTTTTATATAACTTTTAAAAATTGATCTTTAATCGGATACCGGAAATGATTCAAAAATGGACGAACATTACACCGAATTTTGATATCTACAAGTTTGCTTCTTTAAAAAGAAGCATGCGAGAGGTATTTTTGCAGCATCGGTGGCAGATTTATTTAATTCGAAAATATTTGAAAATATTTTTGCATGAAAGGCACAATTAATGAATGTTTATGAATTACCATTATATATATTGAATATAATATCATAATGAAAGTTTGCTTTATACTTCATTTTTAATGTCTTAAAATATTATATGTCGGAGAAATGGACATTTTCTTGGCGCATCTGGGATATTTTTTCTACAAAGGGAACAATTTATATTATGTTATCAAACTATTTTTTAAAAAAAAATGGCATCTATTAAAAGTAGTATCAAAATAAAAGTTTCTTGTAAAATTCAATAAACAATTTATTGATTAATGTTTTGGTAAGTATTTGGAAACATTTCCTCTCCAAAACGTGCATAAAGTACAATCAAACAATTTCAAGTCCCGGATTTAATTAAGAAAATGTTTACATCATTTGATTGGAATAAAAAGTATATAAAGTTGCTTGCCTCTAACCACAATATTTCAAGAAGCGTAATTTACTCATACCGGTTTAAACAAACGTTAAAGGAGCAGCACACGATTCACCCGGTCATCTAATAGTGTATGGTGATATTTTAGCTATAATGTTCACTGTTACTATTTTTCGGAACATGAAATAGTAAAATGCTAATAAAAAACAATAGTCGAAATATACAGTTTAAAGGATTAAATTTTCGTTTAAGTTAATAGATAATAGATAGATAATGTTCATTTTATTTTATAAGCTTGATAAGATATACTGAAAGATCCTTTAGATTATTATACTAATTTTAGAATCAGGATTTCAGTTTGAAATCTTAGGCCTACTTCTTCCCTGTAAATTTTATAGGAAGTCAAATCGATCTCAGACGGACTTCGTCCTAAAAAAAGTGGCCGGTCAACATTATGGTGACCAGTTATCAGTATGGATGTCACAGGCTGGTCATCATTTAGTGACAAAGTGTTATCATTTTTGGCTGCACGGCAGAATAACGGTTAAATAAAAATATCAACTCGGCATATAAACAAAATAGTTCTGTAAATAGAACACTTCAAAGACTTGAATCAAATGAATAACTAAATTAAAATGTGTGAGTGTTTATTATATATGCACACTCAAATTTTGCAAAAACAATTACAAATGTATAAAAAGTTAAAAACATAAACATAATTATGATCTAAAAACAAAAACCCAATTGCACCTTTCTATCATTGCTTTTCATTTTTTATATATAGATATTAGATCGTGACTAAGACACAATCTGTTATGTCAAAATAAAAATTATAAAAAGCGTTATTTTTGTAAAAGATTATCCGGTTAAGTTTTTTTTTCTACCTGCTTATACTTAACAGGCGTATGAATGAATTCAGAACACATATATTGTAGCATATGTAGATACATATATTGTAGCATATGTAGAGAAGACTATAAATTCATGCTTGACTAACGCGCAGCATATCTGACTAAATGTTTATTTAACAGAGTCTTAAAATAAATCTTGCAGTACTCAAACACGCTTGCGTTCTTGTTGGCTTATTGTTAATATTCACGCTACGAATCATATCTAAATCATTATAAAACAACGAAACAGTACAGTGTATTTTTAATCAATGTAAACAGGGAAGAATGTGTCCATAGCTGTTGATGGTGGGTCTGCAGTCGTGTAAACCATGAATTGGAAGTCTGACACTCTGTAGTCAAAAGCGTTATGATATTCTTGATCATCATTTGCTTGATACAATTTTCCACACCTGGAAATAAAAAAAAAAATATATACCACTAATATTCGAATTGATGTAAAAATAAATCAGTATTATAATTTGTTCGCAAAAGTAGCTATTTAAGCACTTAAACTTAAGGTATGAATTTAAAGGTTCATTTGATGTAGCATCATTTCTCATTTACCTTTTCAAAATGCTGCACACATTACATCAGAAACGTAACAACAGCAGCAGCTTCAATCATTTGGAAAAAAAAAAAAAACAAAAAAAAAACAAAACAAAAACAAAACAAAAAAAAAAAAAACAAGCTCCGTGACATCGTGTACAGTACAGTTCTTTTGTCGATATTACTTAAATACTTTTATAAACAATGTCTCACTTCGTTCACCTTGCTATAAATATCCACTTTAAAAACATTTCTAACTTTCAAAATATCTTGCATAGTATGTTTGAAAATGACGTACAAATAATAAACCAATATATTCATGTTGTAGGAATTTGCTTACATTTTCAAACATTTTTTTTAAAAACATACAGTTATGTCTGCACACGATGACAATGACCTTACAATAAGATATATTTACGGACAAGATTTGTTTTAAAGTACATAAACCCTACGTGTTGAAATATCAATAAAACACCAGAGATTAAACATATTTGATTTCCAAAAATAATCCACTTGTTAAATCTGTATACATGTTGTACTTGAAAATCAATTTAAGAAGTTGTCCTATCAAATCGATAGAAAAATAAAGCAGAGATCTATGTTACAGAAATGTAACACCGTAATTAAATAGCAATCCATTATTAGGTCAAGCAATGCCAGCGAAGCGAGAATGTACTAAAATAGGATATTTAAAAGCAGTAATCACAAACGCCGTAAATTAAATTAATTTTATGAAATCCGATATCGATATCGAGTTTCTTTAGATACTAGTAAATTTCCTACTACACTGTACTTTTAGTTTTTGATTCCTCATTATAGAAATGTATGTGTTCTTATAATAGAATCAATATTTCTACCCTATACCTTAATTAAAATGAGTGGATCTTTATAAATGTTCGTTACTATTACTAAGGTTATAAGTAGTTGAAACATTTATTTCAGCTCGATAATAATTAAAGCTTTAAGATTATTTAAACCGTTTAAACTAACTAGTACTGAATGATGTCTCATATATGTCCGTGATCAAATATACCCCAAAATAGCAGACACCTTCACAACAAGGCCGCCACTTATCTTCAAAGATTATCCGTTTAAGATTACATATTCACTTAAGTTATTGTGTTGTTAGTACTATCTCGTAGTTGGTAGACCAAGTTTCATTCATTAATATCAATGGATACAGAGTTAAGAAAAGTACGTGTAAGTGTTTCTTACTTCTCAAAATCTAATAAACTTCTGTCCATTAAATCGTCCCAAAGTCCATCGTAAATTTCATTGTAAATTTCTCGTGCTTTGTCCAGAGCCTTTCCTTGATCTGCATCGCTAATGTCTATAATATGAGGCTTACCGAACCTAAAAAATAACATAATTATATATTCTTTCGTTATCTTTTTTCAGCTTTTATTTCAGAATGGCTAATTCAATACAAATAATGTTCTTAATTTTCTTTTTTAAAAATCTAAATGATATAACTAGGTTCTTTAAATCTTATTTCAGATCGATATCATTTAAGTATGTTATCAAGAGTATTGACTATGTGCTCAGATTGAATAGTTAAGCAGCTTACCTTAGAGCCCCCATCAATGCTTTCCTCAAAGGTTCCTTCTGGAAGTCTAAACTTGATGTGACACTGATCATGTTAACATCTCTATACTTGAGAAACGTGTGTACGTTCCCATTTCTGTCTATCATAAACGTCCACCTGAATAGCACATACTTACAACGTTATAATTGTGCAAGTAAATACTAGATAACTCAAATGACTTGTTCAGAGAGATTCTAGAGTTATATAATATCGTTTTAAAATGAGATATTCGCTTGTTTTCTTCGTGTTTTTTGTTTGTTATGTATTTAAATATATCGCCTCTACAAATGTACACTACAATAAATTACAAAGATTTTACTTACATGTATTTACTTTATAAAGGTATTTATTGATATATGCTACAGCCGAAATTGCGTTATATTTACAACAATAACAGTTATTATGAAAATGTAATGTTTACTTTTCGTTGACCACGGACTTTTATTTCACGGACTTAAATTGTAAATTAAAGTCCGTGGTAAAACATTGTCAAAATATAAAGAAACGAAACAACGCCAGTATTTCTCTGTAATAAATGAAAATAGTTCAAAATACCTTAACGTATCAGATACATGTATATTTGATCGCAAAAGAAGATTTGTTTTTTGTTTACCTTTTTGAGTCTTTTATTTTTTGTCCAAGGTCACCACTTAAGTTTAGCAGTACAGCAACTTCCTTAAACCCAATTTCTTCAGGAACTAAGACCTTCTTAATGGAAACTTTTGCTGTAATAAATGACGCACGTGTTTGATGTAGTTTATTCGTATTTTCCAGAAGTATATAATTCTAAATATTTATATTTTAAAGTGAATTGGTCAATAATGGAAGGTCTGTAATTATACCATAAATAATTATGTTGATAGTATTAAATATCATACATCACAAGATATTACGAAACGTTTTATAGACAAAAATGAACTTTTAGCAAAGTATAACTAAATGAGTTGAGTAAATGAGTTGAGTTGAAAACTGTAAACCTACCCATTTCTTCCTCAACCTTCTTTACGTCTGTTTTACTAGCATCTTTACTTGTTGCACCTTTAGCAGCGGTTTTAGTTCCAGAAGCCCCTCCTTTAGCTGCACCTGTTTTGGTCGTCGTCTTAGTTGCTGGCTTGGATGCTCCTCCTTTCGCTGCTGCTTTAGGTGGCATTTTCTTTCTCTCTTATTTCCTTTAAAAATCAGAAATGTAAATTTCTTTCTCTACGATAAAGCTATGTACACTTTAAATTACTTGTAATCTTAATGCGTCCACTTCGTTTATATCAACTGTATTTCTACTTTAAATTCTGTATATTTATAGCAAAGTTTAAACTGATTACTAATCGTATATTTTACCAATACTATAAAATCAATACAGTATTGTGTTAGCGTCATATAAAAGCCAATATATAGAACTCTAAACGGGTGAATCCCCAGGGAGTTTACAAAAATATTGTACAGTATTTCGAAACAAATTTAAGGCAATAGAATCCCCAGGTGAATTTTTATTTAATAGTTTTTCTTAGAGGTTTAAATTTTATTAGTAATATAAGCTTAATGTCTGAGAGAAACCAATCTGTAAAGGTAATAAACATGATGTAACGAAGATTACAATAGCATTGTTATAATTATAAAATTCTTATCTGATATTCTGAATTAATTTAATCATCGTCGAAAGAAGTTATACCACAAATTACTATTGTATCATAGTTTTGAGATGACTTTCTAAAGAAAAATAAGATTTACATGCCTCAACTCCTGTAACTTCATAAACTTTTAAGCAATGAAAGAATGTTTCCGTTATTCTAGGCCTACTCTCAGCACAATGGTATTCCAATGGGTCTTCTGAGCAAAACTATGTTTTGGATATTTTTTTATGAAACAATTCACTTACTCCTGAAAATCATCGTGTGAGTATTATCAAGTCCTAGAGGAATGGGAATCAGGACTGCGTCGTAGACAAATTGTAAATAAAAGCCGCCATCTTTGAATGAAAAAGGTGTAATTTGTATATTACTCTTTTTGTTAGGATGACTGAAAACCAGATACATGTGTATATGTATAAACAAGCTCCGCAGTTTTCCGCATCATTTGCTATATGTTGCTAGCACAACTATTTTGGAAAACAAAAATAATAGCGAACTTGCAAGAATTTTATGAAGTTTTGTGGATAGACATATTGCTTTATCTTCGAAACAAATACATATATATACTCGTTTCAGAGTTTACCATAAACTCCAAAATATAATTTTGCATCACTTACTAAAATTTCATTTACATGAGATGAGTTGTTTTTTCTTCAAGAAAATAATGCTTTGTACGAAATGATACGACGCAGTTGAAAATGAAATATGATACGACTAGTTGTATTTTCATTGTAGGCTGTATATTGGTTCCGCTATTGGCAGATGAGAAAAAAATTCTAAGGCTTCATTTTTCGATCGCTTTTTCAATCATCTAAATAATCACATGAATACTAGAAATTCCGAAAAAGTGTATCAAACGTAAAATCTATTGTAGTACGTGATTGCACGTGTTCTAGTGCACGTTACACATGCCGTATATTCTACATGTAATACTGGTAAATACGGTAAATGAGGATGGTTCTAGTGCTGCTTGCAAACCTGTTCACGTGAGTTTGAAACTGAAAGGGTGGTTACTTTTTTCATTTGCAGTTTTATGTTACGAATTTTCAATATTTTAAGGCCAACTCTTCTGTAACAATGTTGAACAAGCTGTAACAATCCGGAACGACTTTTGTTTAATCAAAAGAAAGAATTACAATTTTGAAAAATGTCACTTGCTTTTGGAAGAGAGGTATGCGTAAATTGCGTAAATTGCCTACCTTTGTTACTTTGTACGACAATTTCTGACAATTGTGTCATTTAGCCAAATCCTTGTCTTAATGATCTTGAATGTTGCCTTTAATTGCTTGAAAAGCAGTACTTGTCAGTTAAATTAATATTCGGGTAGGAAATTTTCTGATGCAAAGAATATTTGCACATTTCTGTCACAAATTTGAAATACTGTAAAAATAAAGAGAATGAAAAATATTTTAAATGCCAGTGTTAACTTTCTTTTCTCTGTTTATGTGACGTCTGAAACACGTGTACAATTCAGGCCAGCCTTAGGTAACGTAGTTTCACCTCCCGTATGGGATATGGTAGGGATGAGATAAATATTCTTTAATCTAAAGTGTGTTTTTTTATACATAAATATTTTAATCTTATTTGATTTGAAAAACCCAATATGTGTTAAGCAGCTGTTCAATGTTTTACAAGTTCTATTACACATACAGGTCTACAGCTATGAAAGTTGCACTATTATAGCTGTTTATCATGCAAGTGCTACAAAATAAAATCTTTATATTCTTAAATGTAAATATACCGGTATGATATTTCTTGTGATACTTATCCGTACTGATCTGAAAAATGAATATATAATTTTTTCTTGTTTTTTTTACCTTATGATTGAATACTAACTTATAAAAATCATTCGATGCAAAACAACAATCTTAATATATTTTATAAATCATTCAAAACTACATATTTCAAGAAACAATTTATTTTCTAAGCTAAATCTGTCCTACATTCCCCTACCTTTACATTTCAACAATTTCTTATCCTATATATCTTTTCAAAAATACAATACTTTAAACATTCATATAAAATAGGTCCTCATAAATCATTTGCCTTATAAATATATAGCATCCTTAGTACAAGATATCCGAGATTTCTGTGTACTAGTAACTATATAATTATAAGCCTTAACTTCAACCATAATATGTCCAATCAACCATTGGCCCGAGAGGTCTTACTGAACAATACAACATTTCAATACCAGATATCTGAGATTTCTGTGTACTAGTAACTATAAGCCTTAACTTCAACATAATTATTTCAAAATTTAAAGCACGTTGGGCGCGGCAGAGTCCTTATGTAACTAATACAACATTTCAATACAAATTAAGTTTAATCAAGATTTCCTGGGTTACAAGAAAAAATTTTAAAATTACGATCCCAAAATTTAACAAAAGGAACCCAATAAGTGTTTCGTAGTTTATCTGATTTTCCAAACAATTATTCATCGTTCCCGTGGCGACGTTCCTGGTCAAGCAGTTTACCAGTACTAGTTGCCTTCACTTTCGCAAGGAACTGATTAGGAGTAGATAACAATTGCTTCCTGAAATAATACGCTTTATTTGGCATCTACATGTACAATGATAAAAATGTGATGTTAGACACTTTGGGCCTGGGTCTGCAAACTTGTTAATAAAAACCAAAAGAGAATATTGTAGACGATGTGTGTTATTTGTATACGTACTGTTTTCTCTCTTGAATAATTAAAAAGTGAAGTTTAAATTGATCTCAATGAAAAATAGTCAGCAGCAATGTGTTAATGTAAAGTTAGATAAATTTAACAATTTAACATTTGAAAATTTTATTCTGTTATTATATTCCCAACCTTCATGTGATTGCGATAGTAACAATCGGGAAACGTTTATTCATGACATCGACATCCCACTAAAATAGAAAAGCCCATAAACATTGATGATTACTTTTTAAGTTCTTGAACTGGTTCTGTATCAGCTTGCCAAAAGTTTATATTACCCGAAGTAGGTCTGAAAATGAGAATTTGCAGACGAAATATAGTGATTTCTTACCAACATCTAGGCCTGTCTTCGAATTTTGGAGATAAAATTCCAGCCTCAGTATTTATCCAGTTAAACGATCAAAACTGGAAATATAAATAACGTAATTTCACTTTATTATAACTAATACTCATAAAATTGAAAAAATATTTTGATAATAAAATTAATTCGGAACTAATGTCAATATTGACCTAAATCCCAAAAAAGAAAACCCAGTCCTGTCAATTTCCACATTTGTAGCCTTTTTTATCAGTATATAAATTCAGTTTCTGCTCATTGAGTTATATTTTGTATTTATATATATCTCACAGTAGTTATCCATCATGCCTGTTGAAGAGGAAGTGCTGAAAGTACGTTCAAAACTGGAAAACATGATCTCTACCAACACCGCGGTAAGTTTTGTCATTAGTTTCCGCGATGTTGTTTACTTTTATTTTCGTTTATTTCTGAATGCGCAAAAATAGTTTCAAAAGACTAGCGTTACTAAGTATACTAAATGAATTCAGAAGAAGTTTAACTACAAAAGGTGTTTTATTACATCGATTTCTTGTTAAAGACGGTTCTAGACGTTATTTTCTGTTTTATCACAAAGGGACATAACTTTGTTAATAAAGAGAGATAATTAATTTTTACTTTCATTTTTAAATTTGAAGTAATTGTAAAAGGGGCTCTTTTCTTCCATCAACACTAAACTTTTACATGTTTTAAAAAATGTTTCTCTTTTTATTTTAATGAACTTATTTAAAAAAAATGAAATTGAATTGTATAATTTGATTCAAATAGCAATTTTGATACAGATCTGCATTTAGCACTTTATCAATCAGATAAATTATCTATCTTTCAATAGTGTCAAACCCCTCGCAGGGTGATAGACATAATGATATGTGTGTCAAAATCGCAAGAAAGTTAAGAACAGTTGTTTAAACTGTTAAAAGGGGAATTTTGAAGAATATTGAACAGTTGATAATTCAAAATGTTAACAATGGGGCTGGAAAACTAGGGTGAGACATGTTCATTGCTAGCTATAGCTGCACTGAATTGCTGGGGTAAGAAGTAGGGCAACTGCAGGGGGTAGGTGGTTCTGGTGGTATACAATCCAAGGAATGAAGGAGAATTTATATGAATAACCTATAACACAGGATGGCCATGGGTGATATTTGGGAGAGGGGTATCACATAATGACATATTCTTCTATAGGGATAGCAACCAGAACATGGTGATTCTTGTAAAGAAGGGATAATTTAGCATTTATACGTCCGAGTTCCAGTTTTTCAAAGCTTAAGTTAAGTGAAGCATGTCCTTGACACTATATAGAAATATTTTAGCAATATAGGCTGCTTAAGTTACTTGGTAGAGACATATCCGATGGCTAGTAGTTCACCCATATTGATTTTATCATTGTCAGGCCAAAGGTCACAGTGAGAAGTGACAATGTGAATTATCCTTGTCTGATCAATAACATGAGAGTTGATAACCCGAGGTTGGTGAAAATTGATTGGGACTGTTGGGACAAGGCCCATAGCCAGTAGATAACCCTTGCTGATGCCATGTCTTTAGGACAAACATTTAAGACACAGTGACAGTTGGGCCAATACATAAAATATTTCTGATTAATAACTTGAAAAGGAATAAGTTTCCAAATTTGTTTGTTTAACTTAGTAGGGACATTGCCCATGACTAGAAGATGGACCATAATGATTATGACTAGTAGATGGCTTGTAGCACAATTTAATTTTAGTAGTAAGGGAGTTTCATGCCTAAAATTACCAAATTTCTTGAATTGCTGTAAGTGTTAAATTTCATCTTAAGGTCTTTGAAATCTAAATTTCATTGCTATAATATTAACACTTATGTTTTGTATACTTGTAGGATCACAGCTCAGCTGTAGACATTTTGAAGTCACTTCAAGATTTACCAATGAAGTTAGAAGTTTTACAGGTAAATACCATTGATTCATTATGAGACTCATGGTTGGAAATTGCAAACAAATAATGAATTGTTAACACATGATTGATATTCCTATGTTTTTATTGTTTTGTTTTTTTACAGATATGTTTAATTATGTAGAATACTAGTTTGTTTTTATGTATAACAACAACTTGTGTATAATTTAGATTATTATTACTATCTAAATGTAGATAAATTTTTATATTTATTTCCATTTTCAGAAAACAAGGATTGGTATAACTGTAAACAACTTCCGCAAAGCAAGTTCAAATGATGATGTAATTTCACTGTCAAAGAATCTCATTAAAATATGGAAAAAACTCTTGCCAGGTATAAATCATAACAGAAACTGTTAGAATTATCTTTATTTCTGCTTAGCTATGACTGGACTGTAAGAAAGCATGAGATTAAACATATTTATTTAAACTCAATTGTGAGACAAGTTCTTGTAATTTTATATCAACAACTTTCTTGTCCACTTGCAGTTACTTACCACATAAGGAAACATTAATTCCAGTATTATGAATGTTGTACTTTGGTTGTAAGCTCTGATTAAATAATTCAGAAAAGATAAACTATAAAGTAACACTAATATATAGCAATTCAGGTATCAGTAATTATTAAAACTAAAACTTAAACCTGCAACTTGACTATTTAAGCCACTAGATGGCGCTGGGGCAGATTTTCATGGTATTTTTGACATGCTTCACATCTAACAGCCCTTTTTTGAAATAGTAAAATAACCAAGAAGTATTTTGCCTAAAAACTTTTTGTATAACTTCTTTGCAACATTTGAAATAAAATGGCAGAGAAAATATCACAAAAGATTCACTTAAATGTACTTTGTGGAAAAAAAAAATCAGTTAACTGTCAAAAATTTGAAAATCCCGGGGCGGAGTAAATGGGGTCATGAACTATAGGTTGTAAACAAATACACTTGGCAGTGTTAACTTTCCAGTAGAAACTTGAAATATTACTCTAGGAAGGGAGCTGCTGATCAGTAATCGTCTGCTATAGTGTTTGTTTACATCAGCTAAATTTAGCACAGGTACAGCGTCCTTTGCATGATTTATCTGATAAACACGCCTACAAAATTCTCCCTACCAGGGCAGGGATTTTTGCGGCTTTAAAAGGGTCACCACACATAACAAATTCAGTTATTTAACTTAAATTATATTTAGTAAAATCTGCAGATATGTTAAACCTTGTTTTCCATACATATCAACAGCATTTATGATTACATGTGCATTTCATTTTCTGGTAAACTCTGTTCCATTCCACAATATTTATTAAGCATTATTTTGATATTGTTTATCATTAAAGTTGGAAACTGCAATATATTATTTTTTGTTTGATGTCAGATTCTGAATAAGCAGTTAACCCCTAACCTGCTGGAATCAAAAGTGATCAGCCTTTGCCACCAGTATAGAGCCAGGCCAGCCTGCACATCCATGCAGTCTGACCAGGCTCTATACTGTGGGCAGCTTAAATTTTGTATTTAGATATTGAAATCCCTTGAACTTTGCATGGACTGTTTCATATTCAAAGCTGGACAGATCCATTATTGAAATATAGCAGGTTAAGGATTATTACTATATAATGTTTCATTCTGTAGATAATAATTCAAAAAGTGATAAAAAGGAGAAGTCTTCCTCTAGCTCAAAGAATGGAGAATCTATGGATTCGGAGGAGTCGGAGAAGAAGGGTGACGAGCAAGAGAGGAGACAATCAGTATCTGCCTCCAATACACATGATCCTGTCAGGTTAAAATGTAGAGATCTACTCTGTGCTGCTCTCAAAACAGCAGGTATGGTTTGAGCCGCGTCATAATGGGTTTGCGACCAGCTTGGATCCAGACCAGCCTGCGCGTCCGTGCAGTCTGATCAGGATCCATGCTGTTCGCTATCAGTTTCTTTACTTGTTATAGGGTCTGTAAGCGAACAGCATGGATCCTGATCAGACTGCGCGGATGCGCAGGCTGGTCTGGATCCATGCTGGTCGCAAACTCATTATGTTGGTTTTGTCGTGACATGGCTCATTTATGTTCTAAGATTATTTATTTCAAGCTTGACTGGGAATGACAGTCTTTCAACTTGTTCATTTTTGAGTCAGTTTCAGGACCTTTTGTTGAGGAAATATGGTTGTGATCTGATTACAGATCAGTTAGAACTTGTGATCCATTTGCTATAAAGCTGCATGCCTCCAGATGAGCCAAAATATTTCAAGAAAATCAGGACTGAGAAAATGTACTAAGATTTTAAGAAAGGCAAAAAATTTCATGTAAAAATTTACATGTTATGTGCGATTTATGACTGATTGTGCAATATTAATCACCATATTGATCATGAAAACTTGCATGAATCTTGAGGCAGCCTCCCCCATCAGTTCATTACTTCTCAAGGTTTTTTTTTTTATCTTTAATTTGATTAAAGATTTGTGCTCTTTAATACAACTGACTGAAGTTAATAATCAGAGAGTCTGCTTAACAGACAAAAAGTTAATTTTCTGTCATCAGAATTATATACTTTCTTTTCTTATTCAGATGCCCATGTTGGTCGCAATGATCCTGAAGAGATTGCTGCAGCAATTGAAGATAGTATCCTTTACCCTCTGACGGTGTTTCTCTCACTTGATAGATATTTACTATATAATGCTTTAGTAAATTATGTCTTAAAGCTTGCTTTTATTAATTGCTTTAATTTGAAGCTTGTAATTTCTTACAACAGTTGCTTACTTCCATGTTAAAATTTTATTACTGCCATGATAACATTAGATTTTAATACATGTATGGAAATGTTTGTCAAAATCACAGACATTCCAAATTACAAATAATAAAGAAAATTGCAGAATGAAAGGTGATTAGTCACATGATGAATGTTTGGTGGTTTTACCACAAACGAATATTAAAGGAACTCCATTGTGATTTAAAAACATAAAAACACAAAATTTTAATTTCTTACATAGATCAGCTGGTGAACTTAAATTTGAAAGATACGCGAAAGGTAATTAGGGAATATACTTAGAAAGAAATTAATTCAAAATATATTTTTGTGCTATTCTTAGCCCAATTTGAGTTAAAAGCTTTGCAACGTTTTTCAAGTTTAGGTCATTCTTCACAACTGAAATATTTATTCTGGAAAACAGAGTGAGCAAATGATCTGAAATTTTACACACAATTTATTGGTCAAGATCTACATCAAATGGAACATTTATGTTGAAAATTTTTTTCCAGTCCTGTCATGTCAAAAAACCTCAGTGGAGTCTCTTTAAACAATTTGGTTTGATACTTCCTTATCTGAGTGTCAGATATTTTTGAAGAATTTAATAACACAGAAACTAAGTACAAGAACAGAGTTAGAAGTCGTGTTGCTAATCTAAAAGATGTAAAGAATCCAGATTTGAGAATCAATGTCATGAGTGGGATGATTCCTCCTGATAGAATAGCTAAAATGACTGCAGAGGTTTGTACTAGCAATAAACATTTCTTTACATTTTATAATTTCAAAGGTAACAATTAATGTATTTTAATTATGAAAACAACTGAGCTATTATATTTTAATATGTTTTAAAGATTTTTTTTCAATTTATGAAAATATTTTGTAAATGTTAATAAAATACAGTTATTTGAACATGCCTGTATCTGGGCATGAGTGTAGGGCAAAATCCCCTTGACCAAAACTTCTTTGATTAATTTTTTGAAAAATGACCAAAAGCCAATTGATAGAAACCAAAAGCCTCATAATATATGGAAAGTGGGCAAGTCACATTTAAACTTGTAGCGGGCTGGGAAGGTGAATATTCATAATTCCAAATGTCACATGCAAAGTTGAAAAAGTCTTGACATACTTTTTGTGATGTTTTACAGGAAATGGCGAGTGATTCTATGAAAACATTGCGAGCAAAGTATACAAAAGAATCTATTGATGATCATCAGATGGCAAAAACTGGTGGCACATCTACTGATCTGTTTAAATGTGGAAAATGTGGCAAAAATAACTGTACCTACAACCAGGTAATCTTCAGTCTACAATAGTGATACTGTTTCTGTAGTATTTATTAATCTAATGTGATATCTTACTCAAAATGGCAAGTTTTCAAAGTTACCAGATTTTATCAAATACCCATGCAGATTTTGCGACTGTTAAAATGATATTTTACGGCCGTGCATATATTTTGACGTGACTTCATTAGTGTTATACAAACATAGTGTAAAGACCCGCTAAATGCTAGCATTACAATATATGCGCATACATGTCAAATGATTCTTTTCACTTTAAACAGTCTTTTATTTTGTGTATGTGATAAATAGAATATTATATTCGTGTAGGTTCATTACTGAGTTTATTGAACTCGTTGAATAATAATAATATTTTGCTGACCAGAGGTTTGCATAATATAATTATCCCCGGCCGATGGAATCGGGAGGGGGATATAGTTTTGGCGTTGTCCATCCGTCCGTACGTATTTCGTTTCCGGAGTAGTTCTCTGCAACTAATGGCTGGAATTCAACGAAACTTTATGGGAATGTTGATCAGCATGTGAAGTAGTGCACCTGGGTATTTTCGTCTGGATATTTTTAGTATTTTTAGAGTTATTGCCCTTGACTTAGTAAAATTTTGTAATAATTTTGACATTTTCAACTTGTGTCGCATGTAACTCAAAAAGTATTTGACCTAGAGTCATGAAACTTTACAGGAATGTTGATCAGTATGTGTAGTTGTGCACCTGGGTATTTTCGTCTGGATATTTTTAGTATTTTTAGAGTTATTGCCCTTGACTTAGTAAAATTTTGTAATAATTTTGTAATTTTCAACTTGTGTCGCATGTAACTCAAAAAGTATTTGACCTAGAGTCGTGAAACTTTACAGGAAAGTTGATCAGTATGTGTAGTTGTGCACCTGGGTATTTTCGTCTGGATATTTTTAGTATTTTTAGAGTTATTGCCCTTGACTTAGTAAAATTTTGCAATTTTCAACTTGTGTCGCATGTAACTCAAAAAGTATTTGACCCAGAGTCATGATACTTTACAGGAATGTTGATCAGCATGTGTAGTTGTGCACCTGGCTATTTTCGTCTGGATTTATTTAGTATTTTTAGATTTATTGCCCTTGACTTAGAAAATGTTTGCAATTTTCAACATGTGTCGCATATAACTCAAAAAGGATTTGACATAGCGCATTAAACCTTATTGGAAAGTTGCTCAGCATATTTAGTTTGTTCCTGGGGTTTCGCTTGTGGATTTATCCAGTATTTGTAGAGTTATTTCCCTTGACTTAGTAAAAACTGTTTCATTATGTTGTTATTTGATCCTTGAGTGCTTGAGTTAGAATTGACCAACTTTACAGGAATAATGATCAACATCACTAAATTACAGGAATAATGATTCACCTCACTGTGAAGCAATGAACCTGGGACTTTGCATGTGGATTTTTTTCAGTTTTGTTAGAGTTATTGTCCTTGAATTACAGTAGTATAAATATGCAATTTTCAACTTGGGGTTTGCTTGGGGATTTATTCAGTATTTGTAAAGTTCTTGCCCTTTTAGTTTTCAAAAAATATTTGACCTAGAGTCATAAGATTGACACAACAGTGGCGCGGTGGGGGCACCCGTGTCCTATGGACACATTTCTAGTTTTTATTAAAGAAGAATTAAAATGATTTGTTACAATAACATTTAAAAATATTTGAAAATTGTGAGATCCCTTCTTGATGCCTTGAAAATGGCAATGAAGTCTGGAGATTAAGATGTTTTTACATCTAGGTGAGCTATTGTGATCCCCCACCGTCCGTCGTCGTGCGTCGTCAGCAATTTCTTTAAACAACATCTCCTCAGAAACAAATGACTGCACAGCAACCAAACTTTACAGGAATGATCCTAGGGTGGTCTCCTGCCAAAGTTGATCAAATGGTTCCGGTCTGTTGCATAAGTAGGTCACAGGGCCAGAAAAGGAGTTTCAAAAATGCAAAATTAAAAAATCTTGTCTGAAAGTACAAGGCCTAGAGCTTTGATATTTGGTATATGATATAACCAGTTACCTATAGGTCCTCTACCAAAATTGTTCAAATTTTAGCCCTGGGGTCAAAATTGGCCCCACTCCAGGGGGTCATAGATTTTCCTTATAATATTATGTATATAGTGAAAACTTAAAAATTCTTCTTGTTTGAAGGTACAAGGCTTCAAGTTCAAAGAATATTACAGTTTATGCCATGATTAATATATAAATAAAGCCTTATGTCTTCAGTTGTTGTGTTAATAATAACCAGTACTCGGCGGGGGATATAAATTCAACGAATTTGCTTGTTTTATTAAACTTGTTTAATAAATTCAGTATTGAACCGTAACTCATTCAATATCCCCTATTTATGAGATGTGATTTTAGATGAGAGATTAAAGTTAATATGATTGTGCTTTCAGGTACAAACAAGAAGTGCTGATGAACCTATGACAACATTTGTACTGTGTAATGAGTGTGGAAATAGATGGAAGGTAACACACCTATTTTATATTAGTCTTCTCTTATATTTATAAGATACCTACATTATAGATAATTAATATGGTCGGGGGTGTCAGTGGCCGAGTGGTTAATCTCGTTGACTCCAAACCACTTGCCCCTCTCTGCTGTGGGTTCAAATCCCAACCGGGACTTTGGATTCTTTCATGTGAGGAAGCTATCCAGCTAGCTTATGGAACGTCGGTGGTTCTACTCAGGTGCTCGTTCGTGCCTGAAATAATGCACGGAAGGGCACCTGAGGTCTTCCTCCACCAGTAAAGCTGGAACGTCGCCATATGACCTATACTGTGTCGGTGTGACGTAAAACCCAATCAAAAAAACAAACAAAATTAATGTGGTTTGATTTCAAGTAAAAGTAGCATATTATCAAGTTAAAGAAAAAAATGTAAGAAATTTTGATTATTTATGTCACATGTATTTAGCTTACAAAGTTTATGAGGAGCATCCTACTTTGGTCAGTGTCAGCTTCCTGAGCTTTGTTTTTGTTCAGTTAAATATTATTTACTTTAACATTTTAAAAATCTTTTTATTCAGATTTACTTCATACTGCATACACACATCATGTTTGAAAAGGATCATAACACTAGCATCTATATTTCAATGATTTTTATCCCCTTTGAATTAAGAAATTCATTTGAAAATTTTTGTTTTTTCTATTCTGTCTTCCTCATTACTTTAGTAATTTACTTCAGACTTAAGTTTGTTTTTCTTTATTATTATTACATGGTTCATAACTCTTAACATATATATTTTAAAAATTATTTTCACCTTGGAACTTAGAATTTTGTTTTAATTTTTATTTTACGATTACTGGTTCTAGTATTAAATAAGTCAAATATGCTACCTCCTCTGATAGCTCTTGTTGTATGTCATATTTAAGGATGTAGGTAAATTAAGAAATAATAAATAAAATCACTGTTTGAACGACAAACTGATTTTATCAAGCGATAAAATCACTGATTTGGATATATTATTACGATTCTAACTCAACATCAACAAATACATGCTGCTGTACCTGATATCAAGCTTAATAGCCCCTGATCTGTTTCTGTACTTACATTCATTGCGTCGCATTCTTAATGTTTACATCACATGTTTAATGGTTGCGTCACATGTCTAAATCAAGAACGTCAACAGTGATTTTATTGCATAATAACACACACTTTCGGTCCTTACATGTTCAATATGGAAAAATCCGGGTCGTGTTAGAATGCACCTTATTTCATGCTCTAACAGCCACACAGGGTTACACGGTATGATAGAAAAATATTCATGACAGGCATGGAGATAGGGCTTCAATGATTTCTGTTTTGCAAATTTTAACAAATGAATTTTATAGCATGAATTTAAATACAATTTTATTTATTTCTTATTTCAGTTCTGTTGATGCTGGTATGGCAGATTACATTTTGGAAATTAGTACATGTACATTATAAGAAAATGTATGACTCAACTTACATGCCGATTTTTACATTAAAAATTGACCAATGACAAAAGCTTTTTAACACAGACATACATGAATGAGAGAATGCAAGATTATTATCTGCATCAAAAAAAAATCAATGCTGATCAAAAAGTCAAAAAGCGATGTCTCTTATGTTTAATTGTACTGATAATTCATCACTAGTCGTACTGTGGTGTATGATTACTTTGTTCAACAATATTGTTTAAAACATTTCATTTTTCTTGTCAAATTAATGAAGAAAAGAAATCATTTTACATTTTATGTGTTTCAAATTTATTTCTGATTGTGACAGCTAAATCTTGTATATAAACACTTAACCCATTTTCACTGCCAGAACTGTATTCATAAAATTACAGTGTTACAGTGAATTAGCCAGGAAGTTACATGAACAACTTTACAGATGAATGTTTATAACATGTGTAAGAACTTGTCTTCTATAGAATAAAGTGAACAAAGATTTTTTTTCACAACTTCATTTCCAAAGTTCTGATGAAAAGATCATTACAAATAAATGAATTATATCAGTTGTTTCATTTCAAGTAACAAGTATACAAATGTCTTGTAGGCAGGATGGCTATGTCCATGAAGGCAACAAAAAGGTTAAAATCATGAAAATTAAATACTTAAATAAAGGGTTCATGAAGATAAAAAAAAATTAATTTTATAATCATTAGGGGTTATTTTATATTTGTAGTTGTGTAATTTTTACTTTATATGCCATTATTGAAACAGTCAATGTCTAAAGGGCAGTCATTCCATATAAACTCTCATACTGCAGTCATCATTTTTTATGATAATATGGATATGATTTATTATACATGTACTGTACCATTGTTTTGTTGTTTTCTCTTGTGTTTTAGTCTTTAGTATTGTTAGCTACATTTTAATTACAAATTAGTGGGGGAAAAAACTTGGATTACATTAACCGTTACTATTTTATACTGTAGTATGTGTAATGAGCAAGACCTGTTGAACTTGAAAATTTTAATGATGGTTAATTTATGGTATTTCATGTAAAACTGTTGACATTAGATAGTGTTCAGTGTAGAGTCAGATTGCATGATGTAGGCTGTTAGTTGCCTGTTCTGATATGATAAACAAGTTACTCTTAGAATAGATAGATGTCTGTTCAGTCTTGCTGGGCTAAATAGGTGAGGTACTTTTAGACTGTGTTTCTATTCCATAGTTACTGGTAGTTAATAAACCCTTGTTGACTGACACATAATGACATTTACAAACATTTATTTTTGTTTTGTAAGGAAAAGGCTTACATAAGATATTTTAAGGATAAAAAGCTACAAGCTAAGATAATATAGACTATGAGAGAGATTGTTTAAGAATGTTATGACTTTTAAAGCCTTGTGTGGGGAAGAAAGAGTTTAAATGATTTCTTGTTTCGATATAAATTCGTTAAGAAGACATGTATATGACTGCATTTATTTATAAATATTCTGTGTAACAAGAGTTTGTATTGTTCATGTTGGTGAGAAATAATCATGTCATAAAACATTGTAGATATCTCCTTTACATTATATTTCATCTGTTTGCCATCACATGAAGAGTAATAAAACTGTAAATATATGTCTGTGTTTATTTGTTGATTCATCCCAACATCTCTAGGATTATGGACAATAATTCCCGTACACAGCTTGCTGATTCTATATATGTAAATTTCACATTTTTTTGCGGTCTGTTGGAAGTGTAGTTACAACTGTACTGGCAAGCAACTAGTTCCCGCACTTTTTAATACTCTCTCTTACCAAAAATTAATTGTTACACATCAATATTTCATCTCGTCAAAGTCCAAATATGTTCTTAATATAGAGTAATCTTTAGTTATAAGGCCTGATATGGGGTGTCAAAATTACCCATTATTTTCTACGAAAAGTAGTAGTTCCTGTACATAAAAGATACTGCAACCCATAATAATTACACAATGATGTTATATCAATCCTATTTTTTTATTTATAGTCATTGAAGAGAAATATCGTTCAGAAAATACAGTGTGGACTAAACACTGGTACTTTTACCTAGTACCGTTATCCCCAAAGCATCAACATGCAATGAAGTGCTTGTTTGCATGACATTTTACTATTCAAAGCCATAAATTTATTTAATATGATAATATAGGGCAAAATTCTGATTTTAAACATGTTTTCATCATATTGCCTGTTGTGTAATATAATACATGCTCTTTCATTCTCTCAAGTCACGTGGCTTGAACTCGGTGTAGACTTGTCTGTTTGATAGAATGCTTTAACATGTAAACATATGCTTTATGTATATTCAATGTTGTTATGATGATAACTGACCATCGGCCTTTCAGAAAATGGTACATCATACAGGTGGTATTATTGGAAAACTTACCGGCGTCATATGTAAGAATTTTGGTGCATCCATGCAAGGATGGAATCTTCTAATGTTTAAACAAGGTCACATATTGACAACACAAAGGTGAAAGTGATTTAAAATGAAAAGTTTATTGTACCTACTGCCAAACTGACACTTAGATTTTGTCTCGTTCACACATCTGTGTGATTTAGTATCAATTTTTAACAAGAGGGCCATGATGGCCCTAGATCGCTCACCTGAATTATCAAACTCATCCAAACAATTACCTAGACAAGCATTCTGACCAAGTCTCATGACAGGTGAGTCAAAAATGTGACCACTACAGTGTTAACAAGGATTATCCATATTTGAGCAGTGCGACCTAGTTTTTTACCCAGGTGACACATATTCAAACTTGACCTAGAAATCATCAAAACAAACTTTCAGACCAATTTCCAGGATAATTGGATCAAAACAGTAGCAACTAGAGTGTTAACAAGATTTTTCTATCTTTAGCTCCGGTGACCTAGTTTCACATGTGATTTCGAACTCATCCAAGCAATTACCTAGACAAGCATCCTGACCAAGTTTGATGATAATTGAGTCGAAAATGTGACCACTAGAATGTTAACAAGGTTTTTCCATATTTGGGCGGTGTGACCTAGTTTTTCATCCAAGATGACCCATGTTCGAACTTGACTAAGAAATCATCAAAACAAACTTTCAGACCAATTAACAGAATATTTGGATCACAACAGTAGCCACTAGAGTGTTAACAAGATTTTTCTATTTTTAGCTCCTGTGACCTAGTTTTTCATCCGAGATGTCCCATGTTCGAACTATTCCCAGCAATGACCTAGACAAGTTTCCTGACCAAGTTTGATGACAATTGAGTCAAAATTGTGACCACTAGAGTGTTAACAAGGTTTTTTCTATTTTTAGCTCCTGCGACCTAGTTTTTCATTCGAGATGATCCATGTTCAAACTCATCCGAGCTTTCACCTAGACAAGCATCTTGATCAAGTTTGATGATGATTGATGCAAAACTGTGACCGCTAGAGTGTTAACAAGGTTTTTCTATTTTTAGCTCCGGTGACCTAGTTTTTCATCCGAGATGACCCATGTTCAAACTCATCCGAGCTATCACCTAGACAAACATCCTGACCAAGTTTGATGATGATTGAGGCAAATTTGTGACCTCTAGAGTGTTAACATGGTTTTTCTATTTTTAGCTCCGGTGACCTACTTTTTCATCCGAGATGACCCATGTTCAAACTCATCTGAGCTTTCACCTAGACAAGCATCTTGACCAAGTTTTATGATGATTGATGCAAAAATGTGACCACTAGAGTGTTAACAAGGTTTTTCTATTTTTAGCTCCGGTGACCTACTTTTTCATCCGAGATGACCATGTTCGAACTCATCCGAGCTATCACCTAGACCAGCATCTTGACCAAGTTTGATGATGATTGATGCAAAAATGTGACCGCTAGAGTGTTAACAAGGTTTTTCTATTTTTAGCTCCGGTGACCTACTTTTTCATCAGAGATGACCCATGTTCGAACTCATCCGAGCTATCACCTAGACAAGCATCTTGACCAAGTTTGATGATGATTGATGCAAAAATGTGACCGCTAGAGTGTTAACAAGGTTTTTCTATTTTAAGCTCCTGTGACCTAGTTTTTCATCCGAGAATACCCATATTCGAACTCATTGAGCTATCACCTAGACAAGCATCTTAATAAGGTTGATGATGATTGATGCAAAAATGTGACCGCTAGAGTGTTAACAAGGTTTTTCTATTTTTAGCTCCGGTGACCTACTTTTTCATCTGAGATGACCCATGTTCGAACTCATCCAAGCTATCAACTAGATAAGCATCCTGACCAAGTTTGATGATGATTGATGCAAAAATGTGAAAGCTAGAGTGTTAACAAGGTATTTCTATTTTTTATTTCCGGTGACCTCGTTTTTCATCTGAGATGACCCATATTCAAACTCATCCGAGCTATTATCTAAACAAGCATCCTGACAAAGTTTGATGATGATTGGGTCAAAAATGTGACCACAAGAGTGTTCACAAGGTTTTTCTATTTTTAGCTCCTGTGACCTAGTTTTTCATCAGAGATGACCAATGTTCGAACTCATCCAAGCAATTGACTAGACAAGCATTCTGACCAAGTTTGATGATGATTGGTTCAAAAATGTGACCACTAGAGTGTTCACAAGGTTTTTCTATTTATAGCTCCTGTGACCTACTTTTTCATCCGAGATGTCCCATGTTCGAACTCATCCGAGCTATCACCTAGACAAACATCCTGACCAAGTTTGATGATGATTGGGTCAAAAATGTGACCTCTAGAGTGTTCACAAGGTTTTTCTATTTTTAGCTCTTGTGACCTAGTTTTTCATCCGAGATGACCCATGTTCGAACTCATCCGAGCTTTCAACTAGATAAGCATCCTGACCAAGTTTGATGATGATTGAGGCAAAAATGTGACCTCTAGAGTGTTCACAAGGTTTTTCTATTTTTAGCTCTTGTGACCTAGTTTTTCATCCGAGATGACCCATGTTCGAACTCATCCGAGCTTTCAACTAGATAAGCATCCTGACCAAGTTTGATGATGATTGAGGCAAAAATGCGACCGCTAGAGTGTTCACAAGCAATTGTGGACGGACGACGGACATTCACCAATCCTAAAAGCTCACCCTGAGCAAGCTCAGGTGAGCTAAAAAGCAAGTGTCTAAATGAAAAATATGGGAACTGCTAACATGCCAGAATTAGTTTCACAAATCTATAAGTGATGAAATTCTTGCTCTTGATTAGAGAGGTACTTTCTTACTGGAGTTCCATTTTGATCTAATGACCCCCCAGAATCAGTAGGATCCAACCTCTAGTCATAACCTCAAAACCAAATTTTTGGATTGTAGGTAAAGTTGTTCCTTAGTTTTTGGGCGACACCCTGGTTATTGGGGTGACAAGCTTTCAGGGGAGAAGGCCACAAAATTACTTTGACCTAAAAAGCAATAGCGGTCATTTTTTAGTTATGACCAACCTTCACATTGATGGCTAAAATGTCCTCGAATAAGGGGTCAGAAAAGCTTTTAGATGTCCATGCCACTGTGACCTAATGACCCAATGATATCAAAATCAATAAAAGTAAGCTAGTAGCCATGACCGGCCTCCAAGATTATACCTTGTTTGGTTAACATTAAAAATTTCATGTTAGAATAACGGGTACTTTCAATTCTGGCTGTTTCCAAGATGATTTGTGAGTTATCTGCGAAGTGTTCCGTAAACATATTGAGAAAAGATAACATTGAGTCATATAAAGTTTGATATTTAACATATATTTGCTATATAGTGAGCACATTACCAGGCTGTAACCTGTCTGTTGTGTTTAAAGTGAAGCAAAAACCTTAACAATACAACAAAGAGATGTTAACTTTATCAAAATCCTAGAAAATAATAATATACTAGCTGCAATATGACAGCACAATATCAACCATGAACTGTATAATTAAATCAAACAACATTTAAAAGGCATGTTTCTCTAAAATCAAATTGTTATTTCTTCATTAAATGATAAAATACAAGTCTTTAGCACACATATTTTTGTGTATGCAATTAACATTGCACTGAAACAAAAATACAAATAACAAAACTTTAAAACATTTTCATCCTCATTTTTTCCCCCAATAGTTATGTTCCTAAAAAGTAGCTCCTGATATACTCCCCATTTTATTTTGAATAGTATCATTGTCTTCAAAAACACCTGCTTTTTTCAAAAAAAAGAGAAAAAAAAAGAAAAGATTCCAACTCTTAAACCTATGAAATGTTCCTCATTTAGTTTACAGGGCAGGCTAAAATGATATCATCAAATCATGAACTTTTTGACTAAGTTAAAATACATGTAAGCTGTAACTTTTTCACTAATTCTAATATTGATCAGACATCAAATGTCCACTCTTTTAATAGACAACAAGAGACTAACATTTTCTTCATGTGGAGAAATCAAATATACAATGTTATTTTGTAAGACTACGAAATTTCATGCCCACGAATATAAGTGAATTCACAGTATTACTAAATGTGGTGTTTTAAAATATTACAATTAAAAATAAAAGAAAGGATAGCGTTATTAATGTGATATTGATTCTTGTTCAAAATTGTTATTGAATATAATATCTTAACAAAACAAACAAAAAATAAACAGAGTAAAATCACACTGTAGTACAACATTTCTTTAATACCAGAAGTAATAAATGTTTATAACAGCATTTTGATACATGACATTGATTAAAAGGCGCCATATTTTAATAAAAAAATTTCTTTCTTATATTACAAAACATTGAATTCAAATCAAATTAAAGATAGCAAATGATATTTCAAATATCTTTCCATTCTAGAAAAGGTAATTTTTGATGAATGTCTTACATACTCATCACATGATATACATTTGTATATATATTATCTTGTAATTAACTTCAAATATTGTACAAACTGAGACTAAAATCAGGATTTAACAAGCTTCATAGGGGTAAAAAAAAGAAAGACAATCATTAGTTATTAGGATAGAGTTAATAATGCCAACTAGCACTAGTATTGCGAGACATATTAAATAAAATGCAAGCACCTGTAGTTAATATAGTACATGGGATTTACTGCTGAAAAAAAAACAAACAACAAAAGCAGTAATATTTATATCAAGCAGTTTGTGTATATCTACAACAAGATTAAAGCTGCATGCCTCCAGATGAGCCAAACTATTACAAAAAAATCAATCTTGAGAAAAAAGTACTAGAATTTTAAGAAAAGTAAATATATATTCAAAATTCAAGGAATAAAGTACTTGTTATATGCAATTAATGACTGATTTTGCATTATTAATATTATTAATCACTATATTTCTACTGCGTCACTAACACTCTAAGGGCTTGTTTTGCATATTCTGAAATATTTTTTGGTAATTTTCATGAATTTTAAGTTGTGTTTGCAGTGTGTAAATTATTTTCTTTGTTGACTTGACAATGTTTTACTTTTTAATACATTAAAAAAAAATTCATGAAAATTAGAATGACTCTGGAGGCATGCTGCTTTAAAGCAAATAAATCAATGTGTGTGCTCCTTTACATGCAAATATATAACAAATTTTAGAAATAAAACAACAAGTTGTGTCCTTGCTCAATCTTCGTGTCAATTACGTAAAAACTTACATCAAATACATTCAATGAAATACAACAAGCTAATTCATAAAACTAATATCCCAATCATTGGAATATTATGTACCTCAGAATAAGAGAGAGAATTAATATTTGTTATCTTCACTTCTTGTTATACAAAGCCCACAGAAATAAGTGTGTCAAGCAAAATAGCACATATACTGTATAAGTGGTTAATTTTGGGACGTGAAAATATTTGCGATTTTTGCGAATTGAAATTATTCGCTAATATTTGATTGCAAAAACTTTCTTTTATACATGTTATTTGAAAACATGTTTTTATACAGCATCTTACATGAATAAGTTTGACTGTTCAGGAAGTGAGATTAATTTTTCTCATTGCTTGTTTGTTTAAAAGTTTGGTCTTATCAAATCACAAATATTTTAATGAAACAATAGGTTATTCATATAACAAAAGAATGTTTCAAAATATGACAAAGAAATGTGTAATCAGGTTGTTTATCAAACAAACAATGTGTACTTCAATTTTCAAACAATTATATAAATGATAAAGGTATTAAACAACTGAAAAGAACGATTACAATAACAGCATATTCTTAACATGTACCTTCTTATTTAATGATATCACAAAAACGGTATTAAATTCAAAAAATCATATTTTCACAAATATTTCCACATGCAAAAAGTCCACTTTTTGACATCACAAAATGTTTGTGACACATAAATATCCACATATACAGTAATAAAGATCATCCTTCTGATATATCATGGCCTTATAATATCATAACATTATGTAATGCCACTTGGTCATTATAGTCAAGCTTGTAATGAGGTAACTTTGCTGTATTCCTCTGTCATGAGATATGGTTCAAGACAGAAATGCTTTACTAAAGTAACACTAGGCCATAAATAAACAACACACAATTTAAAAATGCTAATTCTAATCTGTCTTTAGTCCTCAGTTGGATTCTTTCTTTATTTGCCTATTCATAATCCTGTTAAGTTCGAAGAAAATTGGACACACCTATTGTAAGATATTTGCATCCCAATGGAAGAAAAATGGGCAATGCCATTCCCATTTTATCAGCGGGTGGGGGGTGGGGGATAATAAAATCTAGATCTAAAGTTAAGCACCATGAATGGTCATATTTTTCACTGAAATAAATCTCACACATGTTGAAATCATTCCATAACAGCCAAAATGTCAACATTTACTGTCCTGCAGTACAAAACTTACAACCTTTATATATAATATATACATATTAAACATACACCTCTTACAAAATATACTTCATCTACAAAATGTAAACCACTACAGATTAAGTCATTTCACTTTCAAACAAATCATATCCAAATACATCAATATCTCACAATATCATCACAACACCTTCTAGTAAAATTATAACACTGCAACTAAAACTGTCAGCTCACTACATGAGGAATGTAGGGAGCTCTGTTATAGAGATACTTAGCAATTATCTACAAAAGGTAACAGGGCTACTGTTTTATCAACATCTACTTATCAACTTTTTTTTACAAATTCTACACTTTACATCTGTTAGCATCAAAAACTACATTTTAAAACATTTACCAACACTTCAAACAAGAGCTGTCATAGGAAAGTTTACATAGAGGATATTTGTTATGTTCAGTGTAAGATCGGAATATATTTCACCGAGTAAGCACCAAAAGGTATATTTCACGAGTGGCGCAGCCACTCGTGAAATATGAACTTTTGGTGTTCACAAGGTGAAATATATTTCGATTTTACACTAAACTAAACAAATTTTCTTTTTATTATATGCAACGAAACGTTTTAAAAAAGACATTAAACCTAATACTGAATGAAAAGCGCGCCAAATTATAATACAAGGTGACGTCATTAGTTGGTTCCCAGTACTGTGCACGCTGGTATTTCACTGGGCTTAAAACAGTGAAATTACCAGTTTTATATCACTGATATTTTTCTATAAACCACCAAAAAGCATGTAATAAATGACTATTCTCAGAGCGTGATCGTAAAACAAGAGCCATTGTTAAGTTCACATAGAAGAATAATTCTGTAAAATCAAAGATAGAGCTTTGGATGTTGTTCAATGACCTACTAGTGATATATATATTCAACAGTTCTAGAAATAAAAATCTAACTTTAACTTGAGGTTTTCTAATTTTTTAAAATTGTTCAGTAAATTTCATGTGGGTCTTGGTCAGGGACCTGACATTACTCCATTATGGTCCTGAAGAACTGTTTAAAGTTCAAACTTATTGTCTTCATAAAAATTCTTGCTGGAGTTGTCATGTGGGTTCTGGTTACTGGCGTAAAATTATGACCCCGATGTCAAGTGTGTTGTGTCAAGTGAATACCTATAGGAAACAGAACTCACATGCAAAAATCTTAACCAGGAGTTTTTTAAGTTCATCAAGGACATTTCAATATAAGTCCATATTTGTGACCTAACATTTGATCAAAAAGACATGTGAATTAAGATTACAGTAAATACTTCATAACTGTTAAAGATATAAAATTGCACCATAAACTTGAACTAATTATCTTAATGTCTATACAAATGCCATGCTGGTGTTAAATGTCTATAAGAAAATTTGCAACTTCTAGTTCAAGACGGAAAACAAAATCAGAGACAAAATAAAACATTCCATAACTTCATTAACAAACAAATATAGATCTATTAGAAGACTGGTCATTACTGTTTAATATCAATATTTGTGATGAGTTATTAACAACTTCTACTATAATCAATTAATGCAAGGTATCTACAGCACATTTACTATGTACATACACATTAATGCTTTGATTAATTGTACAAGAAAACTCCACCAAAGATCTAATTGTGACATTGACCCTTTGAATAAATAGTACTATTATCAAATTACTTCTGTATCTTAAGTTAAGTTTATAAGTCCATGTAACATTATACCATGTCATCCTTCCTGTATAATCGTATTACAATGTTTAACATAGAAAATATGGTATCCAGACATTTGCCCCCACTATATAAAAGAATTACTTGACATTTATCCCCCCAAGGGAAATGTTAAGGTAAATATTTCCCCCCTAGTTTCTAAACTGGGGGGAAAAGTGTTCAATTATACATTTTCACTGGGAGAAAAATACCTAATGATGCATTTTTCGACCAGGGGGGAAGTGTCCTGGTGGGCAAATGTTCCGGATCCAGAAATATATATATAATGGGACTTTTTTCAGCAAGGCATTTTTTGTGCATCAAAATATCATGAAGATATCAGTTCAGCAAACTTTCAGTTTTGCATGTCTATAATAAATACTTCAATCATTTTAATTCTTAATGATAATTTTCATTTAAAATTTAGATATTTTTACAATGTTTGAATTGTATAAATAATACAAGATTTGATACTACATTAACAAAACAACAAACCTAAAATTTTACAGATGTGTTTAAAATTTCTGACCTTATAATACAGGTGTTTACTAAAGAAAGCATCACCTATTAACTTTACTATTGACATAACAAGCTATTGAAACACAAGAACCATTTCTGTACTAGCACTACCTAAATTAGTTAAGGGTATATCTACTGCTATCACAGATTTTCTCACATTTTGTAGAACATCGTCTACCATTAGTTGTTTTTCTGAAAGTTTATTTGTATTTTGAATGTCATGTGTTTCCCTGAAGCTAGATATAATTTCTACTACTGATATGTCATGTAGGAGTCATAAATCAGGAAAGCGTGTCGGATCTTCTGTATAACCTGTAGGGATGGTGAATAAGGCATCGTTTAGCTCCTCACGCCAGTCAAACAGGGTGAATGTTACCTTAGCAGTAACTGTCGGGAATACAGGTAATTCTGAAACATATTGATTAATTTATATATAATATAAACATAATACACATGGATGCACTTACAAAACAGGTAACTTATTGATAAATAAGGAAGTAAAAACTTTAATCACTGGTCGTCACTTAAATCAACTTTAACCATGAAATAATAGATGCTTTATGCACTACATTAAAATACGAGATTATAAAAGATTTATTTATTTTAATGCATGCAAAATGCATTGTAACAAAGTCGAGATACATAAACTAAGAAATAATCTTCTTCTTTTCTTTTCTTTCATTTTCATATATTAAAATCATTTCTATAGTGCATATTGATATATAAAGCTTGATAACATATCTATATAGCTTAAATAGTTTACCAAGTTTGACTGGAAATCCTGGAGGCAGTTTATTTTGCATAAAGTCTCGTAATTTTTGGAACTGTTTGAAGGGTGCTATCACTTCAAGAACGTCTAATAAGCTGAAATATAGAAACAGTTCATTTTAAAAATAGCAATTTAAAAAGTGTGGTACACATAATAAGCTAAGAAAAACTGTAATATTACCTGGTAGCAATGACTTAATTCTTTACAGTCAAACCTTTAAGTCAGCACTAAGAATATCTGTAACACATACAGGTGCTTCCTGATGTCATTTTAACAAATCTAATATCATGGTCTAAATTTGAGGAAACCTAGGAAATTCTACTTTTTACCTAAGTGACTTTGACCTAACCAAACTGAAAGTCCACCTTAGAATAGAGATTTATGGATATGGATACAAACATATCAACTACTGAAGATGTGTGTTGAGAAATTGAGACGCTATGAGCAACACTGTGGATATAATAGTTAAGGAAGAAAAATCAACTATATACTTAAAATGTTGACAAAATTGATATTTTCTTATAGCAGATAACTTTTTTAAGAGGAAGCTGTAATTCGTTGGACATGGTATTTTTTTAAACAAAGATTTATAAGTAATAAAACATTTTGCACTCTTTTTTATAAATAAAATTTTGCAAAAATATTTGTAAAAGTTAACATGTTTTTTTTTTCAAGAAAATAGTTTTTCGCAGAATAATGTTACTGCAGACTTGCTGATATAAATAAGAACATGACTTACACATCTACAGTCATAGGAAAGTCTTTACTCTGAAAGAAAAATATATACTATTTATAAGATATGTAAATGATTATATGTAAAATCAGACTACTATCAAGTTTATACACCATACTGTGCAATATTACTGGAAAAAAAAACAAGAACAAAAGTACTCAAAAAGTATCAGTTGGTAAACAATGTGTTTCTAGATACAGGGCAGTCTTTCTTTACATCCATTAGCATCTTCATATTACAATTTATATATTATTGTAAAAAAGTTTTATACCAAATTGACATATTTATATCAATACTACTGCTGAATTTGAAATTCTAATATCAATCATAACGTCTCTTAGCATAAAAATTTGAACCAGCTGTTGAAAATCTATTTCTCATAACTACAAATATATATACATACCATTGCTAGGGTAGCTTTAAACAACTTGTTGCTCTCTTTACTAATTTGATGTCTACCTATAGAAGGAGGCTGACCTATAGGTGCTGTTATATAGTCCTCCCATGTTACTTCAGGTATCTCTGGCTTAGGTAAAGACGTTCGTCTCTCAAACTATAACAGTCAATATTTACCATATATTTACTTAATTTTCAAGTTTAAAATCAAATACGTACGCTATAACACATCCGACAAATTCATCTCTCTCCCATAAATTGATAATGGTAATTTGTAAGTAATTAGTCTTTAACAAATTAATCAATGAAATTTTATGTTTTTTTGGTTTTACACAGACAACATGCCATCAAAAAGCTTTAAATTTATATAACTTTATTGTAATTATGATTAACACCAGCTTTGATGTGGACCACAAAGTGACAATGCCCAATATCTAAGTTCTGGGCATTTTAGTTTCACACAATATGTCTGAAATTTGTTTTTACTATAGAAGTCTATATAAAGCAAGTAAACCCAGGGACAGAGCCTATATTGAACCAAGAGGCATGATTAATATCAGTTTTGCAATCAAGTAATCCCTAGGACAGGGTCAATTTTAATCTCACACCTTAGTATTTTGATAAAAAAGTTATAATTTCTTTCTGTCAGTTTAAAAGATACAAAGAAGACACACAAATTGTTTTGAAAATCATACAAAATGACTGGCTGTGACCTTGACCTAAAGAAGGTCAAACCTGCGCTCTGCACATTGTCTCATAATGCTTTGCATTTCGGCCAAGTAGTTTCAATTTCCTTCCATCTATTGAAAAAATACAGACCAGACCAAAATTGCAGAACAGACAGACAGACAGACAGACAGTCAGGTGCATAAGAATATATGCTGAAATTCTTTTGTGGGTTTTAAACAACATCATATATAATTTATGCAATGTTTCTAAGAAAACTTTCAAATAGATTTTCGTACTTCTTTTGCATCCCAAGATCCTTTAGTTAGATTTTCTACCATGGCTTTGTTCTTTTGTACATCTTCAGGAGACAAATGTTCTCTCCTACATCAACAAAATCAGATAAAACAAGTTTAATATTGATGTTGTACATATCAAATAGAGCAAAATTAAAGAAATACTATGCTCATCATAGAGTAGAATATTTTTCATGCAGAAATTTATTCAAATCTATAAAATTCTTTCTGAATATGTCTTATTTGAATAAAAGAATGTACAGAATATGTATGGGAAGCTGCATTAATTGTTATAGGTCAAGTAAAGTCTGTCCTTCCTTAAAAAACTGCCAGTTTTTTAATGACACTATATATTCATATTGTGTCCACATATAGTGTGCAGAGTTTAAAATATAACATATCAACTTTGCATGAAGTCAAAACATGTTTATTCTATATCAACAAAGAGACTGTGTAGCAATTATCAATATTTTATAATATCAAATTTGAGCATTGTATATCTTTAAGTAACATACACAATAACTGCAGTAAACTGAGATACATTAATTAAGAAAATTATTTTTTTATTCATATTTACAGTGAAAGAGAAAAACATAAATACTGGTAAAGAATTCAGTTATAATGAATCACTGGAAATTCAATATTCTTAATGTATTGAATTGTATTGTATTGTATTGATAACTATTAACAATTGTTACCTTTTCTTTGACTCTATATTAAGCCCATTTACATGATAAAAATCAGCTTCATATTCACCAATAGATTCCTGTAATATTAAAGATGAAGATATATTTAAACATCTAAATCAATGCTTCAGCATTAAATTATACTGTTATTAGTTTGTTTGTTTATACACCAATTTCAGCACAGTTTTGGTCATAATCTTGGTGGTCATTCCACCTTACTGACTTTCCTGGATAACTAGCCAACAATTTCTCCACAAGAGACCTATCACTAAACCCACAACATTTCTGAATCAGGGATCATTAATTGTCCAAGATCAATTGTCACAGAGAAAATTTCACTAATCAGAAGAATATGAAAATGTTATGGGTCTATTCATGATTATATACAACATTAATTATTTACATCTTCAAGTACTTAAAATAGATGTGAGTATTATGACAACATATAGAACAACTTACAGTTTTATCCTCCCTGAATAGCCAACCTGTCTGTGCTCTAGAGAATGTGATATTCTTTGTGGACATCTGTGCGGCCATGATGTCACTACGCATCAGTATATCAATCTCTTCTTGTATTTCTTGTTCTGTCTCCTATATCACAGATAATACATTCGTTATACACACATAAATCACAGATAATACCTTCATTTTATATTTTGATTCATTAATCACACATAAATTACAGACAATACTTTCATTGTACATTTTGTACTTGTTAAAAATGTACAGATAATTAGACAAGTCTTAAGGAGATTTCTGATATTTAGCAAAAAAAAAAAAAAAAAACTAATTTCTTGTTTGTTTTATTCTATTTCAAAGTATATGAAGGAATGTTAAGTGAAGTAACAAGGAAAAGTGTTGCAAATCCAGTTATAATCTTCTGTTGTTTTTTTTTAGAGTGAAAAGATAAAATATTTTCATACAAATGAATATTGAAGTATCAAATTTCTATTCCTTAAATATTCACTATTCCAGCAAGACTATATACCTCATGTCTGACTTTTTGATAAACTTTGAGCTTGTTGTCCATCACAGTAAGGGCATCTCCAGGTGAAGCTTTACCATTAAATACAAAAGTTATGTCCCCTCTTTCCCAACGCATGTCATTAAAATCTACTAAAGTTGTATCCAATCTGTAAATTAAAGTATATTATTATTAAAATCAACGATGCTCTAAAACTTAAAAAAATATTCATCTCAAATATGGTTATATCTTGATGATGACAGGTCATATGACAATTTTAAATTCTTCATCAATATTACATGAAGTAAAGGTTGCTTTCGAATAACAAGAATGTTCTGAAAAGTACTGACACTGATGTGAACTGAGCCTTTTATTTGAAATTTTAACTGTGATTAGAGACATACTTTTTCATCAAGACAAAAGATTTTAAAATATACATTTCTCAATTAGAATGCTTATGGCTAGACCTTCAAATGTATAATATAAGTGAAATTGAATTGATCTCGGACATAACCATAAACATCAAAATGGTTTCATATAATTGTCTTTAACTAAAGAACAAATTATAGTTCAGACCAGTTTACCACCACCGACTATCACATGTTTTGAAAACTTAAAATATAAAGGATATTTCAAACCATACAAACAATAAATGAATTAGAAAATACCGTATATTTGACCCCTTTTTGTGTATCTTGCATAAATCAGATGGCAAAATTCTTGAGACTAAAGGCACTGAAAAATAAAAAGGTTTTCAAATCAGCATTTATAATATTTGTACAAATGTACATCAGATATGAGAAAATAATTTAGGACTTATATAATATGTTGTTATATTGATAAATATTTCAATGAAATAATTTCTGCAGTGCAAGTAACAGTATTTAAAACCAAGAATCAGTCTTATCACTTGTTAAACATTTGCTAAAAAACAAGGGTTGTCCTGAAAGATTATAAACTACTTTTTTTTTTAAAAATCTAATGCAATAAATATGTTTTACAAATTTTTCCAGCAAATATAATTATACATTTATAACACATTTCAAAAAATCTACTAACTTGAGACCCTTCTGTGAAACATAACTTTATAACTAGGAAAGTGGCAATAGGAAAGTGGGTCTGATATTTCTCAGTACTAGATAGTTAAACAAAAGCATAGATATTCCAAGTTTTTAAAGAATTCACAAAGGTGAATATTTCATTCGAAGTCTATGACACAGTTATGATTTTCTAAGTTCACAAAGGGCTATAATTCAGTCAAAAGTCATAAAAGAGTCAAGGCTTCTGATATGAAGCTTTACATGAAGTTGCATGCTCTTGTTAAGCTGCTGCACATGTGACTATTCTTTAAATAAAGTAGTTAGGCTTATAATGATTAAGTACAAATTGGGGTCATTTAAAGACATTGTGACTTTTGCATGGTACTGTGTCTGCCATTATGGACGATAACATCTATAAATTGTAATCATATGTAAATTACCCCAGCTGTGGAAGTCCCACTTGAGCTCCAGATAGAAATCTCCTATATCTTCTAGTGCCTGTATAAGTGCTGGCCTTCTCTCATCAAGAGCATCTCTTGACTGTTGCTTTAACTTCTTCAATAATGTACAAACTGTACAAATATACAAAATGCCATTTACATGTTATCAATACAGCATGTTTTATGTCAAAGCATTTACAAAGATTCTGCATACTGGTCAGAGAGATAACTCGATAACTTGATAAATATTTTTGTTATAACTTTGTTTTTCAACAAACAAGCATATAGTCACCTAGTAGTATAGGAGCAGGACAGAATGTGATGATTTTTGAAAGATGGTAAATTTTTTAATAATTTTCAAAAAACCTAAACATTTCTTTGGCAAAAACTGCTTCAAAACGTTCTTTTTACTAAATTACATTAAGGTAGTTAGAATTGTATTGACCACAGGCCACTGACTTGAGAAAGATTTTTGAAAAATTGTTTTTATATCAACAAAAAATAGATAAAACATATAAGATGTAAAAATATATTATTGATGCTGATTTTCCTGTCATTTTCTACATACAAATTTAAGTGTCGACATTATCTACTGTTGTGGGGATAGAAGACCATGTCTTGTATACCTCATTCAAGACCTTAAAGAAGTACCAGTTTCCATTTTCATATGTAATTCTTGTAGTGTAATGCAAAGTCTTTGAACAGAACTTTGTTTAGGTGGTTCAACATTTAAAATATACAGGAAGATAATTAAAGATATTGCAAAAAAATATGTGATTTAAGTGTCGGAGTTATCTCCCCAACCAGTAATCGATAAGTGAACTGAAATGGAATGTTTATCACCTTTTTTCTGTTTAAACTTGCCGTAAACCCGAACTCACTTTTTTACATTTTTGTTAAGATCTGCATTTAGTCTTTTTTTTTGATGAAAAAACATAATGGCAATGGTTGATAGTTATAGTTTGATTACAATTTGTTTATGTTTAAATCTATATGTGGATATTCAATACATGGTGGTTTGGTGTACAGATTGCCTGTTAACAGATCTTCCTGTTATATGAGAAGGAAGTTTCAGGTTTTCCTTAGTTTTTTTCAATAATATATCATCACCTTAGCACAGTAACAGGTTAATTCCTACTAATATTTAATAGGAGATAACCCATTACTGCACTAAGGTGACAATTTATAACATTTTTATATGTATTAATTACATTAACCATCCTTCACAATCAACATGAAAATAGGGTAAAAAAGAAAACAGAATACAAAAAGTTGAAATGAATCATGTTTATGAATAAAAGATTTATAAAACTTAAATAAAATCTATGTTAAACATGAGAAAGTATGATTTACTTGTTCTTCTGTCACCATAACTAATAGCTTCTGCCAATGGTGTCCACCCTGCATTATTCTTCACTTTCACCATTGCATTATGGGCTAACAACAGCATGATACATTCTGAAATATACATGTATCAAATGTTATAAATATTTATATCATGTCTGAAAAAACATAATTCATTGTATACAAGAAGATTGAAAAAATACAGTCTAAGTTACAAAGGACAAATTACATACAAAAGTATATTATTTAATCATTGTTTAGAATTTCATGAATTTAGCATACCATACAATACCACTACATGTATGTTTACTTTACATAGTTTCATTCTACTCTTTATGTGTACATAAAACTACATTTGTACATTGTATTTAATTTAACTGATTTGGATACTAAAAAGGTACATTATAAACAAAATATGAACAATAAACTTGTATAGGTGAAACCTAAAATATTGGTGAACAGTTGGTAGGTTAAGGTATCTATAATAATTAATTAACTTAATTAATAAATCTACATGTTTTATAAACAATCATTCATGTACATGAATACCAGGATAACATTTACCTTTATGGCCTTTCATGACTGCTAAGTGAAGAGGTGTGTTTCCTGTAAAAGAAAGAAAAACTTTGACACAATGTCATTGAAATGAAAGATAAAGATTTTGTAAAAATAAGAGGGCCATGATGGCCCTAGATCGCTCACCTGACCCATCAAACTCATCCAAACAATTACCTAGACAAGTATTCTGACCAAGTCTCATGACAGGTGAGTCAAAAATGCGACCACTACAGTGTTAACAAGGATTATCCATATTTGAGCAGTGTGACCTAGTTTTTTAACCCAGGTGACCCATATTCAAACTTGACCTAGAAATCATCAAAACAAACTTTCAGACCAATTTCCAGGATACTTGGATCAAAAAAGTAGCAACTAGAGTGTTAACAAGATTTTTCTATTTTTAGCTCCGGTGACCTAATTTCACATGCGATTTCGAACTCATCCGAGCAATTACCTAGACAAGCATCCTGACCAAGTTTGATGATAATTGAGTCGAAAATGTGACCACTAGAATGTTAACAAGGTTTTTCCATATTTGAGCGGTGTGACCTAGTTTTTCATCCAAGATGACCCATGTTCGAACTTGACTTAGAAATCATCAAAACAAACTTTCAGACCAATTTACAGGATATTTGAATCAAAACAGTAGCCACTAGAGTGTTAACAAGGTTTTCTATTTTTAGCTCCTGTGACCTAGTTTTTCATCCGAGATGACCAATGTTCGAACTTATCCAAGCTATCACCTAGACAAACATCCTGACCAAGTTTGATGATGATTGAGGCAAAATTGTGACCTCTAGAGTGTTAACAAGGTTTTTCTATTTTTAGCTCAGGTGACCTAGTTTTTCATCCGAGATGACCCATGTTTGAACTCATCCGAGCTATCAACTAGATAAGCATCCTGACCAAGTTTGATGATGATTGAGGCAAAAATGTGACCCAAGGTTTTTCTATTTTTAGCTCCGGTGACCTAGTTTTTCATCTGAGATGACCCATGTTCGAACTCATCCAAGCTATCACCTAGACAAGCTTCCTGACAAAGTTTGATGATGATTGATGCAAAAATGTGACCGCTAGAGTGTTAACAAGGTTTTTCTATTTTTAGCTCCGGTGACCTACTTTTTCATCCGAGATGACCCATGTTCGAACTCATTCAAGCTATCACCTAGACAAACATCCTGACCAAGTTTGATGATGATTGAGGCAAAATTGTGACCTCTAGAGTGTTAACAAGGTTTTTCTATTTTTAGCTCCGGTGACCTAGTTTTTCATCTGAGATGACCCATGTTCGAACTCATCCGAGCTATCAACTAGATAAGCATCCTGACCAAGTTTGATGATGATTGAGGCAAAAATGCGTCTGCTAGAGTTTTAACAACAAAATGTGAACGGACGACAGACAATCATCGATCCTAAAAGCTCATCCTGAGCATGCTCAGGTGAGCTAAAAAACAACAACTAGTATGCATATCAATAAATGTTTATAAAATTATAATAATTTTTTACACTACTCACCCAATTTAATTAGATATAAAAGCCTGTTATAGTTTATATGTTGGGAAAACCTATAATTTAATTGGAAAACGCAAAGCAAAACACAAATTACAAAAATGTGTAATATCTTGCCTTTAAAGCTGTATTTAATAGTTTATCATATATTTGTTCAATTGCATGCACAATCACCACCAAAAACAACAAATTTTAAGTACTGGTCCATCCTGTTACATTTCTTTATTCAAATTGCATTAGTAGTATAACAGAAGTAGTCCAGACAAACTTTAATTACAAGAGGGAACAGTGATCACATATGTTGGCTGATGATAGCCAATTAAGCAGTTGTATTGAGAGATGATAGAACAGTTATGTTGCAGCTACCTTGTAACATGTTGCAGATACTGTGAATCTGCAGAGTTAGACACAATCATCATTAACGGGCCATAACTCAACCAAAATCATTCAACCAGAAAAATCATTAAATGTGGGCAAGAACTTGAGGTACCCATCAATCCTGTACAATTTCACTCATATTGCAATAGAAGGAAAAGAGAAGATATCTGGATAAAAATTAAGAAAAAAATTATTGAAGGGCCGTTACTTTAACAAAAACCACTAAACTGGAAAATGCTGACAATATGCACAACTAAAATTGGTTACTCATTGTTCCTGTACTTTAATTGAAAACCAGTAGTTTTTAAGTAGTTCAGACAAGTTTTGTGACTGACAGATGAACAGACAGAGGATGGGAAAGTGATCTATATAAGTAGTGGCTACTTTGTAACATGAATCAGCTATTGTATAGCAGATGACACAAGTCATTAAAGGACCGAAACATCATTTTTAATCAAGGGTAATAACTCAGCCAAAAATAATTCAACTGGACAACCCCTAAAATGTGCGCGAGTACTTGAGGTACCGATCAATATTGACTTATTGTAAAGTTTCATTTGAATTGCTTTAGTAGTAAAAGATAAGTAGCCCAGACAAACTTTTAAAAATTTTGGCGCCTCCATTTTTAATAACACTTAATGATAATAAGAACAATCACAACTTTTTGGCTTTAAAATAATCGGTATGCTGTTCCGATTAAAAATGGTAGCGGTGCATGAAATATCAAATGACACCTTTGAAATGAAAAAAAAAAGTAAAATAAAAAATGAATGAAATCTTTGTTATCTGATTTCCCCATTCATAAGCTTTCCCTTCTTTCATTCATGGTCCTGGGCTTTGACTTGCCCGGCTATAGACTACATGTGTATATTTGACGATTGACGATTATTATTAATGTGAAAAGTTGCGATTGTTCTGTTATTGAGTTACACTGAAAATGGCGGCGCCCAACTAGAACAGACACTGAAAATTTCATTGACAGGTACAGAATTCTATATATATTTTTTTTTCACTTGATTTTCATTTAAAGTCTATAGCTTGACAAACCAAAGCTCCGGGCAGCAACTTCCCAGTATTTAATTTGATATGACTTTGCATCGGTGGCACGAAATACCCAAATACACCCAAATATGCATGTAGTAATATTCATTTTTGTTTGTATAGAATATAGATTATAACGAGAAAATGAATTAATATTTCTAAAATAATATGACTTAAGTTACCCGGCTATAACTTTCATTCATTCTGTTGAAATGGGCAGTTTAGATGTTGTAAGAAAATTAACTTCTAACATTTGCTTATCTAGGTTATTAGTGAATATACTTGCAATTTGAGCAAACGATTTGATAATATATATTCATTGTCTACATTTAAATTTTTAGGGTATACATTATTTTGTTGAAATTTCATACAAGTGTCTTATTTTTTTTTTTAATTTAATATAGTTTTAAAGTCAAGAAATATACTGTATTTGGGTATATTTTGGTACAAAATACAATGATAGGAAAATAAATATTTGGGTATGTTTGATCATATCTTAATGAACGTTTATAGCGAGCCCGACGAGCTGGCCCAAAGGGCCTGCTCACAAAGCGAGATTTACGGTAACGCGGGTACCTGCTAAGTGATGGTTTTGAAAACTTTCGTCCGAAGTACCGAATTGACACATCGCAACTTTTCGATTTACAAGATAACGATAACAGCTGATGTACTCTGATTGAAAACAGAAGCATAGACTGGTGTCCTGCCAATTATATAGGAACCATAATAGAAAGGGGGAACCAGAATAAACGGAAGCAGTGTATAAAATATCTAATGACAATTTTACAACGGAAAATGAAAAATAAAAATGAACGATTATTTTAAACTATTTTACCGTAAAAGAAAATCGAGCTCGCTTTGAGGCTTTGCCTTTTTCATATTATTGTAATTCATAATTAAAACAGCACTGTTTTAGTATAAAACATTTATTTGTAGTATATTTTGGATATATTTGGGAAATATTTGGGTATTTCGTGCCTTTGCATAACCATGAAGTAAATGTATAAAGAAGTAGCTAGCTGAACGGGTCCTTACAGCCAGCCAAAAGTTCTAGCCGTATATGAGTCACATACGGCTAGCAAGGACACACTGTATTGGCTAGCCGTACCGCACTTTTCAAAATTATATGGAAGTCGAAAATGCATATGTTATTTTATGACTTTAAGCAAGGATTTTAACCAAGAAACAGCAAAATTGTCTTCGTATGTTTACTTTTTAGAGATTAATCGCTTTGTTGGCTACAGTAAAGAAAGTACGAATATCCATCTTTGTCATCTCAAGACGTTGAGAAAAAATAGCGTTTGGTTGCAGTTAAATAACATCAATTGAAATAGTTTACAAAATTGTGATATTTTGTTTCATTAAGTTTGATTTTTAAATTGAAAAAAAAAACACTGAAAATAATTGTTGTTGGGCTCTGATAATTGTGTCAATTACCGCCGGTATTGAAGTTTAATTGTCCATCATTAAGGAATGCTTGCATGTTCAGCGAAACGCATTCTAAAATTCTATTGTCAGTCCCTTTTATGTTCGATATTTATCTACTGAGTACTGTGTTTGAAAATTATTAAATTATTTTTGCTTTTCACCGTTTTGTTTTCAATAGTCTTTTTTATTTATTCATTTAGTCCCCTCTAATCATTATTTATTCGATCCATGTGCTTAATTAACAAAAATGATTTAACAATTCATCTTTCATACACAAAAGACTTGATTAAAATCCTCGCTTAAAGACACAAAATAAAATATGCATTTTCGATTTCCATATAATTTTGAAAAGTGCCGTATGGCAAGCCAATACAGTTTATCCTGGCTAGTCATACTTGACTCATGTACAGCTAGAACTTTTGGCTAGCCGTACAGGCCCGTTTGGCTAGCCACTTCCAATGTATAGTAAATGTATGAAGCAAAATTTTATTTAAATGACTACTTAGTAGATTCTACTTCCGGGCAGGTGATTCAACTTAGGTAGATACTCTTTAGATATAAACTTTTGATCATGTATACAAATTTTGAAAAACCCTACACTTCTAGTACCATCCTTAAAAATTATGGATATTGATTTATTATGATATTTTTTTGCCTGTGACTCAGAAAAAAGTTAGCTTCTTAATCTTACCATGCACATCTTTCTGTGAAACATCATGCACTCTTATCAATTTCGACACTGTTTTCACATCTCCATTGAAGACCCCTTGGTGCAAGGGAAAGTCTTCGCCGGGGTTTTCCATCCTATTTATTCTTTCTTGTTGTTGTTGTCAATTTTTTTTCATTTGCTGACGGTGCGCGTAAGAATAGATTGCAATAAAATCAATGTTAGTTAAAGACCGTTTCCCGTTATCCGGAATATTCATTTGCAAGAACTCGGCCCAAAGCAAACTCGACCCGAGTCATTTCGGCATTAAACAAACGTCACACTCTACACCGAACTGTAAGTAAGGGCAATATCCAGTCTTTGTCCCTTCTTTTCTTTCTTTTAATATTGTACAGACACCTTCCGGCGTATACTCGTACTAGCACAGAGCGGTGTGAGAAGTGACTATGTATGTACAAAAGTGATTTAAAAAGTACTATGTAGGCCTATAGTGCTGGTAAAAAGGTAAAATCACTGATCGGAGAGTGAGTGGTAGTACTTCCCTCTGGAAGCTGTCTATAGTTGTACAGCTTACAACTGTCTGGGGAAAACTATTCCAATGGGTCCCAGATGATAGAGGAGTATTCCACAAGAGGTCTCACGAGGGTCATATAGCAGAGCTCTTTGGTCCTTCTTGGGCATTGATGGATGTTTCTCTGTAGAAAGGATGTGGCATTGTTGGCTTTCTTTGTAGTGAGGTCAATGTGATGATTCCAGTTTACTGACTTTTGGAAGTTGAGGCCTAAATATTTTGCTGTATCTTCTTCTTCTAAGTGTGTCCATGTATGTATATGGTTGTCTGATTGGGAATCTCTTGTTTGTTATGTGGAATATCTGGCATTTTTGTGGTTGGAATTCCATCAACCAATCCTTTTCCCATCTTTGTAGTCCATCTAGGTCTTGCTGTAGGGTTTTAGCATCTTGGTCTGAGTGGATAGATCGGTATAGGGCACAGTCGCCAGTAAACATTCTAGTGGTGGATTCAGGTGATACATAGTTGGGTAGATCATTTATAAAGACGAGAAATAAGAGAGGTCCTAGAACACTGCCTTGTGGGACACCGGACTGAACAGGTGCTTCACCAGATTTGCTGCCACAGATTTGCTGCCATTTAGTAACACTCTTAGGCTCCGACTCCATCATGGTCACCTTGGCATAGGCTCTGCGTTTGTAGACCACTGTAAGTGTTGCTGCATCGGTGTCACACTGCTAGTTCTTCTGTAGTCTGAGAAGACCATTCTTGCCGCTCGGCGCTGCACCATCTCCAGTTTCCAGATATTTGCCTCAGTGAATGGGCCCAGATGATAGAGGAGTATTCCACCAGAGGTCTCACGAGGGTCATATAGCAGAGCTCTTTGGTCCTTCTTGGGCATTGATGGCTGTTTCTCTGTAGAAAAAATATGGCATTGTTGGCTTTCTTTGTAGTGAGGTCAATGTGATGATTCCAGTTTACTGACTTTTGGAAGTTGAGGCCTAAATATTTTGCTGTATCTTCTTCTTCTTCTAAGGTGTGTCCATGTATGTTATATGGTTGTCTGATTGGTTTTCTCTCTTCTAATAATCTTAATTATTTACGGAATATACCGATTATTAATATAATACTTTGATCCAATCAGATCGTTTCACGGAAAATGCCGACATCACGTTACTCTTGACAACCAATATTCGGTCAACTTCGGATTTGTCAAATTTAAAGCAAGCGCTCCAGTGATCCGGATCAACATCACTCAAAACTACCAGATTTTAAGCAAGAGGCGATGAAAAATGGACTATGAATTAGTTTTTGATACATAATACAATATGTAAGGCAAGCTTAATCATGAAAGTTTAATTTAGCCCCTAAAACTCACTTTTTAAAGGTGAAAATTACCATTTTTGACGAGTGGTTTTGCAGTATATACATTAGTTTTCCGACAAACTCCGTGACAGTTATCATAGGAACTCCATCCTTCGTGTAACACTTCCTCCCCCGTGGTAGGGGAGGATTAAAAGGGTAAAAGAATGTCTTCAGTGACTTATCAAAATCATTTATAATATATGATATAATTATACAACAAGTTTTCCCAAATGTTGCAAATCTTCTCCTCGTTGCCTTATGTATTTCTACTTACTTGAAAATTGTTCTCAAAGTGACCTTAACTACAAGGCTTTTTAAGGATTTCCTCTTGCCATGTAAAATGTACGAAAGTACAACCTTCCGGTAACTTCTTTCTGGCGAGAGGATTTGCCTTGTGCAACATGGCTATTGTTGTCAGTCAAAGAAGCTGAAAATAGAAACTAAAGGTCAAATCAATCACTGTAGTCACCACTTTATTTTACATTGAAATTTGTCATTTAATAAAGCTTCTCTATAACTGCAAAGTCCAGATCGAGCTTCGATATTTCGTGTGAAGCATAATAAAGTGGAAACTGCTAGATTTATTCAAAATGTGTCTCGCCCGGAGATCACTTGATTGTGCAAAGTCTATTATGATCACATCCAAATATGACATAAATATGAAAACTACAGAAACCAAAATGACTGATAGTGTCGTTTCTTTGTTTCATATTCTTTTACCTTATGTTCCAAAGCTATTGTTTGAAATAAATGAATTGTGAATTTTTTGCTCAAGTCGGAGACGAAGGATGGGGTTTATGAATGGCCATTTATCATTTTAGTCATCAATTAAAACTTTTTTCCCATTTATTTGATATTTGAAGTATAACAATACAAACATACACTTTAACATACAATTCATAGACTCATACCTATATTTTCAAAAACAAAAAACACTTCAAAGTATGAAAACACCCATTCACTCCATATTTCTACCATATATTCATTTATTTCGAATAATTGAAAGAGTATTTCAGATAACGAAACTGAAAATTTAAAGTATATTCAAAGACATTTTAATATTATTTGGAGTAAAAAGAAGGAGAGTGAAAGAAAAGAAGGAAATTTGAAGTAAATTCAAAAACATTTAACATTATTTGGTGTAAAAATAAGGAGAGAGAAAAAACAACAACAAAGAAAATGTCAGAGAAATATACATACACAAACATACACACAGACATTCAAAAAGATACTTTTTTCCTACATACATACAAAACATACATACAAACACAAAAAAAAATCAGAGACAAAAAGAAACAAGCGAGCTAATTTCAATTAATTTTCTTACGTTTTATGGTTTTGAATTTATTTTTAACTTTCCCTTACTGTTGGTTTGTAGGTTAGAGCGTTAAACAAGTTACTTCATTTTTGTTTATGTGATTCAACTATATCATTTAGAAAAGCAATTTCCTCTTCAATTTGTATTCTCAATAGCAAAAAGTTTTTGAAAAAATCAAAAGTTGGTTCATGCTTTTGGTATTTTATTTTAAGGATAAAATATTGCATAAGTATGATGATATAATTTACTAAAATACTATTAATATTGTTTTTCAGTTCTCCAAAAAGCACTGTTTCTCAATTATATGAGAAATTAATATTGATTGATAAGAGAAAAAAATGTAATTTTGACCATAAATTTTGTATAATAGTACATTCCAAAAAAGATGGTAAAGCGTTTCTAAATTACTACCACAAAAATCACATAGATTTGAATTACAAAGACTATATTTAAATAACATTATTTTAGTTGAAATAAGTCTATGAATAAATTTTGTATTGAAAATTTCTCAATGACACGTCTGTAGTACTTTTAAATGGAACCATATATATTTGTTGCCAATCCACTTCAGTTTCTATTTCTTTTTCCCATTTCTCTTCATTTGTATTTTTGAACCTTTCATCATTTTCAAGTTGAATATTATATAATATTATTTGCGGATTTTGATTTTTTAACTTTATTTAGGAGTGTATCTTGTACTTCGTTATAATTTCTTGTAGATTTTAGACTATCAAGATATCCTGTTGGTATATTATTCACAAGCGTGTAATATTTAAAAAACTCAGCATTTTCGATACCATAGATATTTTTAAGGTCTTCAAATTTGTAGAGTTCATTTTTCCTATAATCATATAGATGTTCTAAATATAGAATACCTTTTTGATGCCATGTTTTATAGTACACCAATTTATTATCAATTTTAGTATTCGAATTATTCCATATTATATGTTTAAGGTTATCTTTTTTATTATTGTGTTCTTGTTGAATATGAAACCATGACGAAAGCACATTGTTAATGAATGAATTATGAGGAAAAAGCTTATTGATATCTGATTTCGAAATATTACAGTCAAATATAAGGTCATTTCCATACTGTTTTATCTTTTGATTTATAAAAAGTTTCCACAATTCTTTATTGTCCTCATTTATATATCGTTTGACCCAATTTGCCTTTACTGCATTTAAAAAAGTATTAATATCGATCATTTTTAAGCCACCATTTTTAACATTAAGTTTTAATGTTTTACGTTTGATATTTTTCTGGCTTGCCATCCCAAAGAAACAAAAACATTGCTTTAATTATTTCTTTTATCTTATTATTTGATGGGTTTTCTAAAACTGAAAATGGATATAACAGTTTAGGTAAGGCAAATGTTTTTATTAACATCACTTTACCTTTATCAATTAAAACTACCAGGAGAGAGAATGCCTGATGGTGTATGTGAAAGTAGCATCATGTCCGTGTCCTACCAAAGGTACAAACCCGAGATAAAATAGCTATTCATCAATTAGTATACAAGCTAATTTCTCTTAAATGTTTTGAGTTATAACAGAGATAAAATTTACAAATTGTAAATAAAGCATGAAAATTAACTAAGAGCAATAAGATCCTTAAAATTATGCAAAAGAATAAAAAAGAACAGTACCTCGCTACAATTTTCGTTCATGGCGTGACACTTTGAAAATGAACATGTCTGCAAATGGATAACTTATAGTGTCTGAGAAAATGGATATAAACGAAAAGTTTGACCAACGCCGTCACTGACACCGGCAACAACGCCAACACCGACACAAATGCCACAGCTGACGAGAGGATTATTATTTATGACAATATATCTACTCGTAGTGAACAGTGGAGCTAAAATTACAAACTTTTAAGAACGCCCAAAACGGCAAAACAGTATCTGTTTGATCAGATTTGTCCATCTATTCCACTACGATAATTTCGCCGGGCGTTGAAGGGTAGCCATTGTGATTCTTTAAATAAGAAAAG